TCCAAATGCGCGGCTTGTCTTGGCGGGACGGTGCCTGCGGCCCGTGCAAGCAACCTGCGAGTCCGTTGTGTTCGCCTAGGCAGCACTACTCCAAATGCGCGGCTTGTCCAACCCGCGAGTCCGTCGTGCTGGCCAAACGAGAAGCTGGCTCTTGACGTTCTGCCCTGCAGTCATCTTGGCTGCCTCGCCACAGAATGTGGCCGCTTGGGGGCTTGGACCTGCTCTGGTGGTATCAGCATGATGACAGCCGCGATGGCGCGGATGACGGTTCCTGTGGAGCGCCGCTAGCACAAGGGGTGGCACCGTCTGCAAGTCTCCACAGGGATTGGCCACCGTCGAGACGCGGGAGCTCCTCGATTGCTTGGCGCGTTAAATACTTTGCGGCATCTGGCGGGTTTCCTAGTGAAGTAGGGTGTTTCACTTCGGAACGGTGTTTTTACCAAATCCCGAATGACTGCACTGCCTTTCGCTGATGGAATCCCGGCGCCACGGATCGCGCAGCAGCTCAGCGAGGTGGACCCGTTTGTGGTATAGGATAGATCTTAAATCCCCAATCATCCTTTGAGAGACCCGTGTTGTGACTGCCGCTTGGGAATGTTTGCCAGATGCCGCCGAGATAGTATACCTTGGGTTGATACACAGGGTGTCACCGAAGCCTGGGGCTCTCGATGAATGTCTGCAGCTAGAATCAATCTTTCTGGAGGAGGCTCTGGACAACCATGATCCCTGCATTAGTCCTACTACTAGGCCTAAGGACCCATAAGCCCCTGGCGTTCCCCTGGAGTCTGTTGAATCGGCTAAGTAACATACGCTGGCCTGTTGTGGTTTGAGATTAAGAGCGAAACCCTAATTCCCGACTCCTTTCAGAGACCAGTGTTGCGACTTCCGTTTGGGGATGTTTGTCAGCTGCCGCTATGTTTCTTCTTCCATGATACCATACCCTGGGTTGGTACAGTGCGTGCTATGGAGGCTCGGGGCTCCCGATGAACCTTTGCAACTACAACCAGCCATTTTCACAAGGCTCCGGACCGCCGTAACTCGTGTATGATGAACCTTTGCAACTACAACCAGCCATTTTCACAAGGCTCCGGACCGCCGTAACTCGTGTATGACCTCGCCCAGCACCTCACCAGGCCACCTCTCCGATGCTGACGACGAAGGCCGGGGAGGGTCGCCTGGGAAGAGTAATCCGGTCTAGGTCCAGGTTCCTCCCGCGCTGGCTCTCCACCCCCAACCCGACTCCGAAATGCTTCGTGATGCAGCGTAAGGTCTGTTGTTCTGCATAGATCGAAGTCAAATCGCAGGCTTCTGTGGTCTCACTTGATCTTGCGAACTCCCACGAACCAGTTGTATGTGTGTATGTGTGTGTGTGTGTGTGTTTGTGTGCTAAAGAGACAACGCATTGCACGAAGCGTGCATTTATGAAGCACATGGATCCGTCAACGGAGCAGGAGTGCACCATGAAGTTGTGAGGTACCGTGGGCGTCTCAGGCCGATTGACAATCGAAGGCTGCGGAGCGAGAACTATGATGGGCGAACCGTCAACGGCAACTTCAAGTGCTCGCATTGGTACATTGGTGCGGCGGAAGCGTAGTGATTCCCAATGCCTCGGTGTTCTCCTGCTGGCCGCGACGTCCTGTGAGCAGACAAAGGCTCATCGAGACGCAGGAGCTCCTCGATTGCGTGGCACGTTAAATACTTTGCGGCATCTGGCGGGTTTCCTGGTGAAGTAAGGTGTTTCACTTCGGAACGGTGTCTTTCCAAATCCCTAATGACTGCACTGCCTTTCGCTGCTGGAATCCCGGCGCCACGGATCGCGCAGCAGCTCAGCGAGGTGGAACCGTTTGTGGTATAGGATAGATCTTAAATCCCCAATCATCCTTTGAGAGACCCGTGTTGTGACTGCCGCTTGGGAATGTTTGCCAGATGCCGCCGGGTTTCTTCTTCTGAGATAGTATACCTTGGGTTGATACACAGGGTGTCACCGAAGCCTGGGGCTCTCGATGAATGTCTGCAGCTAGAATCAATATTTCTGGAGGAGGCTCTGGACCACCATGATCCCTGCATTAGTCCTACTACTAGGCCTAAGGACCCATGAGCCCCTGGCGTTCCCCTGGAGTCTGTTGAATCGGCTAAGTAACATACGCTGGCCTGTTGTGGTTTGAGATGAAGAGCGAAACCCTAATTCCCGACTCCTTTCAGAGACCAGTGTTGCGGCTTCCGTTTGGGGATTTTTGTCAGCTGCCGCTATGTTTCTTCTTCCATGATACTATACCCCTATACCCTGGCTTGGTATAATGCGTGCTATGGAGGCTCGGGGCTCCCGACGAACCTTTGCAACTACAATCAGCCATTTTCACGAGGCTCCGGACCACCGTAATCCCGGGGATGACCTCTCCCGGCACCTCCTCAGGCCGCCTCTCCGATGCCGGTCTTTGGGACGTTGCTTGCTTGCTTCGACGCTGTCTTGCGAAAGAGCAAGCAAGCAACGACCCAAACACGAGAAGAATGTGCGTGTGTGTAAAAAAAGCCAAGTCTTCAGGAAGATTTTAAGATGTGCCATGGCTGATCAGAGACCAGTCAGTCACCTGTGACTCTGTCCTCATTCGCAGCTCTATTAATTATTGTGAAGTAAGTGAAGCTTCTTGCAATAACGCCATTTTCCGCAGCTGGTGTTTCCGCTGGTACAGTGAGGACGATGTGAGGCGTTCCACCCTTCATAACTTGAGAGGCAGGAATGCCAAGGACGAGTGGCCAGTTCTTGGCCAGGCACATTTCCATATATATAATATATATATATATATATATATATATATATATATATATTTATATGTATAGTATCCATATATTATGCATTTGCCAATCCCTCTGACAAGTTTCCACTTGACCTGTTGAGTCAGGCTCTGAGCCCTCACGCTAGGCGGATCTTGATTAAGCGTTCCCACACACAGGGCATAGAGTGAACTACATCGAGTCAAGTGAATGGTACAAAGATGACTCCACGACTCCGTGACTCTATCTCACTACAACTCTATGACTTTATGACTCATGACCCATGGACTCTATGACTCTTGATTCTGTGACTTTACGATCTTATACACTGACTCTATCTCACTACGACTCTATGACGCTATGTCACTGCAACTCTATGACTTTATGACTCATGACTCATGGACTCTATGACTCTTGATTCTGTGACTTTACGATCCTATACACTGGATCTATCACATAGCCCCACACTCTTCGCTGATGATGCTTTCGGGCCAATTGTCTTCTAGTATGGTTTTCCAGAGTTTTCAGGTTTTGGGGGTTTATGGTTTTTGAGTTTTAAGGTTTTGAGGATGCAGGGAGGATTTACAGGGTTTGGGGGGCAGCAGGTGTCTTCGCCAACATCTTTGCCTTTATCGACTCCCCCTACAAAAGGCCTGTTGGGAGAAGTAGACCTCGTGGAGAAAATGCTGTTGGGGAGAGTGCTGCCGGAGTTCAGCATGCAAGGTGAGGGCTTAGACATACCCCCCCCACTACAGGGGCCTAAACAATTACCAATACTTTTGTCTTGGGGTTCCTTGTTACAATTATGGCATAGTGGGCCCCAAAACCTTGTTCTAATTATTAAGGCCCCTTTACTAACGGATCTAAGCCTATCATCCTTTGCTTACCGTGTCCGCCTTGGACACTCGGGTACTGGCGATGGCGGGGATGTGTGCTCATGATAAGAGCTGCATGCAAGTCTGGCCGTTGTATCGCATTAGTTTAGGGTCGGTAGGACCGGTCAGAGTGTGCAGATCAAAGTTTCCAGTGTGTGGGTGCGTGTTTCTGCGTTTTTGTTTGTTTGTTTGTTCTCGCAGGCATGATCCGGCGTATCTTTCGCATGTGCGATCCGCGGCGTGGCGTCTTTTTATGCATGAAGACACTGCTATACCAGCTTCATTGGCCTTACATGCAATGGCAGTTGCACATAATTCTCAAGTTTCATAGCTACTCAGACAGTTCAAGTCCCTGCAGAACTCCGCCTGCCTGTGAAAGAAGCAACTCCAAATCCTGCAGTACCTCTATGACATAGAGGTACTGCAGGGCTTAAGGTTCATAAGAAGTACCTTGTGCTTCTTGTGAACCTTAAACCCTAGAAATCCCCAAACAACCCGTATGCGGCCACAGGAGAGCAGCCAAGCACCTGTCCATTTGGATGACCACGAAGCATGGGGCTGAACAGCAGCTTGGGATCGATTTACTTGTTTTTGAAGTCAGTAATTTTGCATTTACGGTTCTATGGAGTGTAGAGTTCAGGTCTAGGGTTTAAGACTTGCATGGGGCGTGTGGTCTTTTTCAGGATGGCGCAAGTTCGCTTATGAAGTGCAAATTAGTCTCCTTGCTTTTTGGCCGATATTGCAATCCTGTCGAAGCTCAAGCGTAAAGCTCGTCATGTTCTGCCTCCAATGGCATTGGTGTCGTTGTGCTTAGTGTAGATTCGTATTGATGCCACGAGTGGTGTTGTGCCGCAACGCGTGGCCGAAGCCCAGGGTGCCTCGTCTAATGCTCCGTAGGCTCGAAGCACAGAAAAAGGCGAGCATGAGTGAGGTCTGAACGATTTGACAGTATATTCCATTGCAGTCCTTATAGTTTCGAGAGTATACAGTATACCCCCAAGAACCCACTCAAATCATCAAGCCCCTGCATTTTCAGCTTGTGGATCGCATCATTTTCGAAGGTTTCTTAAGAAGGAGACTCTCTCGAAATCTTTAAACCCCCTTTTTACTCTGCCGTTTGCATGGAATCGGCCGGGAGCCCCAGCAGCTACATCGCAGTCACACCCCATAACATAAGGGCGTGAACAAGTGAAACAGGATTACGGGCCATATACAAGCATATCTAGAACAAAGGGCCGCAAGGGATAGTATTGGAAATTGTTGAGGTCCCCATACTGTAGTAAACAAAGCTGCAGAAGCCCTCCTTCCCGAATCAAAACCTTGCTAGGTTCAAGCACTTGAGTTTCCGCGTTTATGGTCGTTGCGGTTGTGGCTTAACTGGATGCCGCCTCTGGAAGGAGGCTCCCCTACTAAACTCGAACCCTAAACCCTAAACTCCCTCTGGCACTGCCGAGTGTGACGGTCGAAGCCCTGAACCCCGTTCAGACCCTATAATGCGGAAACCGTGAAGACTCAACCCATAGCCCCAAAGCCTAAACCCTCTTCTGGTCTCATTTGAGGATCATCCTGCCATTGCTTCTGTACCTTCGCCTAGAGAACTTTGACGTGCCGGCCCCAGACCGTGACACCAAAGTAAATACTCTTCTGAGTTTTCTGTAAGGTTTACGGATACCTATGACAGAAAACGGGTTAATTAACCAAGAAAGAATGACAATGGAGACTATATGGCAGGAAAGTTTAAGGGTTCAGTGCCTTCTGCACAGTTAGACCGAGCCGACCCACCTTCCGGTACGTGTTCTTTCCAAAGACTCCAAAACTTATTCTAATCCCAACCTTCCAAAAACTAAAGCCGGAAAGCGACCCTTGAGGCTCTAAGACACGAAGACAGTTCAACCTACCTACATCCCATACCCCAAAGCCTAGACTGAACCCTAAATCCTAAACCCTAAACTAAACTGCCCGGTAGAAGGGAAGAAATCCTAAACTACACCCTTACACCGAAGACTCAACGGGCAAGCCCAGCGAGCTTTACCAATTTACTCACAGCGACCGACGACCTGGACCGTTCTGCGAAGACGAAGGCAAGCAAGAAGCTCTCCGTGCGCCAGGGTGTCCAGATTCCTCGCACGAGGTTCAAGAGACTGGTGACCGAAATCCAGGGCTACATGCAGGACGAGGGTGCTCTCCAGATGGTCTGGAAACTGGACCCAGAACCCTACGTTGCATTGCAAACCGCGGCGGAAAGCTTTAGCGGCTTTAGCGTCGACAAGTTCAAAAGCTTTGTTTTCGCGAGGTTGAACAGCAATCGGAACAGGTCGACAAACACGGTTCTCGTTTGGGATTTTCGCGGGACCTGCGTGTGGCCATGGCCATGTAGTCCTGATGCAGAGACCAGATACGGGTTTAGGACTTGTAAGTATATAGGGTTTAAGGGTTAAGGGTTTATTCAACGGCTCATGATGTTATGTGTATGGGGGGGCGGGTATGTATACATGTACAGATTTGTTGTTTGTGGTGCTTGTATACTCATGTATATATGCATATAACTATATATCGATATGTATAGAGAAATATACACGTGTGGGTGTAGGGCTTAAGGGGGTGTAGGGTTTAAGGGTGGAAGACGCTGGAGTTGTGGGTCGCGCAAGTTTTGCATGATTTTGACTGTATGTAGACGCATCTGTATATGTATGCATATATATATACCGATGTACATATATGTATACATATACATATATATATATATATATGTCTTTTATATATGTACAAATGAACATTTTCACATATTTAGAATTAATACAACTAAAACACTATGTCGTCCTTATCAGTGTAGCTTGACGCGAACACAGCAGAAGAAAACAACTTGCAAAGCAGAACCTGGAGGTTTAGGTTGTGCTGCTTGTTGCGTGTCTATCCTCGGGCTTACATTACGTGTGAATTTCAGACTTCGGACTTTTCTTCCGAAGTTTTTGGCTGAAGTGGTGGACCCAGACAGGTTTGACTTCATGTACCCTGCTTAGAAAGCAAGACTGCCTTTCAGAGTGCGAGGTGGACATGCACAACAACTGGGTGAACCACAAGATCATGTTCCTCGCTTGCACACTGACAGTGTGAGAGGAGGGTGGTGTCCACCCGGTAGACCTTGCAGAGAGCGCGGCAGGTTTGCAGCAGATGCTCGAGGTTCACGGGTTCAGGGTTCAAGCGTAGGTGAAGGCAAGCCACAGTATTGACTTGCCGAAAGCTTTGTCCCGGTTTCGCCACATCATTTCCGAAGAAACTTTTGGAAGACTCATGGAGCCATGCAGTCGCCACGAAGACTTATCACGTAGAAAGCCAGAAACACTCCTCGCTCAAGGAGGTTTCCTGCTCAGGATTGTGTAGGAGCATCTTTTTGCTCAATATTCAAGGTCCAGATCCAGGGGTTCAGGGTTCCGCCACTGTACGGACCTCGGCTGACCAGGTTCAAGCAGCGTCCTCAATCATTTTCAATACGGTGTTTGGGTGTATAACGCAAGGGACTTGCTTCACAGCCAAACCCCCGAAGGCAACTCATCATCGCCACTTATTCCGGCCCCTACAGCGCGGCGTAGCTCTCGGCTCTTTCATAAAGTTGTAAACCCGACGACTTACACCGCTTGAGCTCCCAACCCCAGAACGCCTCATCCTGAACCCTAGTTGGCCCAAAGCCCTCGACAGCCCCAGCTCAATCTTTCTGGCAACTACACAGAGCCTCAACCACCGTTGCGTTGCGACTCGGTACAAAAGCCGAAGACTCAGTACTCTTCTTATTACCATGAGTAAGACCATTGCAATCATTACTATCATCTATTGCTTTTACCCATGCTATTCCTATTACTATGTAGTACTATTACCTTCCAAAGCCGAAAGGATTCTGATCGCCCTCTCTTGTTCGATCCTCTACTGGCTGCTGCTTTGGTATTTGTCCTGCAAGTCGTTGCACAAGAGCTCCGCGGCTTAGTTGGGTAGTTCTCTAAGTGAGGGCCCCCTTTAGCTGGATTTCCTTCCTTCAGCGGATGCACAAGGGTTTCTACAGGGTTTCTGTAAGGGTATATTAAGGGTAGTTCTCTAGATTAGGGCCCTGCTTTTTTGGGGTTCCTTAAGGGGATGTACAAGGGTTTCTTCAGGGTTTCCGTCATGTCGGTCAGTCAAATCTCGTTCCTTGAGATCTTATTAGCCGAATGCAACCCCTGAAGCCCTCATCTAATTTGCCGTATGCTTCTACATGAGTGTAGACCCGAAGTAACCGGATCCCCAGTATTTGGGACCTGTAATATCGACCCGGCGGGACCCTGAATCAGAAGAAGTTTCGCGAACCCCTAACCATGCCGATCTCTGTGTCTACCAGCATGTCAAAAGGAGATCTCAGGCCGATGGGAGGACGCCCAAAGTAAACCCAAAATAAGCCCTAAAGCCCCAAACCCTTGTCCTTAAGTACCCTAGACCCAAAATAAGCCCTAAAGCCCCAAACCCTTGTCCTTAAGTACCCCAAAGTAAACCCAAAACAAGCCCTAAAGCCCCAAACCCTTGTCCTTAAGTGCTATTGCGACTGCCGGGTACCCCTGAAGAAAGGGAACTGAGGGCCTGAAACTCTAAACCTTATAGGGTTTAGGGTTTAGGGTTTAGGGTTTAGGGTTTAGGGTTTAGGGTTTAGGTACCAAAATGCCTTTGAGGCAACATGCTCGACATCTACTCAGCCTGTGAGTCCGGCTCTGTTACGGAGGTCCGGTCTGTGATGCGGCGCCTGACAAACAGCTTCCAGCCGAATTTAGCGTTTAGGGTTCAGGGTCGGGTTTGGGTTCAGGGTTAAGTGTTAAGGGTTTGGGTTCAGAGTTGTGTAGGGTTCAGGATCACGTATAGTCTCCATAGTAGTTTTTTGGGTTTAACCAAATATGCATTTAGGATCCTATAAGGTAACCCCAAAAAGGAACTACAATGGAGACTATAGGTAGGGTTCAGTGCCAGGGTCTGGAGTTGTGTGTTTGGGTGTCGGATTTGGCGGCCTTTAGCTTTGGCCTCGGGTTCCAGGAAGAACCCGAGCCAGAGAACTCCAAGAGAAAAGCTGCAAGGCTGGAACCTTCCTGCTCAGGTCCTAGGGTTTCTAGAACTGTTCGTGCCTTGGGGGTCTACCAGGCTTTAGTGTTATTCTATAGAAGTGTAAAGATACTATAGGGCCATACCCTAAACTTCCCTAAACCCTAAACCCTAAGCCAGGCGCTGCCGGGAATCTTTGCCCCGTGGCCCAGGTCCCGCGGTTTGTCTCAACGTGAACAGCCCCGACGTGGATGGGTGCTGGCCCCAGCTCGGTTTAGGGTTTAGGGTCGGGATTTTCCTGGCTTGTAGGGTTTACCTATTATAGTCTCCAGTAAGGGTTACCATAATAAGGTTTCTATAAGGGTTGCCATAAGGGATACTACAGGATTTCTTTAAGGGTTAGTAGAAGAGATACTGTAAGCTTCCTATAAGGGTTACCTATAGCATCTATTGTAGTTTTCTGTTTGGTGAGCCATTCTTATGGTTAGGATCCTACACATTAGTAAATTGGTTAAACCCCAAAATCGAACTACAATGGAGACAAAAGGTAGGGGCTAGGGTTTATAGGGTTTTGGGGCCAGGACCAGAGGTCCACGTTCTTGTTTTCAAGGAGCGGGGAGACCAGAGCCAACAGTCCCTCAGTTGCTTCACACAGGCGTCTTTGCGGAAGGCTATCGCTTCAGAAGCGATCTAGAGTCGTGAAATCCGACACACTTATCAAGGATTACCGCAGATCCAGCTGCCCTGACTTACAATATGTATGTGTGGAGACACAGTTATATGGTGTATATGTGTATATATATATATATGTATGTACATATATATATATATATACACACTTACATTTAAACTGCTTTTTAATCGGTTATGGAGTTATGGGTTGCCGGGAATAACCCGAGACTGATGAAACCGAGGAGTCGGGGAGGAATTGCCCAAATCATGTCAATCGAATGCTCGCTGTTCTTTGCTAACTAACCCTTCATAAACAATTTCTCAGGTGTGAGCTTTTGAAAATCGTGAGTTCGATCCTTTTTGTCTAATTTTCTTGTAGGGTTTGGGATTCTAGGATCTTGGGTCGATCAACCTCGTGTACCCCACACTTTTTCTCGCTCAGGTCTGCATCGTGCTCACTTTGGCTTGCATCCCATGCCAAAACTACGGTCATGTCCATGCTACCACCTACCAACCATGCATTGGCCAGGATGCCCAAATCATGGTAACGTCCGTGCTTCCAACCCATCCATTGGCCAGTGCATCCATGCCCCCACCATGATGACGTCCATGCTACCAGCCCATCCATTGGCCAGTGCATCCGTGCCCGTGCTTCGATAACGTCCGCTCAGCTGTTCAGTCAGACGGGCTTTCTGCTTGCGGGGTGAAAGAGCACATTGTGCGGAATCTGGCTTCAAGCCTCCATCCCCTTCTTGTGTCACACTTCCCTGTTACGATCACGAAACAGTTCACGAAGAAACATCGTTTTCCGATGGTTTGTGCTCACCATATCATCATAACGGCAACGCCATGGTACAGCATGTTCACATGCGACAGTATCGGCTTTGCCATGCTTTTCCAACAGTGTCCGCAGATAAAACCCAGGCGAGGGTGATCCGCACAGCATCTAGGAAGTGTAGCGGCTTTTAGGATTTCGGCGTTGTGTGAAGCCCACTTGTATTTTCTCTTGTTGGCTTCGCTTCGTCCTCGGCTTCTTGTGTCCGACGCAAAAATTTGCAACATTCGGACAGGTAGCGTAGTCCCCCCTATACCGTTTATTTGTTTGCTTGTCGTCAACATGTTTGGAAGCTCTCGTTTCGACACCGCAGATGTAGGGATCAGGGGCTCAAGATTTCGGGTATGTGCTTCAGAGCCTCCTTTGCTCAGGAACACCCCGCTTATGTTGGCAGCTGGCAAAGGCCACGCCGATGTCTGTGCATTGCTGATCAAGGACGCTCTGGCCTAGTAGTAGAGTAGGGAACCGTTAACCTTTTTCTGGGTAGCATAGTCCCTATATAATCCCTATTATATTACCAAAATGGTTAACCTTTAGTTCTCCAAGATACCCCACAAGTAGGCTGGGGCATTCAGGGGCCGGGCCGTCATCTTCCAGTTCCGAAGTTCTTACCTTTGGTTAGTAGGGAATGGAAGAATGGTAGTAATACTAGTTATAGCTGTACCCGATTCCTCCATTCCCTACTAACCCAAGGTAAGAATTCTGGCACTAGGGTTTCAGACCTGCGCGGTTCGAGGCAGACCACCAGAGACTTGCTTCAACCAAAGAGGCTTTGCGTTACTGTAGGGGACTATATAAGTTACACTATTGGGGTTCCGTATTACATTTATACAGTATAATGTTCTCCAAAAACCTATTCTAATTCATCAGGCCCCTACATTATACTGTGACAGCAGTGCCAGCGGCCGTTGCTCCAGGAGGGTGCTCGAGTGGATGTCCGACGCTTCAAGGACAACAGGCGCGGCGAGCTGGCAAGTTCTCTCCTAAAGCATATAATATCGGGGCCTAAATAGTTACCTATACTATTTAATTATAGTATAATGGGCCTCAAAACCCTATTCTAATTATTCAGGTCCCTATATTAGTCTAATATGTTCCGGGGGCTGTGACATGTAATGGTTTGCACAGTCTGCGGAGTTCAGGCTGGTTGCATGCTCCGGATTTGCTGAGCTGGCACAGTTTCTGGTTTAGGGAATTAGGGTTTAGGGGTTTGGGCCATGCACGCCGTCGCAGCTCTCCCGAAACTCCCATTCAGGAAGCTCCGAACCTTCACGGTGCCAGCACTTCGGCGGCGGTGGACCGCGCTACACCTGGCGGCGGCCCGTGGTCACCTGAAGGCCTGGGCCTAGGGGTTCCGTTATGGGTTCTTGAAGGGAGCCTTATAGGGATCTATAGTGGGGGGTTTATAAGGGTTTATAGGGGTTTAGGGAATTAGGAACCCCATGATAATTTCAGGCATATTCCTACATTGCAGGATTTTGTTTATAGGGCTCTTTTTTGGTGGGTCTCTGTAAGGGCTCTCTATGGGCGTTTAACGCATGTGGGGGTTAGTGTTTTGAGGTTGGAGGTGAAAGCAAATCCCTACAAGCCCTGCGTCCTAAACCCTAAACCCTAAACCGTGCACAGGTTGTCCAAGTGCTGTTGGAGGGCGCGGGGCTGCTGAACTCCGCTCGGCCATCTTCTCCGGCAGCTGCTCAGTTCGTTTTGGGCGGGACGCTTGGGGTTTCGGGCCTTTGGTTTAGGGCTCATGCAACAGCAGCGTCGCAAAGATGTACGTGTCTTGTGGAACAGACCAGTCGGAGCCAGCAATTCTGTAACTGGCTTATTTGTTACTCAGGTATGGTAATGGTTGAAATCCGCACGCATGTCAGGCTAGCAGCGCACAAGTGCGGATCCCTCGGAGTCACTTGCGGAGCGTTGACAAGCACAAGTAAAATTTAAAAGCAAATAGAGAGAGAGAGAGAGAGAGAGAGAGAGAGAGAGCGTTCTGTATGTGTGTGGTGCTTTGTGTACAAATGTCGTTTTACACACCGGTCAGCATACACATACACATATAGCAATATACCGAATACATTGAATACATAATCATACATATACCATATGACAGTTTTTCACTTATACCACATAAAACAGAGTAGAATGGCAGAGAGGTCTGTGTATACAGCATGCAGACAACACTTCGGTCTTGGTTTTGGTGATGTTGATTCTAAGGCCGCCGGACAAGAGTTGGATGGCCCTGTGGCTGATTTTACTCGGCAGTCCTGGTTCAGGGTTTAGGATGGTGTACGGTTTGGGTGCGATTGGATCGAGTTTGTCTCGGTATATTTCGGATGCAGGATGCAGGTATGATATGTCGGGTGCCTGAAGTAAGCGCTGGTCATGTCAATCATGATGGCCCTTCTTTGTATCGGTTTAGACCGCAGACGCGCTACCGTTTGCTCCGGAGCCAGTTCCCAGCCCTAGATGTCTGGCACTTGGATTCGATCTTCCGCCCTTCCATCAACCTGGTGTCTGTATTTACCCGTAGGCTCAAACCCTGCAAAGTCGTAGGTCGCAGGGCCTTATATACGACATAGCTAACGGGGTAAGCGATGTAACCCATAAGTCTGCAAGCAGGAGGTTCTTTGCCTGTAGGATTTCAAACTCGCCGACATCCCGAGACTTCCAAAACTACAAAAGAAGAGGTTGCGCAACTTCTCATCTTTGCTGAATGTCGAGTCATTTGTAATTATTGAGGCCCTTCTATTGGATCCCAACTTCCGGTCAAGATGGCAACGTGCACTGGTCTACCATTCGCCATCAGTTGAGTCGTGTGAGCAGCACCGACATAGCCACGTCTGTGTCATCATCATCGTCGTTTTCCTCAGCATGTTAAGACTGAAAACGGCACTACAACCGATGCTGCAGAGTCTGTTGTGTTTCCCTGGCCCTGATCCTCATTGTCATTGAGAGCACTATCGCCATTAGTCGGGCGAATCTCCACACTCGTTTGTCATCATGGTCCTGCTTAAAGCGAGGCTTCCCCTACTAGGTACCTGCTTTAGGATGTTAATATATGTGATGTACGGTTTCAGAGATTCGGGCTCCTCTTAGCACGAGAACTAAGCGCATCTGGCAGGTGTGGCAATCGGCTTTCGGGACATCGTTGGGCAAACGCCTTTGCTTCTCAGCTGGAATGTACAAGTTCACTTGGAATGTATAACTGTTAGAAAAGCAGTCCGAACAAAACGCACAGCAACAGTGGATTTCGCATCCAGAAATCGAAGAAACGCATTCATGTTGCCGAGTATCCTATACCGTACTCTTTTTGGTTCAGTGCTTTCCTTTTCTGAAGGAAGGCTTGGGCCAGATAGGCATCCGCAGAGCGTTGAAGGGTCCCCTGACAGGCACATCGCCGCACGGCACGGTTATCCCCTGATCTGCTGCTTTCTGGCGCATCATGTGCCAAGCTGGAAAGATGTGTGCCTTGGAATGAGCCAGCCTAAAGCCCAAATCGGAAAGTCCAGTTTTGCAAGAGGTTCCTGGGCTCCTGGTAATGAGGCTCGAGGGGCCAGGGTGCGGATAGCTTTGCATACCGCGCGTGAAGTAGCTAGGACACGTGCCAATGTGTGGACAACCTGGCCTGGAACAACGTGGCGCTGCGGCGGTAATTAATTTAACGGATGACATTTTTAGCTAAGTGCTTCAAGACTGCGGCTTCTTTGTTTGATGTCCACATATGTCTTTTATTGTAGATCCAGCGCATGAATCCTTGTGTAACTTATGTGTTTATACATCCGTCGATGTGCTCAGACACACTGAAAGATAATCTATCAATAAACAAACGTATATATATATATATATATATATGTATATATATGTATATATATATATACATATGTATGTATGTATAGACATGTGTGTGTATGGACGTGTGCACATATTAACTCTGTAGTGTCTCGGTGTTTCTGTGCGAACTACTCCTGGGGCTCGGCTTTGCACATGATGCTCAGGGTGATCCGGAGGATCCTCACCTTTGACAACACAGTTTAATTTTGAATTTAGGGGTCGTGAATATGGTAGTTGATGTTACAATATGTTGTGATGATAAATACGAACCTCGCGGCACCGTACTCCAATGCTTCAGGGCCCTATAGTCCTATGGCATAGGAGCCGTACGCCTCACGACAAGCGCTGTGGGAGCCTTAAGAAATCCTTCAGCGAAGCTCTACCCTAATGACAAAACCACCAGGTATTGAGTTCAGACACTTCCTCCCTAAACCCTGAGCCCTAAACCCTAAACCCTGAACCTACTTCTGCAGACCTTGCCAGGCTAGTCCGAGAATGAGTGTCAAAAAAACCTGAACCAAAAAAGAAAACCTGAACCCTGAACCCTGCAGGATGGACATTAACAACTGCCGGCCAGTGGACGTTGCAACTTGGGCCTGACACCGGATTCCTTACAAAGGGGCGTTCAAAGCGGTTCTTAAAGGGCTCTTACCCAGAGGCTCCATAGTAGTTCCCTTTTGGGGTTCATATATAGAATCTTATAAGGTAATCCCAAAAAGGAACTGCTATGGAGCCTATGGGTATATGTTCCTCTAAGCGGTTTTCGTAAGGAATCTATCCTTACAAGGGGCGTTCTAAGAGTTTCTTAACGGGCGCTTAGATGTTCCTCTAAGGCTTCTTCAAGCAGATGCTACATTAGGAGTTGCACTATACAGGCGCATGACTCATTTCAGTAGGGTTTGGAGAGTGGCACTTTTCGCACCACTTGCAACTATTTTCGACAGTGTACCTCGCATCTTGTCGGCTCTGCCCAGCACTCGGACTCCTGTAGCAGTAGGCACCCTGCAACATGGAGCTCACGAAGACTCTTATCTGAAACCGTGAAGGGCCAAGCCTCTAAATCCTCAACAGACCCACGAGACCATGAGCTACAATCCGGAAGAAAGCATACCCCTCTCAGCCTGGGCCGTACACAATCAACTCGGAGCCTGTTCTCCTTCTCATCCTTGTGTATGTGTTACATATGTATACATCTGCATATATAGATATATGAATATATATGTATATCTGTATATATATATAAATATATATATATATATATGAAACATCGTATATATGAAACATCGTATATATGTATACATTATATGCACACACCCACACGCACGTACATCCACCTATACAGCACTATTGTCTTAAATCGTTCACTCAACTTTTCAGATCTCCCCTCGGTCTAAACACCCACCATTTAGACGAGCTTCGAAAGCTCCAAACACTGAGCCGAAACCCAAAAGTCAAACTCTGAGTCCTCATAGAACCATGACAGGCGCTGCAGCGCTTATAAACCCTTCCGCCCCGTAAGCCGTAGCCCCTGTACAACTGCTTACAGAAACCATTACCGCCGCGGTAACCCTTATAAAAAATGCCGCCATCGCAAACCTGAAACCCCTGTACCCCGGGGCTCCAAAAAGCCCAAAGTAGGTAGTATTTATAGACTTTAGACCCCAAAGTCGGTCATATTTGTATACTTGGAGCCCTTGGGGTACAGTGTGAGTGCCGCAGAGCCTTTTGACCCCATCGAAGTCCAAGGCATGGTCCGGTGAGGTTAGCGAAGCCATCTCGACCCCAAGCACGGAGTTACTCACGGAGGCCTGGGTCGCAAGGGTTGAGGATTTGGGCGCCTTCAGGAGTATGGCCTTTGAGTTTGTTTTGTTTTTTGGGGTTTAGGGTTTGCCTTGGATGCCGAGCTGGGCAGCACCACCTCTTATGTCGCTACACTGAGGTTTATGGCCTCACGGGCACATATCCTGGGTAGTATTAGCGAGACCCCTCAAAGGGACCCTTCTTATCCCTACTTCTGGCTCTCTTAAAAAGAGCCTTATTCAGAGGGTATATATCCCCAAGGGTCCGCCTGATCCTAGCTCTTAACATAGGCCGTCCATGCAGACAGGTAGAAGATTTCGCCCGGCAGCTCTCAAGGGTGTACGCCCCACTTTTGTTGATGTGCTGTAGGGTATATAGGGTTTAGGGGTTAGGGGGTTCAAACCTTAGAGATCGACAAGGGCTTAGGGATGTTTCCGGGGTTTCGGTGCCTACACCCGCAGCCCAGAGTCGCTTGGACCCCGAGGCAGGTGGCGAGCTTGCGCGGGTCCCACTGCCTCTCGGCAAGCATTCCACAAATCTGCAGCAGATGGCTACCTACATAGTAGTTTGTTTGTCGTAGTGGCATCAGTCGCGGTCGCCGTCGCCGTCGTCGTAGTCGTAGCCGTAATAAATTCGTAGTAGTCGAATGAGACAAGTAGCCGCAAGTAGCCCTCACATATCGGAAACCTTAGCGTTTGAGAGAACTGTGTGTTAGCGGCTCCCACATGTCAGACAGGACACCGACCGCACCCCAACACACTCACCTTTCAACTCGAGTCTTATGTCATGCTGAAGCAAACTCGCAGTACCAGTGCTTCGAAGCTCAACACCGTGACAGCTCTGCAAAAGAAGTATAATATATAACGGTTCTCGCTACGAAGATGGTCGGATTCAGCTTGTGTTTATGAGGCTCCCAGGTGCTGCTGCGGTGAGCGGTGAAGAGGCATGGCCTCAGGTGCCCGAAGGGTCTGATGGGATGGCATCGAGATCGTTGTTGAGGGGGGAGGCAGGCTGTGAACAGGTTCCAGCTACTATAGGGCCCTATAGGGGCTTAAATAGTCGCCAATACGACTTGCTAAATTGTTGGAGTTCCTGATTCTAACTATGGTAGAATATATTCCCCAAAGCCCTATTCTAATTATTAAGACCCCCATATCATCAGGCAGCCGCAAACCTCGAACAGCCCGGCACCTGAATCTGCGCGAGACGTAGACCAAACTGACCAGGGAAATTTGCTTGTGGAAGCTGAGCATCCTGTATGGGGTTCACCCATAGGTTCCATAGTAGTTCCTTTTCGGATAACCTTGTAGGATTCTAGATATGAACCAGAAAAGGAACTATATACTATGGAGCCTATGAGTAGGGCCAACTTTCGTATGGGCAGTTTGCGTAATGGTTAGTATGGAGCGGGGTCGAAGGTTATTGAGCCACCTCCCCTAGTAAAGGGGCCTTAATAATTACCTATACTATTTTGGGGCTGCCTTATTGTACTTATACTATAATGGTATAACACACCCCAAAACATCTTGTTCTCATCATTAAGGCCCCTATCTATTTTCTAGAACCCTACTATAAGACCCCTATATGACTTTCGAGCCCCCTGTTTAACGTCCCAAAACCCTAACCCTTGGCTACCCTTCACCCTAAACACTAGATCCTGAAAGCCCTAAACCCTCTAAACCTTTAATCCTTTCTCGCACCCCTAAACCCTAAAGCCTTAAAGCCCTAACTCTTAAACCCTTTACACTAATCAGAAAAGGGTTTTGGGGGCTCCTTCCCCAAACCCTAATTCTAACTATCAAGGCCCCTACATTAAACCGGTTTTAAACGTTTTTGTGCCCAGGTGCAGTTGGCTATTGCCCGCTCCTCCGCCAAAGAGCAACTTCTGGCACCCGGCCTCTGTCTCACGGTCGCACGGTCATCCAAGGCCTGGTGTAGGGTTCAGGATTTAGGGCTTGGGAGTTTAGGATTTGGGGCTTTGGGCTTAGGAGTTTAGGAATTAGAGCTTTGGGTGTAGGATTTAGGGCTTAGCGGGCTTCCGGCAGCACACCAAACGGAGACTACATGCACTAAACAGCATCGGCGGACAATCGTGTTGGCTGCTTGACCGTTTGAGTTTAACTTGGCAGCTTGATGCCCCAACATATAGGATTTGTTTGTGTGAGAGGCCTGGCAGTGTAACACAAGCCTACTGGGGGCAAGACGATCTCTGCATGCACGAGAGCGAAAGAGAGAACGAGGTGATTTGCGTTTTTCTTTGTTCTCCAACCCTGAACCCGTACCGTCGGGTTCAGAGCTTTCTGCTTGGTGGCTTCGAACTGTCGCGGGCATTTTCCCGTAGCGGCGTAGGCAACTCGGGGCTACTGACAAAGTCCGAAGCATCGCGCGGAAAAAGCTCTGCTAGAGCTTAGGGCTGAGGGTAGTTGTATTCTAGGTCCTAGGTAGAGTTTGGAGCTTCGGGGTTCTCATTAGGGTTCATGCAGAATTGTAGTTTCTGTAGGACAGTTTAGGGGTTAAGTATGAGGCTCCTACATTGCCAGCAGTTGCGGGGGCGCTTTGGGCCGCGTCTTCTTGACCCACGCGGAGCGATTTGGGGGCCATCGGCTTGGATGTGTTTTGATCCCAAACCCCAAACCCTAAGCCCCAACCCCATGCAGGACCTGGAGTTTCGCCCAAGTGCCCTTGAAAAGAGCCCCTGAGGTCCCGAATATTGCGTAGTGGGCATTGATAACGTATCACGGAGCTGGTGTAGGTATGGTATCGGATTTGCAGCTTCGGGTTGGCAGGGGCCAGTGTATCAGCCCTAAAGATTGTCCGTAAAGCGTTCTGTGAAAGATCATTGGACTTTGTATCTAGGGTTCCTTGAAGGGTACCTTAATGCATTGCAGGCCCACCTTACACTACTTGAAATAGATCTCGCCTACAGATATGTCATCTGAGCGCCATGGTTTTCAGCAGCAACACTACTCAAGAGGGAAGCAACTACTTGTTACAGCGTAGGTATACCCAAACCGAAAACCTATTTTCCTCAAATCTCTGGGGGATTCGGGTTGCGAAGCTTTTGAGGAAGCATGCTTCGCAGCCAGCCGGCAGAGTAGTCTACAAGCAAGCTTGCGTATCGTATTAGTGCCTGGACCACTCAAGCCGGAGAGTGTCAGAGCAGCTACACCCTAAAATCCTGGAGCCCTTTTGTCACTGTACTGCAAACCCATGTCAAAACATGAAAAAATTCGGGCTCACGGGGATTGTCGCAGTTTGCATTCAAAATCCTGGTTTCGCATTAAATTAAAGTTGCAATGAGCTATGTTCTAAGCAATCTATTTGCTGAATGGAGTTCGTGGGCACCGTGGAGTACAGCATAGTTGTAGTACTTGTTGTCAGAATCCTTTTGGAAAAGACACTATTGCAAATTACCCAGGCTTCGATACTACCCATAACAGCCCACGACAATCCACAACCCAAAGCATCCCAAAAGGGCTCGTCCTTGCTAAGTTGCGGAAAAGCCGCGGAACCTGGAACTTAGCCAACCCTGGTCTCCGGTGTTGGGATGACTCTACCCAGAGGCCCCAAAGTAGTTCCTTTTTGGGATTACCTCATAGGATTCTATATAAGAACCCCAAAAAGGCACTACTTTGGGGCCTCTGGGTAAAGCCTTCATTAGCGGGCATGCCTTCCCGATTCTACGCCTCTTGAAAGGAGCCCAATGAATTGGACCAGCACGGCGTCAGTGTTCTGACCGCCACCGGCTCGCAGACTTGGGAGGGGTGCTCCGAACGTGTTGGGTTAAATGGTTCAGGGTTTAGGGTTATGCTGGCCCTGTGTAAAAAGCCGCAGTTTAAGCGAGCAAAGCGAGTCTTCTTGTGAAAACAGTACCTATCGCGGCAGCAGCACGCTTTAGATTTAGATATTGAAAAACACTGCTACGTGGAAGAATGCTGATTGCAACTATCCGACCGTAACAGCCCCAAAGGCCCGAACGGCCGAAACGACCCTCAACCTTAAAGCCTCAATCTCTCAGCCTCTAATTAAGCCCTATAGCCCCAAACCTTGCATGCTACCAAGGCTAGGAGATACGATTCTTGGAGGTTTTGAGGGGTTTCGGGCAGTTTTGGGCTTGTCACTCCAACAGGTGCCAGTGAATTGCTGTGGGATTTCGGGTTATGAGCGTTTCGGTCCATGTCCCATTCACTTTCCGGGTTTTCAGTGTCTTTCGGCACGAAATCCGAAGCTTAGCCTAGGCCCATGTTATAGGGGTTTTTTGGGGTTTCGGGTTTAGGGTTCATGGAGTGGTGCCACTGAGAAACAGTGCCCTTCGGCCCTTCGTAGCACTCCCCTACACAGAGACTCCAATATCCCTTAATTAAGGAAATATTTTAGTAGGATCCCTATATAAATATGATTTAAGATATTTTCCGCAAGTAGGGGGGTATTGGAGTCTCTGGGTACATGTCCTCATGTTAAACTTGCCCCGAAACCTTTCAGGCAAAAGGTCCAAACCCACCGACTTGCGCAGGATCGCAGGACGCCTGTAGAACTGTCAGCAAACACCCTTGAAAACCCTTGTTGGACCATCGCGGAATAGCAAAACAAAGCTTTAAACTGCACCTCTCTGGATGTTTTGTGAAAGCCTACAATATAATAACCCTACATGTCAACCTTTAGCACATAACCCCGGCCGCTCTCACGTTTTCGCAACATCCTTGCCGAACTTGTATACAAATCCGCAACCTGCAGCCCTAAGCACCCTGGCCGCAAACCCTAAATCCACGAACCTTCAACCCAACCCTGGAGCCCTGCAGCTTTCAACTAAAGAGACTGAAACTCTGTTACTCTGCTTTGAAAAGTCACCGAGGACATCTCAGAAGGCTCTGAGGTGAGCAGCTCCTTTTCGCTGGCGGCTTTACCGGTGCCTTGGCCTTTCGGGGTTTAGGGCCTAGGGTATATATGTTGGGTTTAGGGTTAGGGTCTAGGCTTTAGGATGGTTTAGAGTTAGATGTCTTTAGAACCCCCTTCCCCCATTGGATGCACACATTGTGCTATCGCTTTGGGTGACCTTTCAACGGTTTCAGCTCTTGCGACATTTGTTTCGGAGATGTTCTATTCTTGGCTCAGTTATTGCGGCAGTTGCTTAAACAGTTGCGGCCGCAAGTTTTCTCTACTTTAAAGTTGTTTTCTCTACTTTAAGCCTTGATTTGTTTACTTTAACCTCTACGTTCTCTGCTTTATTTGGTGTTCTTTAAACTTGAACCTCTGGCTTCTCTACAATATCTGTTTTTCTGAAGCAGGTTTTACGACAATCAAACAGCCGAAGCGTCACAACAACTGCCTTTACTATCCAACAATTGTCGCAACACGTGCCGCAAGTTCTAAACAATTGCCGCGCCGCCTGGGTGTACCATTTTAGCACTAGGCTAGTGTTAAAGGTTTGGGGCTCATAGGTTTTAGGATTGCCTGTAGGGATTTTTAGGTTTATGGCTTCGGGTTTACATGAGCATCCGTCATAATTTTCTTAAATGTAGTCAAGCATACCGTAACCTTGCAGAGGCGGTCTTGGCCAAGCCCCTGGAATAGCGATGGAACCCACGCAAGGAAAGAAATGATCTTTCTAACATCTATATCTATCTGCATTTTGTATTATTTTGTGTTGTATTACGTTGCATTTACACACACTCTTTCTCTCATATTATATATATATATATATATTTATTTGTTTATTTGTTTATTTATTTATTTATTTATTTTTCTATGTATTTATTTACTTATTTATTTATTTGTTTATTTACTTATTTTTTTCTATTTATTTGTACATATATATTTGTACATATATATATATATATCTATAAATAATGTGTGTGTTGTTGTGAAGGTTCATTGCTGCAGCATTTGTGCCTAGTTTTTCCTGATATGTGGCTAGACAATACATACCGCATTGTTCGATACCAGCCAGATCGTCTTGTGACCACTGCCCATGCTGACGAGATGATTGTTGCCGCTGTTCTCTCTACCATTGCGACGAGTGCTGCCGTCACCACAGTTACTTTGCTACGCGTGCTACTATGCTTAATGTCTTGTGAGTACAGCGATACCTCGCATGACATTTTTCGCAAGACCCCCTGAAGCGACCGGACTACCCAATTCACCCACGGTTAGGCCAGAAGCAAGAAGTATAACAAAGTCTCAAAAATCGTTTAGGGCTTGTTCGTTTGCATGGTTCTGTCCGATTGTTTGTGCTGGTGTAGTTTCTAGGGAGTTTTTTGTTTTTGTCGTGATTGCTTCAGTGATATTATGGTGTCAAAAGGGGTCTTCAGAGCGTTTTTGAGGGGTCCCGTATGATTTTCGTCAGGGCTTTAGAGGGGAGTTGGAACGGAGTTTGTTGAGGGTTTGTGATTTTGATGGCTTTTCGGGCTTAGGGTGAGTTGAGGGGTTTAAGGGTTCAGAAGGGTTCCGTGGTTTGGGAGAGTTTCAAGGGTTAAGGGTCCAGTGTTCATTCATTGGTCAGTTTAGGGTCTTGGGGTTCGCTTCGAAACCGGTCATGAGGATTTTTTGAGGGCTTATCCTTATTTACAGGACTTCATGGCGGGTTACATCGGTTTATTGCCGGGGGGGTGCGGTGGGGGTTCTGTGGGCTTTCTACGGTTTTACATGGGTTGTAGTGTGGGGTGACTTGGTGTCTAGTGAAACTCGTCAGAGCTCTCATCTCTAAACCCCTAAACCCCCAAACCGCCGTTGAAGTGGAGCCGAGGTTCTGGATTCCAACCCGCCAGATGCCCCAAGCACCTCGTCGGTTTTAGGGGTTTAGGTCTTTCGGGTTTAGGGTTCAGGCATTTAGGGCTTTAGGGATTTGTCAGGGGTTCTATGTTCAGTGTGTATTGGTGGCTTTAGGACGTTGGTTCACCCGCTTTTGTGGCTTGAGGTTCCGGAAGTTTGTGCCAAATGATTCTGGCCAACGTTCGATATCTGGGTTTCGAAACGTTGCATTCGTAGACAACCTGCTGCATGGGGTCCAAGGAGCACACTAAAACACTAAACACGAAATTCCCAAGTGGAGAGATCGGATTTTGGCAAGCCCTACACCTACCCCAGCCCGGATGAGTACTACTGTGTACCTGCCATGTTCGAGGTCCCTTAGTTCATACCGAGGGTCCTTTGCCTCAGACATCTTCGTGTTCGGGGCTTTAGGATTCTAAATTTTGGGCCTTTAGGGTTCTAAATTTTGGGCCTTTAGGGTTCTAAATTTTGGGCCTTTAGGGTTCAAGTAGTAAACAGGCCTGCATAAATCTGTCGACGCCCGCTGGCCAAAACTAACCCCAGAGCTGTCGATAATCGAGAAGCTCAGGCATGGGAGACCTCTGTCCAGCAGGGAGCTCAGCGACGTTCTGAGGTTTTCATTCTCGTACTAAGGAGCAACAAGGAAATTCCGACTCCTATATTCCCGTGGTGAACTAAAGCATTCAAGCATTCTGACTCCTATGTTCCTGTGTGAGGAACCTTGAGCCGGTCGGCTCTAAAAGGAATTGAAAGCTCCCTCGAAGGTCAATCCCCAGCAGCAGCCAGTAGAGTGGTGGCTCAAGATGGCCCAGGACCTTTTGGCAGAGGGTTTGTGTTGAGCTCGCTGTTTTTTTTAGGGAGTTTCCGACAATCAGGGTTACGTTTTTTTGGGGTGTCCCTTTCATAAGGGTCCTATTGTTTGTGGTACTATCTTTGAGCCCCCTATTTTTCGAATCTCCCACATCCCTTGGTTAAGGATCCGGTAGGAGTATTCCTTCACCACCTCTTGGCTTGTTAGAAGTCCTGATGTCGGGTTTGGGGCGGGTTACAAGCACAAGCAGGGTTTTCGAATCTTCGTGCCTCAAAGATGCACTTCCGCGCGGCGAGACGTTGAGGGACGCAAATGTTCAGTCTTATGGACTTCCGACATGTTCCCAAGTGCAAAAACCTGAAAATCAAGGCTACAAAATGGATGTAAATAGGTCCCAGCTAGGGCTAGGGACCTACGCAGCAGCCCTCAGACGGCCGCGATACGGGTTTACCCTCTAAGGCATGGACATGATTTATGAAGCCTATTGTTTCTGAGCAAACCGACCATTGGGCGTTGCATGCTGTTGTTTGGAGGACCTGGTATCCCAGTAGCCTTGAGAAGTGCTCCAACCATTTTTGAGTCAGCGTCCGAGAATGTATCGCTCCTTCCTGGCTGGATGCACCTGATGTTTAAGCCTAGGTAGCAGCAGAGCGCACGCTCCAGATACAGATACCTAGATGAGCCAACACACCATATCCCTAAGGGTCCATGTACCCATATAGAGATACATGAGCCCCGGAGTACCTATATAGGGACTACATGAAGGCCAATGCACATACTATACGAGTACATGGACCCTTAGGGTATTGACAACTCGTATGTATCCCGCTGCCATCGCTGCTGTAGGCAAGGGACTGCAAGCCCTAACCTCCTCAACCGTGAACCCGCACCAATTCCTGGACCCCTTTGACACCCTATATTCAAAGCAGTCTTTGAGCTTGAACCCTATTAAGATATAGTAATAATAATATAATAATAATATAATAACAATATAATAATAACAATATAATACTATAACCTTAAACTAATAGTACCCCCAACTCCAGAATACCGGTACCAGACCCTGCAGCCCTGGAAACTCCGCAAACCTTTGGTACGCTTCGCTCAATCGAGAGCCCTGGACCGCGCAAGCAACGATGGCTCCGCGCGGTCTTGGGATTCAGGGTGAACTACGTAGTTGCTGCGCGGATCTTGAAGTTTGTGTTCGGAATCTGAACATGAATGAACCAAGATCCTCTTCTTGCGAGTCCGAGAGCGAGAGATTTACAACCCCGTCACAGCCAGTAGAACTTCCGTGAGCATGTGTTATAAGTAGGGCTATAAGCTATAAGTCTTATATTATGGGTTTATAAGTACAGTCATCCTAACCCTAAACCCTAAATCCAGGACTCCTCGCCGACTCCGTGCATGCCCCAGGGGAAATTGGCCAGAGCGGGGATGCAGGGTTTCTGGCTCTAGGCGTTCGGACCCATGTGTACTTAGCGATGTCAAGGTTGGTTGAGCATGCTTGCTGGCAGGCTCCTTGGAATACCGTATGACATGAATGGGTAAGCACCATGTGCCGAATGCAGTACCCATAGACTTCAATATCCCTTCATGAAGGAGTATACCTTTAATTTAGTCATACTAGGGACCCTCCTACTGTAACTTAAGGCATGTTCGGGGGGGTCTGGGAGTCTCTGGGTAACTCCAGGGTTAAAAGCGGCGTCAATACATTCTCGGCCTCTTCCTGCAGGGGCAGCTTCCCGGCTACTCAACCCTTAGGATGTCTTGAAGGCTGAGCCCTTTAGCTCGTAAGGAACAAGTAGTTGCCCAGAGGCCCCAAAGTAGTTCCTTTTTGCTAGGACCTAGAGTAGGCCCTTATTCCCTTTTTTGGGGCTCAGGTTCCCTTATAAGCCCCTTTAAACTAAAAGGTGCACCCTTTTTATTCCTAGGCTACTCTTGGGTCTAGTTTGGGATTACCTTATAGGATTCTACATATGAACCCCAAAAAGGAACTACTATGGGGCCAACGGGTATTCACTACCTTCGAGCTTGGGCGAAGGCTGAGAGCCAAGCGGCATCCGCATAATGACGGCTGCAGCCGATTCCCTAAGGGTCCATGTACCCATATAGACATATAGAGATACATGGGCCCCAAAGGACCTGTATAGGGACGACATTAAGGCCAATGTATATACTCTATGAGTACATGGACCCTTATACCCTAAACCCTTATCGAACCCTTATAGATCCCTTAAAGGATCCCTTATGGTACCCTTAAGGGACCCTTAAACTATAGGAGTACATGGACCCTTAGGAATTGTGAATCGGCTCTTACCATAGCCTGAGTGGGCGTGCTACGCTGCGTACACAAGATGCATCCTCCAAACTGTCGATTCTCATCTTTATAGGGCAAACATAACCCTAAACCCAAAACCCTAGGAAAAAACAAAGCTCACTAAACCTTCAACCCTAAACCCTACCCCCCCCCCCCCCCCCGGAAAGACAACTCCGATCTGCGAAGCCCAGGGCTTCCGCTTCTACTTCACGGGGATCCATCTTTGCAAGGCTTCCGCCGGAGTCCATCCTTGGGGAGGCGCCGGAGAGAAACCCTAAACCCATAGAGAACGTCTGAGGCCCCAACGGGCTCCTATGGTGATATTCAATACTATGGGTAGTTGTCAAAATTAGGGTCCCTTAAAAGGGGGGGGACTGCGGGCTTCCTTTGTGCGGCTGAATAGGGATCCGAGGATTACTTGGAGGTTCATGGGTAGTTATAAGTGGAGTTCTAAGTCCCCTAATACATATGGGCTATAAGTTCTAAGTATACTTACCGTACTTATAACCACCCATGAACCTCCAAGTAGGGCCCTTGACAAAAGTTTGGAGGATCCTGAAGTCAAGGGCCCTGAACCCAGCAAGAGCATGTCACGGCACCTCGTTATCAAAATTAGGGTCCCTTAAAAGGGGGGACTGAGGGCTTCCTTTGCCATGCTGATGTTGATACAATGAAGCTGAGGGAACATTCGGACCATCACCATGTCGGTTATGTTGTTGGCGCGTAAAGGTGTTCAGGAAGATGGTGATGATGTTGACGACATGGACGACAAGAGGCGACGACGACAGCACGAACGCCGCTGATGACGCTGCTGATGGCCAAGTTGGACGGTTTAAGTTTTAGGGTTTGGACGATGCTTGTTCCCCTAATGGACCGTAGTCGTAACCCATCAAGAATCATCATCGGGAGCTTCGGGGCGGAAGCTCTCGAAGCCGAGCCATGTTTCCCTGCCAGGGCAGCTACGGGGTGGTCTGGCGGGCACTGGACCGCCAGACGAAGAAGTGCTCCAGCTGCAGACAGATGGTCAATGGTCAAGTGCCTTCAGGGATTCCGGGAAGCTGAAAGGGTCCCGTTCACCATGGGCATTTGGGATGGTTTTGTATATAGATTTCAGTATCCCGATACTTCGTGACCACTACAAAGCATCCTTGTTTTCATTTTGTGGAATGTTGGGGGTCTTTGGCGAGTCGATGTCCAGCCTGACTGATAGACATCAACCCCCCAGTCGGCAAGGCCCAAAGCCTTGCATCGATTCCTCTCTGAGCTCAAAAACCCTAAAATCTGTGATCCTCGCCAACGTATGTCGGAGAGTGAGTGCTGACAGGCCTTACCATGCTGGTTCTTCGAACCCTAGTCGGGGAGTGATATCGACCGCTGGTGCCTTGCCTTCGCTAAGGCTCTATGCCGTGAAGAACATCCGTCAGAAGCAGATTCTCGACTGCGGTTCTGATGGCTGTTGCATGTCTACCCAACCATAAAGCAAAAAAACCCAGCCCCCTTTCGCTGAGAGTAACCCGAGAAAGGGATCAAAGCAATTATTTTAAGGTCTCTTTGCATTCCTTTCATGCCACTGTTACTGTAGGGTCCCACCACAGCAACTGGCCCTCTTCCACTTACTTCGGCCACTCGGTTGTGTACTGCGACGAGGTGTGTTGAGTGCCGGGATCGCAGACCCCAACTCCGAAACACGCAGCTGTTGCGTGATACATGGTCTTTATTTCTACCCAGAGGCTCCCCAGTGCTTCCTTTTTGGGGTCATGTTTAGAATCCCAAGAAGGAACTACTTTGGAGCGTATGGGTAGAAACCTTCAAGCCGAAGCTAGTCACGTTGCGGTCTTTCCATAGTTCGAGCATGAGCTTCTCTGCGAGCTCGTCGCAAGCAGCCAGAGGCCAGTCTCTATGACCACAGCCTGGGCTTCACATTTTTTAGTAGACGAAACCAGACTAACCAATACTAATGCCAATAGCTACTTTTGCCCATTACCTGATACATATAAAGCCCACTACTGATACTGCTACGGATTCTATAGTATGCTGTACTATAGTTTAACGTGGCTTTTGTGGACGACACTGTACTACACCACACTATAGGCACAACAGCTACAGTACACAGTGCCATGCCATACTGCACTGTACTTTACTGCACTGTGCTGTGCTACAGCATACTACGTTGTACTATGCACTACTACTATAACACGCTAGACCATATGCTGCTATGCTATACTACACTTTTCCATACGATACAATACAAGACTTGTTTTTGTCACTATCTTTGTTGGAGACGCTTCTGGAAATCCGAAGTCTACAAGGAATACCTCCGACGTCTCGCGGCGTGAGTTCGAGGTGGCCTCCCCTTCTTTTATCGTGGTTTTTGTGTGGTCCAAGGTTAAGGGTTTCGGATTAGGGTTTAGGGTTTAGGGTTTGTGGGCTTCAGGTTTGGGGTTTGGGGTTCTTGGGGCTTACCTTAACCCTGAAGAACCTACCTTTTTAAGGACTTACATAAGGAAATCATAATAGGGAACCCTAAAAAGGTAGGTTCTTCAGGGTTAAGGTAAGGTTTAGTGTTTAGGATTGCTTGGCGGAGATTTGAGGTCTGTTGCCTCGAAAGCCCTGAATCGTCGGCCCTGGACAACCTTAGCAGGAGCCTTCAAGCCGGAAAAGCCACTTGCAAAGGCAGCCTGACTGTAATCTTGGAGCCGCAAGCCATAGAACGGTTTCGATCATAGATCGCTCATATCCTTGCCGTGAATGATCCACACAGTGACTGAGATCAAGATCTGACTAGCCGTCTCCATCGTTGTGCTGACTGTAACGAACCCACGCACCCATCTTTCAGACCGATACAAGCAGATTCTATGTTGTGGCTTCGCTGACTGTGTTTCAGGACCCCTTCCGCATACTTGTGAGTGTATGTTTGGATGTCCTTTCGGGAGATTATTCCTAGCGGTCCAGATCCAGGTGGTTTACCTATAGTCTCAATTTTAGTTCCTTTTGTTGGCAAACCAACAATGTACAATGAGGAGCCTATAAGGTAGGCCCCACAAGGAACTACAATGGAGAGTATTGAGTATAGGTAGTTTCGGGTTTTACTTGATCTCCCCAGCATTTGCTCTCGTTGCCTTGGCGTTAGGGTTGTCATCTCTTTTCCTGCACCCTTCGGGGAGACCGCACGAAAGTTCGCGAGGTGGCGGACCACATCCGCATGAAGCCGCATCCCTGCATCGTCCAGTCCGGTGGCTCAGTATCTTCGAAAAGGGTATGAGGGTTTAGGGTTCAGGGGCCGTGATTCCAGGCGGGCATATGCAAGTCTGCGCAAAACAGGGGCCGTGATTCAACGAGTATATCTGCACGAACGTCGGTTCATCTTCGCAGAATTGGAAGTATTGTTTTCCATGCAAATTACGTATCGCTGCGGCGGGTTATCAGTGAGTGTGAACTCTTTCCGGAGTCTATCTTGCAAACATCTACCGCCACCTCGAGTGACGGTTTCAGGTTCGGCATGACATGTTCCAGCTTCGCACTGTCTCCTCGCCAGGATGGAAAGCATGCGAAATCAATCTCCCATTGTGACCCTAAGCCCAGATCCTACAGGCTCTATACACCACCTCATGCACAGAAGACTTTGCAAAAAAGGCTGTGATCCCAAGCCCTGAACCTGAGAGTTGAAGTTTCGGATACTGATGACTTGATACTGAAGGGGCCTTAAGAACTACCTACCTATACTATTTGGGGGGGGGGGGCTCCTTATTATAAGTATAGTATAGTGGGCCCCCAAACCTTATTCTAATTATTAAGGCTGCTACAGTACCGTCAATCGCATCCTTACTTCTGTAGAGTCATGACCTTGTTTCACCAAGTCGTGATACTCGCCGACATTCAGCTGAGTCCGGGAGTGTGAGCATGAACTGCCGGCAGTAGCCCACGTCTAGCATAGAAGCCGAAACAACTACCCATGTTCTTCCTTTGGGTTCCTTATCTGTAATCATTAAGGCCCTTCCTTAGTCTGCTAAGTTAATCTCGTCTGCTTTGAGGGTTTCGTGTTTCGAAGGCCCAAGCTTCCCCAATGAAGCGCTATAGAATTGTTGTCTAGGCTTCAGAGTACACACTGAACTAATCCGTAAGCCCCTAAACCCCGAAACTTGAAACCATAAAGGCCCCCAAAAGCAAAGCAGAAGCGAACAGGCTCTTCAGCTGAGCGAATCGGAGCACGTCGTATGTCTGCAGACGTTGCCTGGGTTCTTCCGAGTGGAGCAACAAACAAAGCCTAAACCTCTAATCCCTTCAAGCCCCAAACCTCAAAGCCTCTGAACCTTGAGCCTTAAAACCTAAACCCCGAAACCTGCTTTGCAGATTCCAGACTCATAATCAGGCAGACGGAAAAAGGCGTTCAAAAAAAAAAACTGAAACCTAAACCCTATACTTCCACAGGCTCTTCTTGGTTCACAACTATCAGGATGCCGGTCTGTATGCCGGATGCTCAGACTTCGGCTGAAGACCATGAGGATGGGTAGGATAGGGTTCGGAAGAGTTCGTATATAGTTGTATTCCCTATAATGGCCCCTCCCTCCCCCCTCCCTATGAGGGTGGGCAGTATGGAATAATTCGTATACAGTAGCATTCCCTATAATAGCCCATCTCTCTCTCTCTCTCTCGCTCTCGCTCTCCCTCTCTCTGTCTGTGAATGTGTGCGTACATAACACACACATATACATACATACATATATATATATGTATATATATATACATACATACATATACAGTTCTACATCGGGTATAAGATATACCTCCAGTAGACTGTTTTCTGAGCATATTCTAAGCATTCAGGTCCCTATTCTGTGCTCTTTAACTTTTGACAGTCACTAAGCGATTGATAAGACCTTCTATATCCCTTTTCGCGCCCTGTTGGACTTGCTTTGCGGGTGCTGTGGGTTGCAAGCATTATGGGTTTTGAGAGCTTCTGCCTTCGATGCAAAGGCCGGAGCAAGGGAATGTGACAGGGGAGTGAGAGGGAGGGGAGGGGGTCTGGATAATTACCAGAGTAGGTTTTAACGTTTCGGGGTTTATGGGTCTAGTGTGTGTTCACAATATGCCCTGGTTAGGTGGTGCTTAGGGTGTCCCTTATTCGAGCTTAAAGTATATGGTTAAGTCCCAGTTTCTAGATAGTTGTACTACAGTATTATGCAGCCAATCCAAGCATGGCGAGTAAGTTGAAGATCAGGAAGCCTACAAACCTTAAACTAAGCCTGTCAGATCCCTTTTGTACCCCAAGGACACGGTTGCGTAAAGTATATTGAAGCTAAAGTGACTACCCGTACCATTCCTCGGCCTCCCTTATTTTCACTACAGTATACTATACGCCAGGACCCTATTCTGATTCATGATGCCTCTGTATCATAGAACCCTTATTATAGAATCCGAGTGCACCCCGATAAAGAGCTTTAAAGGACCCTAGTCTAACTCTCAAGGCCTCTTGTCGTTATCTCAGTTAATGCACGTGGACCTGACTGGAGCAAAGCTGGATCCCTCAATCCTCCATTCAACGGATACTTCTGAATCAGTGTTCCCTATAAACTAGCACGGCACCCTTATATCTAGGACATAAACGGGGACCCTAGTTTAGAAAGCTACCTAAAGCATGAGTGCGAACTGCAGCGAGGAGGGAGACTCGTGACTCATGTCCCATGATACAGAGGTTTGGGTATTTACTACAAATGTTCGCGCGTAGTCCATACAGGAACAAGCAGTATCACACACCCACCGTCTAAAACACTTCCTCCAATTTTCCAGGTCCTTCCTCTGCACAGGCCCACAAAGCCAGACACGAACTTCCAAAACCACCCAAAGACAGCACGCCCGAAAGCCTTAATCAACCGGGGGCTGTGTTCCACTCCTCGGACTCCTCAGTCGAATTCTCAGATCTCGAAGTCAGGGCTCATGTTTAGGGCTTCGGGGTTTCGATATGCGGATCTTGGGTTTCTTAATCTGACTTCTCACAAACGATCATGTCTTCTTCATAATGACCACACATCTTTCTGCTGCTTTCTTAGCAGGAGTACCCTAAAATCATAGACCCTTTAATCCAAGAACAACGTAAACTACGCTTACGAAAGAACCGCCGAGGTTCTAGTCATGGAGCTTTGCCCAGGAGGACTGCGATGTCAACTTGTGTTTGCTTGAGTCGTTGGTCGTTGGTAGTACTTGGCTTTACTTATAGGCTCCATAGTCGTTCCGTTTTGGGGATCATAACTAGCATCCTATGAGGTAATCCCAAGAAGGAATTACCATAGAGCCTATGGGTGCTTCTGCTATGAGGCTGAAGCTTTCCTCGCCCCCGGGCTGCCTCGCAGGGCTGTTGTAGGAGTTCGGGCTCTGGTCGAGCAGCAAGGTGCTCAGCGATAGCAGACTCTAGGGTTAAGGGTTTAGGGTTAAGGGTTGCAGCTGATAGTGTTCATGCAGCAAGCCGCCGATGCTGCCATGGTACACCCCGCCTGCAGGGCTGCCGCCTGCTGCAGGGCCTCTGCAGGGATTGGCAGGAGTTGCAGGCGTGCTTGCAGCCTCCGGAGAACACCACTTCGAGATACATTCCCGCCAGCATCACCTGCCTCCACGATCCCTCCTGCAGTTCCGCTGGAGCCTAAGACTGCAGAGCCGGAATCGGACGACACTGCCCGAAGAGGGCGAGAAAGGAACCTGGAGCCGCAGCCGAGAGGGATGCAATGGTCTCTTTATAGGGTTTAGAGGTTTGGAGCTTAGGGGTAATATGGTTCCGAAACCATGATCTGTGTTTGGTACGGTCAGGGTCTAGAACTCTGAGCAGCATTCCTAGGGACATGCTACACACACAGAGAGTGTGTGTGTGTGTAGATGGGAATCTCCCGGAGCAAACCACAAGATTTGGCAGTTTCCGAAAATAGGGGACCCTAATATAGTACCTTAAATAGTAGGACCCTTATTATAAGGACCCCCCAAATAAGGTACCCCTATTTTCGGAAACTCCCATCTGTCTTTCAGCCATGCAGCGTCGCATCAGCGCACTACATCCTTCAACGTCGTGCAAAGCCGCATGCATCCCGACAATGGCATAGCATAGAAGCATATTATGTTTGTCCCTGCATTACAGCCCCGACCTCGAGGATTTGCTGGGTTCGGAGGCTTCAATACGATTTGGTTTTGATTTCCCTGTACTTGAAACCAGGGGACGGAACTTCATTCTAGCTCCCCGCAATCTGTGTAACAGTCGCCACTTGAGCCAGCTTTAAAGGAATAGCAAAGGGACTACATTGGAGGGTGTCGGGAAGACCCACGCACAACATGTTAACAACCCCTAAATCCACTAACCCTGAAGGCTTTTGCCCGGGTTCCCGGCAATTCGAAAGCCATGAACCCCCAAACCATCCCAAGGTGACCCACTGTAGCCCTTTTCCGTAAAACCCCTAATTGCAGCTAAGTTTCATGTCCGGTGGCAGACAGATATATCTTGTATTCTAAATCCCATAACACGCTCTAGTCCTTCAACCCCATACACACCTCATAAACCCCACTCCTCACGTAAACCCGACAGTAACCCAAAACTCTGAACCCAAACCCTAAACCCCGCCTGTCCCTAAGGGTCCATGTACCCAAGTAGTATATACTGTGTCCCCAAAGTACCTATGTAGGGACTACTTCAAGGCACCTAAAATGGGATTATTTTCATGCTTTAAAGCCAAAGCATACATGGTTTGGGGTACATGAAGAACTTAAAAAAAGGGGCTACTTTAAGGCTTTAAAGCCAAATGGGTGGCCCAATATTTAGGGTACCCCAAAAGGGACAAGGGACCATTATTTTGACAACTACCCACATGGAGCCTTAGGCTGTGGGCGCCCTCGGACTCTGGGATCCCTGCAGGAGACCTTTTGGGACGAATCAAGGCGAGTCGAAATCGACTTGGGCCAAGGCACCCGGATCTCAACTCAACTGCGGGGCCGGGATTTAAGTCTTGCCTATTGTTTCCATGATTACCTATACTATTACTATTCCTTAGGGTTGCTGTAAAGGGGTCTCTCAGGGTGACTATAATGGATACTATATAAGGGTGCCCTGATATAGGGGCCTTATAATAGTTACCTAGATTATTCTTTTTTGGGGGATCTTGTTATAACGATAGTATAATGGGCCCCAAAACACTCTTCTAATTCGTAAGGCCCCTGTATTCTAGTCTCCATTGTAATCCCCGTGCTTGGTTGGACCAATTTAAGTTTAATGCTACAGGACCCTAGCCTTACCTTAACCCTGAAGAACCTGCCTTTTTAGGGTTCCCTATTATGATTTCCTCATGTAAGTCCTTAAAAAGGTAGGTTCTTCAGGGTTAAGGTAGGGACTGTTAACCAAAAGAATGCAATGGAGACTACAGGCGCGGTTCAGGTTTGTGGGGATGTGGGTTTAACTTCTGGAAGTCGCGAATTTGGGTTATTGTGGTGTTGGTCTATCAAGTTTCGGCTCGAGGTTTCATTCTGGGCTGTAGGGTTTTGAGGTTCAGTTGCAATTTGTGGTCTTACTGTAGCTTTTCAGAAGGGTTCAGGGTGGCTTCTGTGTACTTCAAACCTTCGAAAAGCCAGACAGACAGAACTCATATGTGGAGAGTTCTGGGTTTGCGTTTGTGGTTTCGCAATGGCCATTTTCAGTCGGCAGTCTGGCCCGAAATACGGGAGTAGCAATTGCAACAGGACTGCAAGCAGCTGCGCTGACACTGACATTGATATTGCCTTCGCCTGGCATTATAATACTCACGAGATCAGTCGTGTTAGCTGTCGTTTTTCTCATGTACGTCTCTGCATAAACTCTCTATAACCCCATAACGATTCCAAGCGATGAACTCGAGACTGCAGTGTGGGCAGTCAAGGATCTTCACCCCTGCTGGCTCTACGTATTTGCAACGTTCCTAAGCCTTGCAACCCTAAACTATAAGGCTATAAGCCCTAAGCCTCGACAAAGCTGGGAATGCTTGAGCTAGAGGCGATACGAAGCCCCTCCGCAAGCGATTCCATGGATCGCACAAGCTTGGGACTTAGCCGGGGCATGTCGTGACTTTGCGCTTCGGAGTGCGACGGCTTGGAGCGGAAGGGAGGGGTCAGGTAGGGGGAGGAGGGGAGGGGTGTTCTTATGCATTGTAGGGGCTGGCGGAGCGTTGAACCCCCAACAAATTGGGATACAAGACATTGCTGCCCTAAGCCCTAAACCCTAAACCCACCAGTATCGCTATCACCAACACTGCCGACGGCGACAGCGACTACGGGAGGCACAAGCAGACCTTAGTTAAAGAGATCAACGGAAGAAGATGCTACGAGTAAAAAGACAAACAGCTTCAATTTCACTGTTACAACCATTAGAGTACATAGTAGCCGTAGTCGCGGAGTGAACAGGAGTAGTAGCTGCAGTAGCATTAGCAGCATCAGCAGTAGTAGTAGGAAGAAACATCAGAGCAGCAGCCGCCTTTGGAGCAATGGCAGTGCTCGCCTGGAAAGGCAGTGTCCTACAGTTAATGCTTCCTATTTATCCAAGCACTCGCTCTGGCGCGAAAACCCAATGGAGCTCTTCGAAGCTATAGAGAAGAGGGTTTGGTTTTGGGTTTCCCTGGATCATTACGAAGTCTGAGGTCTTCTTGGGACTGGAGCACATGCACAAGCGCATGCTGACACTGCCTCCCAGCTGCGACTGTGTAGGATCCGTCGTGTGTGATTGGGCGTGGTGCATATATAGTTGATTTAAGTGCAGAAGGTTCTCCTTTCAACTTGTCTTCCTCGATGCACGATCCTGCGGACCACACATAATGCTGCAGCTACAGCTCGAAACGTCGCTCCGATCCTTCCCAGCTTAAATCTATATACTCGTCAAAGTGGCATTCAGCTTTCAAGGTTTTCACAAGCCTGAGCCTTGAAACATCGGCGTGCTGGTGTATCAAGTTCCGGCGAAAGCTACAGAGCACAGAGAAGAGCATAGCGACGGTACAAACAAACACTCTTTTCGTGGAACGTCGGCATTTGGGCGGCAGTCCGAACGCTACATTCATATGTATATATGTATACATACATGTGTGTATGTGCATGTGGATTAATGTAACTGTGTTGTGAGCTTACATTGACTTATCTATGTACAAACATATACAAATTTTGTTAAAGCCTTACCAGAGGGTTTGGATGGTGTTTGGGCGCGCACTTGTGCAGCATATGTTCTATCAGGACTTGTAACCCTCGAGCTGCACTCATTGCTTCATGTTCGTGTAGAAAAGCCTTTCCTAACCCTGAACCCTAGGATTGTTCGAGTGTGAGCGCCGGAATCGTAAACCAGAACCTCTACAACCCAAAACCCGTCTCCAAGGCCCCAAGGTCTGTTAGAGTCGTGAAGGCAATTTTAATCCCCAGCACTATTTGCTTTTTCGAACCTCCCGGGGCCTTGCGATTGATTCCAAAGCCCTAGACTCTGTGCACAAACCTTAGAGGCTCCCTAAATCCCAAACCCTACTTTAACCCTGAAGAACCTACCTTTTAGGGGTTCCCTATTATGACTTCCTTATATAAGTCCTTAAAAAGGTAGGTTCTTCAGGGTTAGGGTCAGAACCCCAAACCCCGAAGCTCTGATGAAATCCGATTTGCGCGGGTCCTTCCCTAAACCCTAATCCCTAAACCCTAAACCCTAAGCCTACCCCGTGCGAGAGTGAGAGGTGATTCCACACGCATTGATACTCAATCGTGCGGTAGAAATGCCGCAAACGCCGTCATTATCCTTCGGGCCCTGGCTGGCGCTGGGGATCAGGAGGTTCAGGGTTCTATGGACTTGTTCAGTCGTGAGATGAAGCAATTCAATGAAGGTGGACCTCATTGTTATGATCCCCTGCGAGTGACGCGTGAGGCTTTCACCGGTTGGGACATGGCCAATCTGGGAATGGTCGTCGTGACCCACCTCAGCGGAGTCTGGTACAAGGTTGATGGATGCTATGGAGATGCGGACAGTGTGAGCCTGAACGTCGGCAACCAGGAGAGTCCATGCTGGTACAGCCCGGCCCTGGTCAGGACGTTCCATGGAGCATCGCACTGGACTGTAGTCATGGCGTCCCATGAGATGACAACGTGCACCAAGAAGAAGGCAACACAGTGGCCAGAGATGGATGAGCAGTTACTTTTACTAACGAAGATCTGGGTCCCAGGAGCCTGGACGGACATCAGAAGTCACTGCAAGTTTCACTCACCTAATGTAGGAACCTGATTAAGAAACCCTGGCCCTAAAACCCCAAAACAATAGGATTCATATAAGGAACCCTAATAAAGGCCCAAGGTTTCTTAATCGGGTTCCTACATTACCAGCTTTTGCCGTCTATAGCCCCTAAACACCTGAATCTCACCGCACCAGATGCTCTTTCCGCCACAATCCTTCAATCTACAGACTTTGGACCGAGAGCCTTTAAAAGAAAGAATTCACCGCAAGGAAGCGTAACAGGGAGTCCGCAGAGAAACCCAAAACCCTGAACCTTCTCACTTTAACCCTCCGCCTTAAACGCCAAACCCCGAAAGGTACCCCTCAAATTAGAGGAACCCCTGAAGCCTCCCCAAACCCCGAACACCGAGAAGCCGCAAAAGCTAACCCCTCCAACCGCAAAACCCGAAACCCACTTCTATGTAACCTCGCAAGGAATCCTCGAGCCCTCGACTTGTAACCCTTAAACCCTGAACCCTGAACCCTGCGAGTGAGTCGAAACCCTGAACCCTGAACCCGAAACTCGCCCCTACATACCCTTGCAAGGAATCCTGGAACCCTCAACCCTTAAACCCTGAACCCTAAACACTTGTTGCTTCGGAGTTACCCTGCAATGCGGGCTTGTCCTTGCTAGGTAGGAGGGCGAAAACCCTGAACCCTGCGAGTGTGTGAGTCGAAACCCTAAACCCTGAACCCTGCAACCCTAAACCCCTGAAACCCTAAACCCGAAATCCTAAACCCGAAACCCGAAACCCTAAACCCTAAACCCTGAACCCTGCAACCCTAAACCCCCGAAACCCTAAACCGGAAACCCTAAACCCGAAACCCTAAAACCGAAACCCTGAACCCTGAACCCCCGAGGCTAAGAGACCTAAAGCCGGAGAATGTCGTCCTAAGCTCCGAAGGTGGGCTTTGGGTGTTCATCTATTCTTCCTTGTGGCTTAGGGGCTTTAGGGTTTGGGGGTTTAGGGTTTATAGGGGTTTAGCGTTTAGGGGTTTAGGGTTTAGGGATTTGGGGATTTAGACTGGCTAGACTTGAGTCCAGTGGCAAAAAGGGTTTAGGGATTGGGGTTCAGAGTTTGGGGGAACCTTAGCGGAAGAGCGGAGCCTGCAGCAAAAAGGGATGAGGCTCTGCAAAGGGTCCCTGTACAGAAGGGTTTCTAGGGCACGCAGTTCGGGGAGTTCCGCAAGGAGGTGTTTCGAAGAAGGCTTCTGTAGGGCAGGGTTTGTGTTTTTTTTGGGACTGGGAGTTTTCGGAGTCTAAAGACCGCTTCTACTCAGGAAGTTAAGGGTTTCGGTGAATTTGTTTAAGAGCCTCTTTAGAGTGCGTGGAGGCGATCTGAAATCTATAGGCTTTGGGATCACTCCGTTTTTCGAGCAGCGAAAGCATTTAACTTGTATGCTCGCGTTTTGCACGCGCACACACACACAGTGGAACATCCCTATTCCTCGCCTCCCAAGAAAACAGAAAGCCCACCCGAAACCAACACCCAACATTCCGTCAATCCAAAAGGACACCGAGAACACAAGAAACGCTACTCCTCACCCGCGCCGAGGGAAAAGATAAGCCCTAGAAGCAATACCAAGCAGGCAAACAAGCCACAAAGCACCCTATATTTTCCACGATCCTCCAATCAAAACTAAGGAATATAAACTAGCCTAGATCTAGGTCGTATTTAGGGATTAGGGATCCTACTACAATTCGAATTTTATAAGCCGTGTGTAGTGTGTGTATATATATATATATATATATATACAGACTTATATTCCGTAAGTACGCGAGATTGGAAGATCTGGAACACGAGAGAGCTGCTCCATCCGCTAGTTGTCTTTGGCACGCCTTGGCAGGCTGCGCCAAGCTGACGGATTTTGGCTTCGGCCGGTTCGGCGTTGAGTCTGTCGGGTACTCCGCGGCTCGTTTGCCTGCTACGGACAATGATAGTTGAGCCTGAGCTTGTGGCACAGCACAGGGTTCTAGGTCTGTGCTCTTCCAGGGTTCATAAGAGTCGCTACTCTTGCTTTTTTGGGTGGGCTAGGGTCAACGGTTCGGGATTGGGGTTGTGTTGGGGCTTGGTTTATATATGTTATATTGTTTCATATCATCTGTTATGTATTATATGAGTATAAGTCATTCTACAGTGAGTAGTATATAGCTAGGAACTCGGGTTTTTGAGCTGGCAGCGTCGGATGATGCCAGGATTTGGTCCTTTGGCGTCCCGACGGGCAGTCCTGGATATGTCGCTTGGCACTGCTTGGCCTAATGATGATCAGACCCCCTGTGTGAGAGTTTCAGCAGGTGCCCTCAGCATGTCATCTGATCATCCCAAGCACCCAAGCATCTGTAACCGATGCACGGGTTATTTCCACAGAGGACTGTCACGAGCATGCATAGAGGATCAATGGTGAGAAGCAGAACAGTATACGAAAAATTCTAGGAAGACTGCTAAGAGTAGTGCTGCTACCATCTCAGCAAGCACGACCCTGATCCTACGATATGAGTAATTTGATTTTGGGATCTGTGACGCGGAGTCGTGCCATTTTCCTTTCCTCCTCCGAAAGCCCTCAAACCGAAGCTGGAAAGGTCGCACCAGAAGTCCTGGCACAGCAGACCTACGACTACAGCCGCGGCCTCAGGAACTTAGGATGTATGCTATTGTGAGATTACTGGTGCTTTCATTGTTGCGCTGATGCTGCTTAATTGCCATGATGCTTATTCCTCTCGTGTGCGTGTGTGTGTGTGTGTGCCATTATTTCTTGATATTATTGTGGCTCACACTGCTTCCCTATGATTGGTTGTTGCTCGTCTTGACGGTCAACTTCAGCGTCGCTGCTTAATAACGTTGTCGCCAGGCCAGCTTGGGAAGGGGCACCAGCTTCATTCAAGTCATAGGCTACGAGCACTAAGCACTAGAAGCCATGACGCTAACTGCCCTAGTGACCCAAATATCCTCCAACATCCCTGTAAGAGAGTCATATACTGATCCTCATGAATTTTAGTACACACCACCTGAAACCCTAAACCTCACTAAACCTTAGAAACCCTAAGCCCCAAAACCCTACACCCCCAGAGACTCCAATATCCTTTAATCAAGGAAAATTCCTTAAATCATATTAGGGATCCTATTATAACTTAAGGTAAATTCCTTAATTAAGGGATATTGGAGTCTCTGGGCCGCTCTCTTTTGGAAAGGAGCGGACCTCTACTCCCTTGGAGTCCTGGTCTGGGTGCTTTTGACTGGCGGGCTGCTGAACAAGGTGCGACGGATTGGGGCTTACCTAGGGGTACTCAGAAATAGTTTATAATTTTTGGTTATTATAATCCCTAAGAAACAGCTAAAATTGTAATTTTTGCTAGGGTTCTAAGTTCAGTATAGCTTATATGTAGGGCTGAATGGGGCGTTACCTGTACTATACAGAGCTTGTAAGGGTCAAAATGGGGGCGTATATGCTGTTATAGGGTTTTGGGCTTTTGGTCGTTTAGGATTTTCGCATGTATACAGGGTGCAATTCATGAAGTGCATGCCTTGCAGGGTTTAATGTTCAGGGTCTATGGATACTTGATTCCTTTATCATCGTGACTCACCAAGGAAGGAACTGCGTCTAAAAGCATAGTAAGGGCCAACCCTGGTCATATTATGTCATATTCAGACCCTACACATCTTAAGCCCGGAACCGCAACTACACTTGGGTCTCCGCGGGTCCTGCTGCATCTCTCGCAGCATCTATGTTTTAGGGTTCGGGGGGACAGCCGTCCTACGTTCGCAACTTCGTCGGTCCAACATCTATTGCCGGAAACTTCCAAGAGAAATGCGAACAGCCCAATCAACAAGATCCATAAAGCCCAAACCCTACAAACCCTGAACCTTCTAGGCAAAGTCCTGCCAAGCATCCCATAGACCTTAAATCCCAAATTTCTTAACCTTACAGCCTTGGCTGCGGGATTCAGGCAGATCCACTGCCTCCCATGGGGAAGATGCTGCGGCTTCAGTGTTGAGAAGCGAGCTGCTACTGCATCCATGATTTGCATGTATGATGTTTGTCTATCCGTTGGTATTGGAGGAGCTAAGGAGCCAGGGATGATGATAATCCCTATTAAATAAGGAGCTACAGAGCCAAGGGAACCCCAAAACCAGTGGTTAGTTGTTGTGTGCATGTGTGCCTTTAGATAGACAGATACACTGAAAGGTGATCTATCTTTAGATCGGTCGAGTACCTTCTTACAATATATACTCGCATACAGTATCACGGGATACCCCATTGTTGTTCTGAAGTTCGGCAAGTGTCCAGCTTCAGGACAGTAATTTTGGAGACGAGGTTTCCGAAGTGGCGCACCCCTAGGCGCGCGCAACTCTCAGCAGAAAACCCAGAAACTCGAAGGCAAAATGCCTGCCTTTCCGAGAAGCTCTGGAGACCGTGAGGCTTACCCAGAGGCTCCATACTGTTGATGGCCAAAATCCTGCATTACCTTAAGGATCCTAAACTATGGTAATTATGGTATATTCCTTATAATGGGTAATGCAGGATTTTGTCCATCAACAGTAGTAGTTCCTTCTTGGGTTTCATAACTAGAACCCTATCAATAAGGTAATCACAAAAAGGAACTCTATGTGGAGCCTATGGAAACCCTAAACCCCAAGCCGAAATCGATCCAAGAGACAACTTAGTCTGATGCTCAGAGTTGCTGCAGGTGGCGGGCTCTCTCTCTTTTGTTTAAGGCGTCAGGCTCAGGTACCCCCTGCGCCGGAAGATCTGAAGGCTCAATCCATACGGTTGATATAAATCCTGCATTACCTTAAGGACCCTAGACTATGGGAATTACGGTATATTCCTTGTTGTGGGTAATGCGGGAATTATGTCATCAACAGTAGGTCACTTGTCCGGGAGTTCGGAGGGGGTGGGGGGGGGAGAGTTTGGGGTTGAAGAGTTTAGGGTTTAGGGGTTTGAAGTCAGCTGTCCTGGCGTGACGTTGCGAGCCAGTTGCAAAAGGGGTTAAGGAGTTTAGGGTTTTGCTGTTTGAGTGCCAGTGAGAGAGAGAGAGAGAGAGAGAGAGAGAGAGAGAGAGAGAGAGAGAGTTTTGCTGTTTAGGGTTGCATTTTTAGGGCTTCGTAGCCTATTCGTAGCATGAAGCTTTCGGCTCGATGTCACCAATGTTTGCGCTTTGGCTTCGCTGTGTTGCCAAGGCGCTACGCCGGAGATTTCCAGGCGCACTTGAAGGATTGCGAGATGCGCCTCGGATCATAAAGACCTCAATCCATAGCGGCTCTAGCCCTGTGGTATTGAAGCTAAAGGAATGCCGGGGATATTATGACAAATTGCCGTGTCTGCGGGCTTTCCCTCTGATGATCCGAATACTCCCCGGGAGGCTCCCAGCGACTTGCACGAAAACATGCCAAGGGTCGGGCTTCTCAAAGCAGAAGGTATATTCACACCGCGACCCCGGAGCTTTTCAAGAACTCTGCTATGGACACAACACTTGAGGAATTGGAGATCATGGTAAGATCGCATTGTGCTAAATGGATGGCAAGAAATAGCCCAAGCAGCTCGCACCTACACTAGTTAAGTTTGCAGAAGAATCGAGATGGCAAGAAACAACCCAACCAACGACACGCTTTACTGCAAAGCAGTAGATGATCATAGTTCGGGGATTTCCGCATGACATGGTGGGGTAATTGTAGCCTTTAAAAACCAAAAATCAGCAAGCCGCAAAGGCTCAAGCGCTGTCTCGAGCAGCCGGAATCCAACGGTGCGCGCCGGATGCGCCCTATGGAGCAGGCGCGGGAAAGAAGTTCAATTCGGTTCGAGGTTTCGTTTGTAGCGTTGTAGGGGTTAAGGTTAAGGGTTTGGGGAGCGTGGGGTTTTGCTGAACAAGGGGGTGGTTCGAGGTTGCGTATGGAGTGTTGTAGAGGTTTAGATGCATTGCGCCATGTTTGAGGCACGACTCTAGCGTCTCGAATCGACCAAAGTAGGTATGATTGTACTTGAAGCCGCAGGTACGACACCTGAAGGAATGTTCCTTCGCTGCCGACGATTTCTTCCAACAGCGAAACTCACGATTTGTAGCCCACGGCTCCTGAACCCTCAACCCTACAACTTCAGCCCACTGACAGTGCTTCAAGTGCGCTAGGCAGTAAGTGAGAGTGTCAATAGCGGCGCGGGCCCCAGTCGTTAGATGCCCACAGATCATGTCAGTGGTGGGCGCCGGGGCATTTTGAATGACGGAGCTGTAACTCATTGAGAACAATTGAGAACAATGAGAAGGTAAAGAGAGTAAGAAACGTCAATCAAGCAGAACGACAAAGCACGAATCACAACCCAGTTCTACAAACCAGAAGAAGTAGCAAGATATGAACACGGCACTGAGGCAACAAGCGAAAAGCAAAAAAAAGTAACGCACAGATGAACAAACATGAACAACAAGCGCGTCCTCCCCCAAGGCTTGCTGTTTGGCGTGGTTTGTGTTTTGTTTGGTGATGCTATTATGTTTGCTTTGTTGTTTGGGATAGTTGCTCCCAGGAAAAAGCAACAAACATAAAGCCACCCAAAAACAATGCCGACCTCGGCCCCCCTTGTCCCCATGTCCGATTTGATGTTGTGTTTCTACTGTCCGTAAGTAGTTTCTACTACCTATTGTCTACTTTGCGTTCCGTTGTCCGGTTAACAATTTATATGGTTAGGATCCTGGAGTATTAAATGGGCTAAACCAACAACGGGAACTACAATGGATACTACAGGTAGCTTCGTAGTAGCCTTCCAAGCCCCAAGCCCGCAGGCGAAAAAACGAAAAAGGTCTGACAAGCCGTCTACAGCCCTTGAAAGAAGCCCTGTGAAACTACAAGATCGGAATCTACGAAGTCGATGGTGCAGGATTTCGTGGCCAAGCTCATTCCAAGGCAACCTTTGGAACGACTCTGCCACTCGTCACCCTTCGGTTCATGGCTTGCCAGTACATGGGCTTTAGGGAGGTAGTTTCAGGCCCGGTTTCGGGCTAGTTTCGAGTTTAGCGTGCGATATCGACTGGGGTCTACCTTAACTCTGAAGAACCTACCTTTTTAAGGACTTATATAAGGAAGTCATAATAGGGAACCCTAAAAAGATAGGCTCTTCAGGGTTAAGGTAATAAATAGCACAGAGCCTGGGATCCAAAACGGAATCAGTGCTCGGGCTTGGATGTTTCAAGACTCGTTCCTGGTGTTCCCTACAACTAGTAGGATCCTTATGATTAAGATCCGTAATATCTCCTTGCATGCCTGCAGCCAACTGACGATTCTGTTGAGTGGCGCTTGGTTTCGACAAAATTCGGCTTGGACTTCGTCTAAAGTCCCGCTATATGATTTATAAGCATATTTACCCTGCTCATAACCCTACTTATAAATACCCATGAACCTCCAAGTACCTGAGGACCTTCGTAGCACGGTATATTAGATGATAGAGTTCATTGTTTTGGTAACCACAGGATACCGTACCGTTTGAGTACCCTTCTCATACAGACGGTGTTGCCCTGGCAGCTTGAGCTTGGGAACTTGCCTTGCCAAAGCTTTAAGGTTTAGTTTAGGGTTGTAGATTCACAAATTGCGGTTCTGAAATGTTTCCAATGGTTCTACATAGGCCCCGAAGGTCTGTTTTGCTAGCCTTCCATACTCCGTAACACAGGCCTCAACGCCGAATTTCACTCAACCCTCAAGCCAGCGAAGATCAGAGGTCATCAAGATATCCGTGAGCACCCCCTCCTCAACGGCCAGCTGCCAACCTATTCGGCAGCCCGGGCTGCAGAAATCAAACCCTAGGCGCCTTTCTTTGGGGAGGGTTGCTTATAAGGGCCTTTAGATGCTAGAAAGGGTTACGGTTATTAGCGGTGTGCAGTTTCATGGCTCGTGGAGCTGCGAGGGGGTGAGCTGGCTTGTCCCAATGGTGCAACATGCGGCTATGCAAGTACCGGTATTGCGGGGCATCATATTTGTTTGTTTTCTCTAGAAGCAACTCAAAAGCCCTTTTTCGACTTGTTGAGGTCCTTATATCAAAGAACCCTAATTTTGCCTTTTAGAAGCCCTTTCAATCAAAGCCTTATCCCTTCCTTTTCTGGCTCGTAGGTCCTAAGCTCTTTCGGGGATGGCTCGGTATACCTTAAAGCTTCGTTTAAGGGCTTCTTCTAGGGGTTCTATAAGTGTTCGGTGCTTTGCTGCATATAGAGCGCTTTTGGCTTGTCTAGGGTCTAGGGGCCTCCATACCATTTCAAAGGGGAAAAGGAGGGACCCTTAATCGGGATCCCTACCCTATAATGGGCTATATAATGGGTATATAGTGGCTATATTAAGGGTATATACCTAGGGGTCCTTATTAAGGGTCCCTCCTTATTTTACCCTTGGACCATTGCCAAACCAGGGAAGGCCTGATTGCGGCCTACAGCTTCCACGGCCAAAGCCTTGCAGGCTCTCGCTGGAATCCTTCCAGTATCGTGCTTGTTGGTAGGTTTGCCCCAGCTGTTTGACACTCACCCCTAAAGGAACCCAATAGAACCCTAAACCCTAAACGGTTTCGGGTCTAGGGTGACCCTATAGATCCCTTGAAGGAACCCCTATGGTAACTCCTTATGCCAATGATTGCTCCCAGACCCGAGGAGAACTTCTCGGGCAGCGCATAAAAGAGCCTGGTTTTTGGAGGGTGCTTGCTTCCTCTGGGCCTTCAAGAGGAAATCAGCCTAATGTTGGGGACATGGGGCATTGCTTTGAACTGGGGTCTGGGATCTACCGCAATATGCAAGAAATGCGCAGTATAACGGTTGAAAATGCCCCCATGTTACTGCGCGAGGGGGCGATGACTGCTTGCTGACGGTCCCGTAATGTGAGCTCGTGATTATTAAAGGTCCCCTCAATAGAGCTAAACTCGGCCCGGCACACAATAATAAAAGGTCCCCTCAATAGAGCTAAACTCGGCCCGCACACAATAATAAAGACCCCTCAATAGTCCTAAAACCCGTCCCGTCCTAAAATTTTTAAGGTTTAAGTAGAGAAGCACTCCTACTACAAACTGACGCCCTGGAAGAGGAGAGACAGAAACAGGCAAGATAAAGGACAGAGAGATAGCCAGCCAGCCAGACTTAAGGGTTTAGGCTCCTACTGTACTACTGTACTAATGTACTACTGTACTACTGTACTACCCCCGGCCCCCAAACAACTTCGACCCCGGACCCCCCAAACAACTTCAGGTCAGAGATATGCGGACCCCCCGTTAATATTACAGGGACTGGACTTGTTTGGGGGGGGGGGGGGGGGGGGTTTAATAATCAGGAGACCACATTACCGGGGACCTTTGAGACATTCTGAGCTTTCCCCAGAGGTGAAAGCCTTTAGCCCTTATGACTTATGTTATCTTATGTTCCTGAAACTCGAACCCCGCACTCTAAGAATCAATCACAGCCCTAAACTTCGAAGACGGAACCCCCACGACTACAGCACAGCCGCATCCCGACAAGACTCCGAGCCCGAGGCTACTTGGGCCGAAGTGACAACTTGGACCCGAGCTCAGGGGGGCGCCGCCGCCGCCGGAGCTTAGCTCAAAGCCCCGCCAAAGGGCAGGGTAGAAGGACTAAGAGGGACTTACAGTGGTGTTTTGGGATATAGGTTGTTGGCTTTTGGTTGTGGGGCTTTAAGGTGCAGGTTGAGGTTGTCGGGTCCTTGCGATTTAGCTGTTAGGGGTCGATATTACTCAACAACTCACCGTTGCTCCTATTTCAGATTCCCTACCCGCTGTGTGAGGGGAAGTATGGCAGTTTCAGAAAATGTAGGGGTCGATTTCATCATGGGAAGGGGAGTTCAGCGTATCTCCGCAATACAGCCAAGCCCGAAATTACGAAATGCGCTTGCTTTACTGGATTTTAGTGTTGTTAAGATGTGGTGGATATCATTCTGGGGTTATGATCGCCTCAAGTGTATGTCCATATATGCTTGGAGATGTAAAGTTTGGGGCATGAGCACAGGTTTTGCTTATGGAAAACTTAGGTGTGATTAGGATTTGCTCAGAGCGAACGGGGTTCGAGTAGGTTCTAGAATTGAAGGGTCTGTAAGGGAAGATGTAATCGCACGGTAAAGCCATCCATCCAGCTGGAACCAACCTACTTGGAAATGCCCTTCGCTTTAGTGCGTGCCTCGGCTGGCCAAGCACGAGCTTGGCGCGGAGATCTTTGGGGAGTTGGGAGAGTTCGAAAAATTTGCGGCCACTAGGTTTAGAGTGCAAACAGGTGGGTGGGAGGCGTCAGCCTCCCCGCCTGAACACGATCGCTGTGCCAAGGTCCCTAAAGCAGATGAAACGTATCAACTACATAGTATTCACCTTTGACGCTACTTGCCTTGAACCCCTCTTGGAGGTTGAGGGCCGAGGGCTTGGGAAACAGAGGGGTGTGCTGTCACAGGTTTCATCAAAGACATCTGTAACTAAGCCGAACGATGAAATCATCCACCAGGAATGCTTTTCCCATTTCCTGGTCTCGGGCTCCTAAGCTTTAATAGCAACAAGCCGGCGATGATTCGCTTCTCGACTGTTGGCTGCTCTTTCGGATTCATCCAAAGCCCCTGCTACCAGATTTTTTGCGTGTTAACGGACCGATGTAGGTGATGCCAGAGAGTCGCCGGGGTCCATCCCATGAAAACGCCTGCTGTCTCCCTGAAGGACCAAATGACCCTGAAAAGTAGGGGCCCTATACCCATATACTATGAATCCCTATATGGCATATGAACCTTAAACCCTTTTAGGGATCATTTCGTCCTTAAGGTCTAGCGGATTTCTAGATACTTGCAGGAGAGCAAACTCCTTCGACTCGAGGTCAAGCGTTCTGAAACCCCGAGCTTGACACCCTACCTGGACCCCAAAAGTAGGTAGAATAACGGCGTTTTATATTTATAGGTGTTGGGCTTGTATTTTACCTACTTTGGGGGGGGAGGGCGGGTTAGGTACTCCTTCTGCCGACCAATACCGAGATTTACTTCATCGATTGGTTGTCTCAGGTCTAGGCTTTGGGTGTAACCGATTAATCTAGAAATCTAGCAAGTACATCGCTTAATTCAGGGCCCCATACTACTAAGGGTACTTTATAGGAACCCCCCATTAAGGCATCTACTTTTTGGATCCTCCCGCGGGGGTCTGGGGTGATGATCCAACCAACGTTCAAGCGGAAGCAAAGCTCAATTCCGCTCAAGGCTGAGGGCCCTTTTAGCAACAAGGGCAATCCGATCTGATCGCAAAAACTCTGGAATTGGTTCATTCTATGTGACCTGTCCTTTCCGTGCCACCTGAAGGAGACATGACGAATCGAAGTTGAAGCATATGGCAACAGAATCCAATACTCCCAAGGCCCTTTCGCTCCGACATCGGAGGCCCAATGCAGATCTGTTTAGGGTACTTATCATAGCTCTGAAGGCACATACCTGCCAAGAATCACAAGGATTGAGGGCGAGTGTTTGCGCTGCCGAGACGTCTTTTGGCTTACTAGCGATTCGAACTGCGGCCTGTGCAGCTGCAAGTGTCGCAAAAAGAGTGGAAATTTCTCTTGCAGTAGCTAACACACCCATGTTTCTTGTTACATCCTTTGGGTGTTTCAATGGTGTTTCATGATGTTTTATCTTTATGAAATTAACTGATGTCCCGGTTTGTAGAAGCTTACCCGAAGTCCACACTACATGATGCCAGGAAGGTGACAATGGGATCTGAGTTCTCCGAACCCCAAACCCCCAGCCCCAACACTGCATGTGTCGGGCAGAAACAGCCGATCATAAGCAACTGTTCCGGAATCTAGCCCTATAGAGTGATAAGCATCATGACGGTATCCCCGCCTTGTGAGCATTCTGGCCTCTGTCGCATGACCCTGAGGGTCCTACTGGTAAGCGCATTACACAGAACCTGCGAGCTTGAGTTTAGGCACGTATTAACCACGTATTATGCTGTGCATAGTAACTTTGGGAGATGTTTCACGTGTTTGGATTGTGGACCCTTAGGCCAGGAAGTTGTGCCTCCCGGCCTCAGCCAGGAGTGCACATGACGTTTCGTTGTCTTAGATTCGAAGGCTAGCATGCATCATAGTGGTTACGGGCTACCACAAACTATATAGGGTTCAGCATCAATGATTGGCAGCATGTCTTGTTTGCCCACGCCGCTAGCCAGCAGCCAGATTGCTTGGTGCAGTTGCTTGGCTGAGTTAATGCAGGTGCCTGAACAACTCGACATACCTTTCCTTCGGGCTTCTTAATACGGATTTGGTATATTTGCCCGAAGGGTCCAAAGTACCGATAGAGTAGAATGTAGGCCTTCTATATTAGGGATTACCATTATGATTTGGGGAAGTATTCCCCATAACAGTACATAGAACCCTTTGGGTTGGTATAGACCACACACAGACACAACCTACTGTTGATGATATTAAACCCTGCATTACCCACGATAAGGAATACACCATAATTCCCATAGTCTAGGGTCCTTAAGGTCATGGAGGGTTTATATCATCAACCGTACTTCTGATATGCGGGCCTCGGCATTTTCTCATTTTGGAGGCGACTTTAAGCTCGCCCTGGGGAAGTCTGCCCGAAAACTCAATCCTTGAATCGTAAGATCCCCAAATATACTATGGAGCCCTAAACCCTAAACCCTAATCGGCATGTGACTCTCTAGTCTGAGAGCCCCTTCATTGTGGGAGTTTTCGAAAATTAGGGGTACCTTATTTGGGGGGTCTTATAATCAGGATCCTGTTAAATAGGGAGCTACATTAGGGTCCCCCTTTTTCGCAAACCCCCAAAATACTATAGAGCCTCTAGCTATTCTTACCATGTCCTACTTGCAGTTTATGCTTTGGCTTAAAGGCTGTAATACGGGGCGGAAGCCCTTCTAAGCTCAATTATGCATGGGTGTGGGGTGGTGAGTGAATCCAAAATCCCAAGCCCCGTAAAGCAGAGCACTATGTGTGTTGAACTCATGCCGTGAGCCAGCTGAGAACCTTCAAGGCGGTCCGAAAAGGTAAAACACCCGAAATGATATTATGTCCTGTTTTCGTGAGTTAAGCTAATCCCCCGGCCTCAAAGCCCACAACCTCTTAAATTGTAGAGCTGCGCGCACGACCCTGCAACACTAAATCCTCTTCACCTACACGGTCAAGCCCTACCATGCCGATGCCCCCGCTCAAATCCGCCTCAAAGCCAAAACCCTTGACAAGCCCCATGCCCGTTAAACAAAACATAACACCACCATAAGATGAAAACCCATTCTGTTGTTGGGCCAAGCCCGGGCTGGGTGTGTTCGAGAGTCGAGGGTTTTGGGTGCCTTTGTGTACTTCCGATAGGGTTTATGGGCCAGGGTCAGGGTTTAGGCCCCAATGTGTGGGATTTAGGAGTTTTTAATAATGGGGCTTTTGGGTTTTTCAGGTTGTAGAGTTTCGTAGTATGGCTTGGTGTCTTGGGTGGGGTTTCGGTTTGTCCAGGTCTACGCTGAGACTGAGAAAGTTTCTATAGACTCGTGAGTCATTGCTCTGGGTTTGAGGGGTTGTCTGGCGTGTACGAACCCTAAACCCTACCTAGACCCTGAAGAACCTACCTTTTGACGGTTCCCTATTATAGTTTCCGAAAGTAAGTCCTGAAAACGGTAGGTTATCTGGGGTTCAGGTAGACCTGAAACCGTTTCAGCAAGACGCTCACTGGCTGTCTTCGGCCTGGGGCTTACGGGCTTAGAGTCCTCAACCGGTTCACTTGCTAGAGTGCTCCACAGGCCCCCCCGAAGCACATAGCCTTGTGGCCCGAAAGGCGTTCTCCCAAAACTAAACCCGAAAGAACTACACCCGGAACACTTTGGTGGCAGACTTCATTCGCAATCTACTGACGCGACTTCCGCCTGGGAGTTGCGCATTGCTTACAGACAGCGTTAGACCTGCGAACACCTGCAGGGCGTGGCAAAAAGAAGAGGAAGCCCCAAATCCTGAACAACACCAAGCCTGAAACCCTAAACATTTTTAAGCCACCCTATACCTCCACACCTAAGTTCCAACAAGGTACAGTAAGCCCCAAGCCACCACGCCCAACAAACCTTATACCCTAAACCCCTTGTAAGCGGATTCTTGCCTTTCACTTGAAGACATCCTCGGCATGTGACTCTCTAGTCTGAGAGCCCCTTCATTGCGTAAAGGATCATGGGACGTAGTAACCAGGTTTTTAAGTAAGGTAACTATACTTATAATTACTTATAACCCCAAATCAGGTACGTATGACCTTACTAAGTCCCATGATCCTCCAAGTGTTGTTCAAGGAAGGTTGCCTCAGGGTGGAGGATTTGCCATCCAATAGAGGGGTTTGGGTCCAGGATCTTTGGTTTCCTGAGAGTTTACTTTAAGCTGTCGTTTCTTTCTGCCGCTGCTGAGTCAGAAGCTCGGCAGCTTAACCCAGTTGTAGCAGGTCACGGTGGTAGGATTTCAGAAACTTCCGTCGTCCGGAGCTATAGTTTAGCTTTTCTTATTCCTGACTGGAAACTGTTTCAAGACGACAGCAAATCAATTACCCGAAGGGTCCATGTACCCATATAGAGATACATGAGCCCCAAAGTACCTATATAGGGACTACATGAAGGCCAATGTATATACTATATACTATATATGTGGGTTAGAGCGTTTGGATGGTCGCACTTGGGGCACCAAGTTCAGAGATACAATCGCTATCTATCGATTCCTTTCCGACGCGTGACTCGTAGCATTTCCGGTGATGCGACGGCCCAAGTCCAAAACATCCCGCACACAGCAGCGCCCATATTCCCTTCACTCATCTCAACCTGCGTTCACAGCGAACTTACTTCTGCAGTGCCCGGAAATTATTTTCACTGCGACTTAGTGCAGGCGGGCTCCTGCCCCACAGAAGTGACTCAAGTTGCTTGCAAACCAACCGAGGCGCCGTGCTAAGCTTGGAAGCGCGCCGTAAAGTGCACAAGACTGAACCGATGCTGCCCGTGACCTGCGTCCGCATGGCGTTATGTGGAGAGTGCAGGAGGCGTTCAAAGGCCACATGCACGTTCTCGGTCGTTCTTCGTGGTTGCCGGCCCTGGTTTTACGCATTGTTTACCGGTGGACTCTTGTATGTATGCATGCATGAGTGCAAGTGCGAGGGAAAGATGTTCACGTGTCTGCTGGCGTGTTGTCCGTCCGTCTTTTTGTGCACGTACCCGTATCTTTGTGAGTAATTGAATGTCATAATGCATGCAATCAGAGTATGTATAGTAAGTATAGTATACTAGTGGCAGGCATGCAAAGTTCAAGCTTGCCCGTCGTAAATTCGTTAATCTAGGGGTCTTAACCAAAATGAAAAAAGCAAACGGAATGTTAAGCTCTGGGGTTTGCCGCACAAGAAAAGTTGGAGCTAAAATCACATGTCCTGATTTCTGATGACAACCAACAGCAAGACTGCAATCAACTACAATCGCCCCTGTTTCTCAGACCGTTGCCATGGCCCTTTTCTATATCACAATTTCCAGAGGGGTAGCGGTAGCTCTCGCGACATTTAATTTTTTCCAAGGTGGTAGCCCCGCCCCTCTGCGGTAGCGTTCGCGAACTTTGTACCAAGGTGGTAGGGCAAGCCCCCCGGGGGTCAGCGCTCGCGAATTTTTTCCAAAGTGGCAAGCCCCCCCGCGGTAGCGCTCGCGAAATTTTTCCAAGGTGGTAGAAGGCGGTAGCCCCGCGGTAGCGCTCGCGAATTTTCTTCCAAAAAAATAAAATCCCACAACAAAAAAAATCAAAAGAAAGATTCAAATAAAAATGACATTCGAAAACAACAAAACTCAAAGAAAATAAAATTCCAATACAAAATGAAAATTCCGTAAAAAGTTAAAACTCAAAAAAATTGAATTTGCAAAAAAAAATTGGAATTCCGAAAGAAAATAAAACTTCTAAAACAATCAAATTCAAAAAAAGAGTTCCAACAAAAGTAAAATTCAAAAAAATGAAATTACAACTAAGCCCTAAGCCCCAAGCCCTAAACCCTATGCCCTAAGCCCCAAGCCCCAACCCCTAAGCCCCAAGCCCGAAGCCCCAAGCCCTAAGCCCTAAACCCTAAGCCCTATGCCCCAAGCCCCAAGCCCTAAGCCCTAAGCCCCAAGCCCTAAGCCCTAAGCCCTAAGCCCTAAACCCTAAGCCCTGAACCCCAAGCCCTAAGCCCCAAGCCCCAAGCCCCAAGCCCTAAGCCCTAAGCCCTAAACCCTAGGCCCTAAGCCCTAAGCCCTAAACCCAAACCCAAGGTTCCAAAAAATCCTTAAGTTTCCAAACAAATCCTTAAGCTGTCAATAAACTCCTTAAGCTTCCAAAAAAATCTTTAAGGTTCCAAAAAATCCTTAAGGTTCCAAAAAAATCTTTAAGGTTCCAAAATATCCATAAGCTTCCACAATTGTTTTTAAGCTTCCAAAAAAATCCTTAAGGTTCCAAAAAATCCTTAAGGTTCCAAAAAATTCCTTAAGGTTCCAAAAAAAATCCTTAAGGTTCCAAAAAATCTTTAAGGTTCCAAAAAATCCTTAAGGTTCCAAAAAAAATCTTTAACGTTCCAGAAAAATCCTTAAGGTTCCAAACAAAAATCCTTAAGGTTCCAAAAAATTCCTTAAGGTTCCAAAAAAAATCCTTAAGGTTCCAAAAAATCTTTAAGGTTCCAAAAAATCCTTAAGGTTCCAAAAAAAATCTTTAACGTTCCAGAAAAATCCTTAAGGTTCCAAACAAAAATCCTTAAGGTTCCAAAAAATTCCTTAAGGTTCCAAAAAAAATCCTTAAGGTTCCAAAAAATCTTTAAGGTTCCAAAAAATCCTTAAGGTTCCAAAAAAAATCTTTAACGTTCCAGAAAAATCCTTAAGGTTCCAAACAAAAATCCTTAAGATTCCAAAAAAACCTTAAGGTTCCAAACCGGATGGAACCTTAAGGTTTCAGGCCAAAAAAACAGAGCCTAAATCAGGTGGTTTTCATGGTTTTCATTGAAAAAACTTGATTTAGGCTCTGCTTTTTGGAACCTTACGGATTTTTCTGGAACCTTAACGATTTGTTTGGAACCTTAAGGATTTTTTTGGAACCTTAAGGATTTTTTTGGAACCTTAAGGATTTTTTTTGGAACCTTAAGGATTTTTTGGAAGCTTAAGGATTTTTTGACAGCTTAAGGATTTTTTTGGAAACTTAAGATTTTTTTTGGAACTTTGGGTTTAGGGCTTAGGGCTTAGGGCCTAGGGTTTAGGGCTTAGGGCTTAGGGCTTGGGGCTTGGGGCTTAGGGCTTAGGGCTTGGGGTTTAGGGCTTAGGGCTTAGGGCTTGGGGCTTAGGGCTTGGCGCTTGGGGCTTAGGGCTTAGGGTTTAGGGCTTAGGGCTTAGGGCTTAGGGCTTGGGGCTTAGGGCTTAGGGCTTAGGGTTTAGGGCGTAGGGCTTAGGGCTTCGGGCTTGGGGCTTAGGGCTTAGGGCTTGGGGCTTGGGGCTTGGGGCTTAGGGCTTAGGGTTTAGGGCTTAGGGCTTGGGGCTTAGGGCTTAGTTGTAATTTCATTTTTTTTGAGTTTTACTTTTGTTGGAATTCTTTTTTTTTGAATTTCAATTTTTTTAGAAGTTTAATTTTCTTTTGGAATTTCAATTTTTTTTTGCAGTTTCAATTCTTTTGAGTTTTAACTTTTTCCGGAAGTGTCATTTTGTATTGGGTTTTTTTCGAGTTTTGTTGTTTTCGAATGTCATGTTTATTTGAATTCATTTTTTTAAAATGTTTCTTATGTTGTGAATTTTCTTTTTCTGTCGTTTTTTCAATATTTTCTATTTCAATTTGTTCCTTACTCCTTTTCAAACAACTCTTTGGCTGGCTGCTGGTCATTCAGAACTTGCGGAAGCGGTTTGCCAAGCCATGGGCACTTTGACTTTGAAGTTTTGCTTGTCCTTTCGGCTGTATGTTTGGCTGATTTTTGCATTAGCCTGCAGATTGTGGCATGAGCATACCGATAAATGTAAGGAATAAGGATCATAGGCTCAAACCCTCCAACAAGAAAAGGAAATGTTCATCCCAAACCTCGCAGAAGGGCAGAAGTACGGCATAAACCCACGAATGAGAAGGCAACAGCCGACAGTCAACCGTCAACAGAACTCTCGACCCCAGGCCCCAAGTGAGATAAAATCCTCATATCTCCCGAGGTCCCGGCCATAGGTTCAAAGACAAAGAACTAAAGCCGTGCCGTGCTTCTGATTGTTCTTGAACCACGGCATGGAATCTCGCGTTCACAGAATTCACAGCATGCTCGCCAAAGAAAAGGAACGAAAGTGCTTATCAACCCAAAACCCAATTACTCCCCAAAACCTTCGCTTTTCTTCTCCCGGCAACCAAAAAATGGGCAAAAGGGGCCATGCAAGGAGAACGTAAACATGTTGGGTTTAGTTTCTTGATGTCGAAATCTGGTATAGTGATTTCGGTCAGCAACAAACAAGTTCGGCAACCCGCCCGAGCTTAAGGCGCCGATCGCTTTCGAACCACCCTAAATTAACGAATTTACGACTTGCCCGATTGATATATATATATATATATATATATATATTCGTATGCGTGCATGTGAGCGTGTGAGTGTGAGTGTGCTTATGTTGACGACGGTAGCGCGTCAGATAGACGCTCGTGTAGGTGGGGAGATAAGTATCCTGCCTGTTTGTCAATATTCTTGTGTACGGAAGGGAAGGTATCGATGCACAGCATGTATTCATAAACTACCGGTCTTCGTTTGTGTGTGTGTGTGTGTGTCTGAGTGTGTCCGCATGTATTTCTGCAAAAGCATACAAATGTACGTTCGTGAGTTTGCTTATTCACATAAACATGTTCGCCTGCATGGTGCATGCATGCACCTGTGCACATGCTCACAGTCACAGCGGTAGATGCTGTTGTATCAACTCGCCCCTGCAAGCCTTCAAGCATTCTATCATGCTGCATTTAGACGGTGACGTGTGAAAGTTTGGGTCGGAGTGCTACAGCTTTCTGGGCTGTCGACGGTAGGGGTTCTTTCGCCGGATCCGGGTTCAGACCGCACGAACCTCTTACAGCCTCGAAACAGACAAGAACGGTTACAAAGGAGCCGTCGATCTCTCGGTCTCAGCCCACTTATCGACTGAGCTATTTAAGTTTCGAGAAAGATGGGAAAGTCACCTTCAATTCTCGCGAGGTGCAGGCCATGCAGCTCGCGCCTTTGCAGGGCATCTGGGCTTCAGATTTGGTCATTATAGGCTTTGCTTCGGGATTGCAGTTTCGGGGTATGAGGAACGGCAGAGTGCCGACAAGGCGGAACTTTCAAGCTTTGGATGTATCATCATGGACTGTAGGACGATGATAATGCCAAATTTTCAATTCCACTGTTCTGGTGCTTCTGCGTCACAGTTACGGCTTATCAGGTTCGGGTGTGTGCTAGTGTGTGTGGGTCGAGGGGTTAGGGGAGTTGGCACGATTCTAGCAACCGCGGGGGGTGGGGGCAGGCCTCCTCCACAGACTGAAATGCCAGCATTTTGCCAAGGACGGGCGGCTTGGTGCCAAGCTCCCCAGCTGAGAAGCAGGAGCGGCCCTGCGGCTCCATAGCCCCAGGGAGGGCTGCGCCGGAGGATTAAATTGGGCATGACTGGTGAACTGGGCTTTGGAGTACCATGCTTTAATACTTTTTTCTTAAAGGAACCATTATGACATAAAAGTTTATGCTTTTTTTATCCTTGGTTACTTAAAAGCCCAGTGAAAATGGAGTATGGCGGGGTTACATGCTCGCTGCTACGCTTACCAACCATGCAGACTCCTATATATTGGGCCCTCGACTCCCTCTTGCACCAGCCCTGTTGCTCGGTAAGCAGCAGGCGACTCCTGACGAATCACGTGATAACATGCCCCTGCATCCAAAGGGGTCGAAGTACGAACATAGCACATAGGTTTTTAACCGATTTTGGGCCCTTAAACGAACATACGTGCACACAGTTACTCGGAGATAGAGGTATTTCATGAGCTGTGTTGCTAGCAAAGCGTCGACATTTGAATATCCCATGCTTCCTTTGACTTGCAGCTCAGAGCCCCCAGATACTTGCCAGCCCTGCACCTTGTATTCTCTTCAGATCGCACGCCGCATCTTTGAGCCCTTCGTCGCGACATCACCGCCTGCACCAGCAGCAGACTCAGAGACAGCTTGCTAAAACATGCTGGAACCTTTGACGCTAGATGCCTCAGGAGTATATATATTCTGCGGAAGGCCAGTCCCGCGGAAACTTGTGTGCTAAGCATCCCTAAAATCTGGAGCCTACTTCTGAACAAAGTTACTTCTCTAAAGCAGTAGATCTATTGAATGTTTCATTCAGCTAGGTTTTGGTTTTAGAGGCCATGAAAGCAAGTGGAAAGCCTCTAGCAGAAAGGGCTTCATGGATCTATGGGTGTACATGGTACTTAGATTTACGGGGCTTTACGGTGGAGTTTCAAGGTGGATGCTTCAGAGGTAGTTTATACTTTTGGAGAGTTGGGGTCTATTTATTTAGGGCTTGGTTCAATCGTGATCTGCTGTAATTACATGCGTCTGCGTGTGTGTGGGTGTGTGGGTGTCTCTGCTGGTGGTGCTGGCATAGCGTCTCCCTACTTTGGGATAAACCTATAGTCTCCGTTGTAGTTTGTTTCTTGGTTAGCCACAAACTATATTATAGGACCCTAACCATAAAACTTGTTAACTAAAAAAGGGAAGCTACAATGGAGACTATAGGTATCTGGCTCCGTGTTTGATGTGAACCTTCGTCTCCTGACCCCCACTTGGAGGGTCGGGGGACTTAGTAAGTAGGTAGTAAGTAGACTTATAAGTGCCCTAAAAGGGACCTTAATTTGGGTTATGGCACTTATAAGTCCCAAAAATAACCAGTTACTAAGTCCCCCGACCCTCCAAGCAACTCATTGAAGATTTGCTTGCCTGCAGACTGATGCAAGTGGCAGGAACTGTAGACACCAGTTTCAAGCATGGCAACATGTTGCGGACATTGGCAGTCGTGCTGTGTCTATGCATATGAAAAAGCGAGCGGATGTAATTATTATTGAAATAAGTGCTCAGAAAATTACTTCAGCGCACTCGCGGCAAAATGGCAATCGCTAGAGCGCTGAAGCAACAGCAGAACGTACAACACGTGTAGGCGACTGTGCCAGTCGTAAGCATACATTTGTGAGTCAACCCTCCGGAGTTCCTGCTGTCTGGGGTTGAAAGCAAGTGAAAACGGCTGAAGCATGTCCATTCAAGGTGGCTCGAACGACGGATGCGGCAGCGGAGACGAAGAAATCCTTTTGGCACCTCATGGGACGAGCTGAGGCATCAACCTAGCCACATCTGCTGCGATTTGGGGTTCTGCAAACCTGGTAGCATGTCTACGACCTACCGAAATAATTACCATTACTTTTTTGGGGGGGTTCCTTATTACCGGTATAGCATGATTTTCCTCAGAACCCTATGCGAATTCTAAAGTCTAGGCTTATCAGACTGGAAGCTGGCAGCCGTTGCTTTGTCGAAGTCATTAGCTGAATAGGTAATCTTTACTGTTTTGAATAACTCCTGCCGGGGTGCTACTGTAGACATAAGCGACACAACTTTGAAAGTTGCCTTTGCGGATTCAGTGGATCTGAGAAGCTACGATGTTTCTTTCAGGAAGCATGTTTCAGCGCAGACACACGCATTGCATGTTGCAAGTCGTAAAACTAAGGCTTCGTGCCGAAATCCATACCAAGAGTAACTACACAACAATTTGCATGATGGGCTGGTCATAACAAAATACAACAACTGAAGTACGACGAGGTCAGCCCTGACAACACCGGAAATGTTTAGCTGTGAAAGTACAAACGAGCGCTGTACACCAACAAACAAATGTAGGAAGTTGTGGCAATAATTGTAACCCGTGGCAAGACATTTCGAAGTGCTGGGCATGCAATAGTAATCTGTCTGGTGGATTTCGTGATACGGACCGGCAAGAGTCAAGAGAAGATCTAAGCATTTATGGCTGTTTGCCTTTGGGGCGGGGGCAGGCGCAAAAATGTGGCCCAGCGAACGTTTTATTGGCAGTTTTAACTGCATCGTTGACTCCATCATCAGCAGCCGTCGTATCCTTATGGTATTGTTTATGCACATCGCTCACCTATTTATTTTGAGTCTCTGAAGTTCGTCGCTTTTCATTTCTCGTACCACCTTAGTGATCCTAGGTACTTATTCTCAATTCGATGCCCTCTGACTGCACTGGGACTAATAGGCGCGGCAGACCTATCAGCCGGACGGCCCCGAAGGAGCAATGGTGTGTATCTCTAGGGATCTAAGGACTCATATGTTGAGGCTTTTGGGCTCAAAGACCATACTATATAATAAGGCTTTTGTGCCATTTTGATGAAAGAGCTTGAACCTTCTTGTTGTTGTTGACTTGGATATAGTCACGGGCAACTATAATAATAAAAGTAGATCTGTAGAGTAGTTTGCGGAAGCTTTTAAACTCTAATGCATAAATCCTGTCCTGAAGCGTTAAGACGCCTCTCAATGCCTCTCAAGCCCCTGCAGACCCCAAATCCTATACACTGTTTTGGGGGTTCCTTATTATAGTTTAGTATAATGGGCTTCAAATCCCTTTTCTGATTCTGATTATTGAGGCTTCTACATTAGAGAGGGGGCTGCAGCGTTCCCAGAGACTCCAATATCCCTTAATTAAGGAACATACCGCAAATCATAGTAAGGATCCTATACTATAATTTAGGGCATATTCCCTAATTAAGGGATATTGTTCGAGCTTTCAGGCGCGCCGAGAGAGGGCATGGGGCCGGAGATCTTCTGGCATTCTACGTATGGGTGGTTGTCAAAATTATGCTCCCAAAAATCGGATCAAAGGGGAAAAGGAGGGAGCCTTAATGGGGACCCCTACCCTATAATGGACTGTATGGGTGGTTATCAAAATTATGCTCTCCCTTTTTTAAAGTCCCTTTTATAGTATGGCACCTATTATTTAGGGTAGGGTATCCAAGAAGGGGCCCTGATTTCTGACAACCACCCCTATTGCTCGAAACTACAGTACCCTAAGGCCCTGAGGGTCCATGTACCCAAATAGTACATACTTTGGCCCCAAGGTACCTATATAGGGACGACTTTAAGGCCAATAGTATTTACAGTGCTATTTGGGTACATGGACCCTTCGGGATACGAACCTACAGCTCGCGACTTCGGCTGTTAAGTGGTGGTATCTATATGGGAGTTTCCGAAAATAGGGGACCCTAAAAAAGCAACCTAAGAAGTAGGATCCTTATTATACGGACCCCCAAATAAGGTACCCCTAATTTTCGGAAACTCCCATATATACTTTTCTGTAAACAGCAAAAGGCCCCAAACCCATGACCCTGAACTCTAAAGGCCCCACGACCAACATATGCTCGTAGCTGCTATCGGGGTTCAAGAGCTTCAGGCGAATATACAGTCTTGCGTGTTTTCATTACTTGTGTCCGAGGGGAGCACGCATGATTTGCAGTTTGGTAGTCCGAGTTTGATCCGTTGCCTCCGAAACCCCGATCCCTGCTACTGACACCCCAGGGTCCCGCAAGTTCCACCTACATTTTGCAGCCACGATACTTCACCAAACTCTTACATCCCGCAACCCCTACTCCTCGAGCTTGAGTAGCCTTATGTCTCGACGAAGCCTCGAAACGCGTAACCCTTGCCCTAAGGGTCCATGTACCGAAATAGTATATACTTTGGCTTTAAAGTAGTCCCTATATAGGTACTTTGGGGCCAAAGTATATTCTGTTTGGGTACATGGACCCTTAGGGTTGTGGAATGATGCCTCAGGAGGTGAGGAGGACCTATTCGGTTCGAAGCAGCTTACCAAGGCCGAACTTGAAGAACTACGGTTGATGACACAAACCCTGCATTACCCATAATGAGGAATATACCATAATTCCCATAGTCTAGGGTCCTTAAGGTAATGCAGGATCTAGATCATCAACCGTAGGAATTCTATTCCTCCGGGCTCCTTAACATTAGCATAAGGCCCCTATTTTTGGGCTTCAAGGTTTGGTGTTCAGGGGTTCTCCTTAACATTATCATATAAGGCCACTGCTTTGGGGCTTCAAGATTTGATGTTCAGGTAGTGGGGGTTCTTGAGGCCTTTTGCTTCTAGGTTCGGGAGGGCATAAGACTGCGGGCTTCAAGGCTGTAACGGGGGTAAAACTACCCCTAAAGCAGGGGTAGAGTATGACCCTGATTACACAGGCCCTACACGCCTATGCTTCTGTAGAGGGGCTTGCCGGGTCTGAGACTTGAAGGCGTTGAGGGTTTATAGAATATCATAGTTATTCATTAAGGCCCCTATATTAAACCCCCATAGTACCCCTATAGTAATCCTTATAGACCCCTTTTAAGGGAGTTTGGGACCCGAGGGTTCCGAGGATTTGGGTTGAAAGTTGTCCCCCACTAAAACCCTGTAAACTTTAAACTAGCGCACTAACCAAGAAACTGAGGCGACACTTGGCATGCAAGCATTTTCATTCGGTATGGTGAGGCACACATGCCATTCCTTCCTACTTTCCTTCCTGCTTCATGCCCACCACGCACAAGTTAATCTCGTTTGGCACTCCCGAGTTGAGCTATTAGAGCGTAAACTCTCTTAGTAGTAGAGTAGGTAACCTTTAACCTTTCTTGAGTTGTATAGTCCCCATAGAATGCCTATATGACCCACAAGGTTAACCTTGAGTTCCCCATGATACCCGACAAGTAGGCTCTAAACCGTAGTGGGTCTTAAGAGCTGTGCGTGCTGCGAACCGGAACTCTCAAGGTCGGGTTTTTTTCAGATAGGGAGCCTTGCTTCCGGGCCTTCATGGAAAGCGTGATTCACTAAGTAGGGTTTTGGGACCCTTTTGTATGTGCTCTTATTGGGCTTAAGTGGATCTTAGCTACTAATATTTACCCTAAACCCTAAGCCCTAAGAGGGATTCAGGTATCGATTCGATTTCCCATAAAGCCCCGCGGCCCGACGCTTGAGTGCTTAAGGGTGCACTCTACTTGTAAACCCATGTAGTACTCTAGGCCCTATGCTATATCAGGGGACGTATGTACATATATATATATATATATAGATAGATAGATAGGTATATCTATGTCTCTCTCTCTCTCTATATATATATATATATATCAAAATAAAGCCCTGAAGGCTCTAAACCCCTAAACCCGAAACTGATTGCTATTGCTGGGAACGCTACATTTCGGGATTTTTGAGAGGACAGGAAGCCGGTCCTGTTGTGGGCACATTTTGAGGAGTTTTGCTTAGGTACGGCCCCCATACAGTAAGAGTCCATAATAGGGCTACTATGAAGCTCCTACTATACCTATATTATGAATAATGTTCAACTATTACTGAGTGGGGGCCATACCTAAAGTCTTGCCCGCTTTGCAGCGTCCGAAGCTGCTAACTTTGGGGGGTCGTTGACCCGATGTGTTTGAAGGACGTAAAGTGTTTAGACTGGGTGTTCTGACTCAATTTCGAGCTCCTTCAAAACACTTGTTAAAATGTGTTTGAAATGGGTATCCTGCAGGTAGGGCAGAAGCTTCTGAGCGTACCATAGCATGTCATGCTGCACCTGACTTTAGACCCTACCCAGAGGCTCCATAGTAGTTCCTTTTTGGGGTTCATATATAGAATCCAAAAAGGTAATCCCAAAAAAGAACTACTAACTACTATGGAGCCTATGGGTATAGGCCTCAATCCTAGTTGTCCAAAGCCTCACAAAGCCGAAGCAAAATGCGAAGCCTGGGCCACTCAGTGATGCAAACCCGGTGAGGGTTCAAGTTCGGGGTTGAGGACTTAAAGCATAGACCCCTATATTCTTGGGGGCCAGCTTACCTTAACCCCCAAATGGCCTACCTTTTCAAGGACTTTTACAAAGAAGAGTATATTAAGGAGCCTTCAAAGAGTATGCTTTGCAGGGCCCAGGAAGGAGTTAGGGAGCCTTGGTGCCTTATGCTAGGTATATAAGTAAGTATATAGGTATAGTTTAGCATATCCAACTCCAAAGCAACCCGTATATCCGGGTTCAAGGTTCATAGGACTCCGAAAACCACAATTCTATCACCCAGAGAGGCTCCATTTTAGCTCCTTTCTGGGGTTCATATTTAGAATCCTACAAGGCAAACAGGAACTACAATCGAGCCTAGTACGAAGATGTCGTTATAACAGTGCCCTTGTTCAGGCCTGGAGCTTCGCGGCCACCCTGGGCCCATCGCTCACCACTGAGGCTTTCTAGGGGTTAATATGGGAGTTTCCGAAAATTAGGGGCACCTTATTTTAGGGTCCTTGTAATAAGGATCCTACAATTTAGGGTACGATATTAGGGTCCCCTATTTTCGGAAACTTCCATATATGGGGCCTCAACAATTACCTATACTATTTTGGGCGGGTTCCTTATTATAATTCAGGTACAATGGGGTTTAGTATAGGGGCTATAATCCTTGCCTCTACCATTTTGCGGGGTTCCATATTATCATTGTATTCTAGGGCTTAGGGCCTAGGGCCATTTAGGGCTTCCAGGGTTACAAAGGCTTGTTACTCTGGGTTCAATCGCGGGCCTCGAAGGTTTAGGGCGCTCAGGGTTAAAATTATAGGATCCTTAAGGGAGGGGGGTCCAAGGGGGGTATATAGCCTAGTGATCCCTAATTCTCCCTAGTACTCCCTAAGGTTCCTAATAAAAGGGTTATTCTGGACAATCCTGGGTTGAGAACGTTCACGTGCAACTTTCGGACCGGCGCAGCCTTCAAAATCCTAGGTCTGCTGGCATTCCCGTCGTGTTCAGGATGTTTGCTGAAATACGGCCCTAACTTCGAGCCGAAATCGCAATATATCCTACATCAGATACCGATACCCCTTGCTGATTAAGTCGCCACTGTTCCCACGCCTCCTCCTCGTCCTACTATGGTGGTGGTGGTGGTGGTGCTGCTGCTGCTGCTGCTGATGCTGTCCCTTCTTCTGTTGTAACGGTGATAGAAATGACAACCTCAGCCACTGCATTAGCTGCAACACAAACAACCACCGTGGCAACAACGAAAACTTTCGCAGAAACCAGCTGGCGCCTGTGAAAGCCTAAGCAAGCAAGCACAAGAAGAGCCCTGTCCCATAGGTAGCGTAACTCTCGCGAGTCCTAAGCACTAAACCCTAGATCGGGCCCCAGAGATAGCGTGTCGTTCAACAGCATCTTCGAGGCATGGGCGAAGCTGCTTCAGGAGACCTTCCGCTGCTCGGAGACATCACCTGAATTCGCCTTGCTTTGTGGGAGAAGTCATTTAGAGCTAGTGTTTAGGGGTTTTGGGGCTTGGTTTTGGTTGTTATTTTTCGAGTTTTGGGTTGCTTGCTACAGGATAGGGCTCAGGGACACTGTGCTGCGCTTCACCTACACGTAGGCGGTCGTCGCAAACTGAGACCTCAACTTACCCTTAAAGATTCCCTATAGACCCCTTTAAAGGAACCCTTATGGCTACCCAAATACTATAATTATTTGGGCCTCCAAGTAGAATCCCCCGCCAGTCGGGTCCTTATTGCACTGGCCCAAGAACAGGGCCCCCAGTATACGCCGGGAGACCACAGGGGCAGCAACCCTGGGTTTCCCTCGGGTTTCGGGTGGCTTCGACCCCCGGGTCTTCCGGAAGATGCTGACGAAAAATACCCGCTTTGTTCCGTTTTTCTCTCGAACCCTTAATAGTATATGAACACCCCGAAACCCGAAAGCCAGAGACAATCGCGTCCATACAAGACCACGTAAAGCCCTATCAAACCCTCGCTTCTAAACCTAGACCCTATAAACCCTATACCTGAACTTCAAGTCATCCTAAATCCTAAGCGCCTGAAAGCAGAAGCCGGAAAATTGGAGCATCATCATACTCGTACCCCTAAGGTTAAGCACACGCAATCCCAGCACTGTTGATCCAAATTTATCTTCCAACTTCCTAGGGTTTCAATGACTATAAGCCCGATCATCCTAAACCCCAAGGGTCTATTATTTACCCATTATATAGCCCAAATTATAGGGACCCAGGGGTCCCCATTAAGGGTCCCTCCCTTTCCCCTTTGATAGACGCTTCAAGCGATCGAGGCTTAATCCGAGAAGAGCGGCTCGATGACGTTTCCTTGGCCGTGGCCGCTCACAGCCTCTACCGGTTGAGTCCTCGGTTCAAAGGGCCTGCAGGGTTCACTACGGTTGATGATATAAATCCTGCATTACCCATAATAAGGAATATACCATAATTCCCATACTTTAGGTTCCTTAAGGTAATGCAGGATTTATGTCATCAACCGTAGGTTGGATTTCTGCTTTGGGTTTATAAGGGACCCTGTATATAAATGTTTTTCAGGGTGTTTAAAGGCCAACCCAGTTCACCTACTTACTATAGACGCCTACAGTCTTACCATACTAAGTTGGGGGTTCCTTATTGTTTTAGTTTAAAGCTATAAGGAACCCACCCCAAAAATTGTATGGTAATAAGTTAAACTTATGACCATAGAATTTTTTTTGGGGGGGGTCCTTAAAGCTTTAAACTGATTACCATACTATTTTGGGTGTTCCTTTTATTATTTTGAGCGCCAGGGCGGGGGGGGGGCATGTCAGGGTGTCTTAAAATCAAGCTTGCTTTTATAGTGTTACGGGGTGGCTGGACAGGTTTTAGAAGATCCTAGTATTTAGGATCCAGCCTAAGGTGTCCTCACCTATATAATTTACAATTGACTGAGGAGGCTTTCGTTGTTGAGTTCCCTGAAGATATGCGAATGGTATCCATCTTTGCATCCACGTACCTCAAGAAGTGTTCCTCGTTCAGACATGCTTTTGTTTGCGTTCGTATAGGTTCCATATACTTCGTTGAGTTTTGAGCCGCGAGCCGGAAGTATGCATTTGTGTGTCGTTCTACGATAGGGTTTTATTGTAGGGTAGTAGAGGTTCTTTACTAGAGATTCCCCTCGAGTGGTCACAGTTCCTGACAAACATGAACCTCGATCTCTTGACTCATGCCTGCACCTTCCTGCACCCGAAACTCTAAAACCTTTCAAAGTGCTGAGCACTTCGTCTCAGAGTGAGCGCCGAGACCGTGAAATCTGAAACCCCGAACCTTACAACCTCGTGGCATCATGGCAGTGCGCAATGTTCACCCGAACATAAACTCGTCGGCTCGAACGAAGAAGTCCTGCATTCTAGGGCCTATTCTAGGGTTGAGGATTTTAGAGTGTCGGTTCTTACGGAGTGATGGCTTCTGTCCGCAACCGGGGTTGAGCACTTGCGGAAAAATTGTCCTGCAATTTCCACATCGATTCTTGTCTGTCAAAAATTGTAGGGCTTGACGCAGTCGTGGCGTCAAATTACAAGCTTTTCAGAACTGCAAACCCAAGAATCCGACTATAGGATAGTAGTAGCTAGAATAAGAAACAATTATAAGAATAACGGAGAGGGAAAACTTCAATAATAAGTAATTAATTATAAGAAAAATTTAACTTGAACTTACCAGAGGCTCCGGGACACGCCTTTCGCTCCTGGCCGGCACGGCGGCGCGACGAACTGCATCGCTGCACTCGCCGCAATGTCAAGCCGAAGGCAGGGACCTCGGAATGTTGGCTTCGAGATGGTAGTGAACGGGGGAACCTGCTTTGAAATTTTGCAGAGTCTTGTAACTGGAACCTGATGTTGAAATTGGGAAAGTTTTATGACTGGAACCTCGGGGTGGAAGGTATTAGGTGGACTTACCAAGTCCTAAACCTCTTGCTTAGATAGTGAACGGGGGAACTTTAAACTTTTTTGGCCTTATGTATTAGCTCTATCTTATAAAGTTTGAACTTTTTGTGGCCCGGTTGTAGAACCTACACCCGAAGCTCTATACACCCAAAGCCCTTAAAGCCGGTCATGCTGTATGTCAGAGAGCCAAAGCGGAAAGCCCAAGAGTTCCTTGCCTTAGGCCGCAGGATTTTGGTCGATACGAAGACTCTCTTAGAATGTCAAAGCTTTTATAGCAAGGTTCAAAAGCCTTAATAAAGTTCTAAAGCCCTTCGAACCCCAAAGCCGCAGAAATGCAAATCAGTCAGGTTACCCACAATGGAGCTTCGACTCCTGGTCGACACAACCGCCTGGCTAGCGCGACTTGCAGTGCCCTGTCTCAGGGCTGATCAGGGTTTCCTGCTTGCAGCAACCTGGCTTCATGTCAGAACAATTTCAAAGCTGATGATGGAATAGGGCCTGGGTTCAAAAGGCAAAATCAATTCTACTACCCAGAGGCCCCAAAGTAATTCCTTTTTTGGGGGGGCTCATATATAGAATCCTATAAGGTAATCCCAAAAAGGAACTACTTTGGGGCCTCTGGGTAGCGACGTCAGCCCCAGCATCATCAGGAAGCAGCAAGAACGAGAGCAAGACTGGATCAGTAAGCCAAAGGCAGACACTGGCAAAACGAACTACCGGAATCTGGATGCCATCCAGTACCATCAGCATTTTAGGTTAGATCCTGGCAGAATGCATTAAACCTGTGCATTGCTGTTTGTGAGGTATTGTATCTTACCACTGTGCTTGTACTAATGGGAATGTAAAGTGTTTATGACTTTTGCGTTATCAGTGCTTTTCAGTTATATTTGTAACGTGTGTGATGGATCTTCTGTTCTATGTTCCATATTATCTAAGTTATTGCACACTGCATAGTAATATAGTATACGATAGTGCCTTAATACTGTTGTACATGCTGTTCGGTTCTACTTGAACCCATATCATGAAATCTGTCTCGCATTGAACGGTTCATTGTACTGCTTAGATTTCGGAGTGTATTTCAGTCTGTCTGCAACGAGGGTGCAGTTGATAATCTTGCTTGGTTACATTACAGCTCATCTTATGGTGTATACTGTACCATCTGTGTGTACTAACTGTTGCGCTATCCTTGTGGTTTGCATTGAATGCACAGCGTGAAATGCGAATTGTATATTTTGGGGTATACTTTGTTTGGTTATGTGGTAGTTTTCTTTACGCTCTAGTATGCCTCATCTGTTCATCTCGTGTAATGTCATGTTGCATTCTTTAACGTACTGTTGCATTACACTTTACTGTAAGACTTCGTACGACACAACCCGCCCTCATATTATTCAATGCTGCCTTACAAAGCTTATACTATGTTATGTTGTCAATGGAGGACAAACAAGCAACGAATCGTTTGTACAATCCTAGTGCATCGAGTGTAGCAACAACACCCAGCACACAGTGTGCAGTTGTAGCTGCTGGATGCTTTCGACCGTCATTTGTGACCGCACCGCGGCACTGCCTGCAATTACTGTGTTTTGCTGCTGTCCGACCTCGTGAACTGTGCATGCTGTCGGCAAGGGCTTTCGCAGAGTGGAGTTTCTTTAGACCGGAGCTCGGCCAGACTGTCTAGCAGCCATGGACCAGAGTGAGGCACAAACTACTCCTCTCGTGCAGCCAGGTGAAGGCCACCACGTGGGATGGAAGTCGGCCGGCATCATTCTCTTCACGTTCGCAGCACCCTCTGCGGTGATGGCCGTGCCCTTTGCCATTGCGAATGCCGGCTACGCCGGCGGCATGGTTCTATGCATTCTCCTTACGTGGGCCTCGGTTGCTGGAGCCAACATGCTCCTCGAGATGAAGCTACTGCACCCGCACTGCAGCTCGGCTCTTCTTTGGCATAAGCACTTTGTTGAGTTCTTGACTCTGAAATGTGATACCCAAAAGACATCCAGGAAGGAGGTTTCGTAGCGACCCATGCCGAGGCGAGACCTTGGGAGATCTTGGCAAGGAAGTGATTGGCAGGTGGGCACAGATTTGGGGCAACGTGATTCAGCTCGGGAATTTCTGCCTTTTCATGCCCTGTGCTCTTTCGTTCGTCGCCCAATCCTTGTACTCCATCGGCACGCTGGGTCCTTTGGGCGACTGCATTGACTACTACGTGTGGGTCGTTGCAGGCATTTGCTTGCTCTCTACACAGGTCCGGAGCTTCGACAACGTGAATGTCTTTACCACGATACTGGGTTGTCCTTTGGGACCTCTTTTAATTTCCCCTATATACTATTTTGTAGAGAACCAACCATAATCGTAAATAATTTTCAAAAACGGCTTAATTCAAGGACAACTAAGGATAGCTTTTCTCTGCTCCATCGGCATGGTAGCTACCATGGTGGCGGGTGCCTTCCAGTATGAGCACACTTCCAGAATCCCGGCACAGTGGTTTGGTAACCCAGAGCCGAACCCAGGCTTGCGAATCATACGCCTTGCCAGCGGCTTTACCATCAATGCTTGGGCGTTCCTTTGTCATAGTTGGGTAACATTTCACATTTTGTATGGGTACTTAAACCCTATAAGGAGTAAAGCTTGCACACTTTTTAATCCGATCCCAACCATGAACTAGGTTCATTCCCGCTTTCCTCACCGTCGAACTCAGCACTTGCATGCCAAACCCTGTGGACTTCAAGAAGTCTTTGCTGCTCTCCGGGGGTCTCAACGTGATACTCTTCGTGCTGCCTGGCATGGCATTTGGGAGTCACGTATCAGGGTTCCTTTAAGGGTGGGTATAGGGGATCTATAGGGTTTAGGGTTTAGAGAGTTTCCGAACATATTTTGGGGGTCCTGATAATGATAAGGATCCTACTATTTAGAGTATTAGTAAGTAGGCTCCCCCATTTTCGGAAACTCCCATTTGGGAGTCACGTCTAGTCTCGCATGTTTGCAACCCCTGCGTCCCCATTGAATCGCAAGGATCGTTGGCAGCATCGTCGTGGTCCGCTGGGGTTACAACGTCGGTGAAGTCATCGCCGCCACCACGGGTGTAGGCGCATTCGTCCCAGGGAGCGTGATCAATACTCTCTTCAACGCCTTCCAGCTGGGCGGCAACTTTGTGTGTTACATGCTGGACTCAGTTCCACTCGCTCGGTTCTGCCAAGAGACCTGGGCTCCGAACTTCAAGGACACCTGGACAATGCCAGATATCCTGAGGTACTTGGGCTACACCTTGCCCACCTTCTTGGTGGCAGTGCTTCTGAGCACTTTCGCGCCCAGCATCGACACACTCGTGGATTTCGTAACTGCTCTGACCATTCCCTGGGTGACGCAGATCTACCCTGCAGTCCTTTATTGGAAATTCCTCCATGGACGAGCGGCAGACAACATTGAGTGTGGATTGGAAGACCCCGTCAAGAAGTCAGAAAAGATCACCATCGCCCTAGTCTTCACTATCGGGTGCATCAGCTTCTGTGCCTGCATGCTGAAAGCTGTCGGATACCTTGCCATTGATGAGCTTCGGCCGTCGTTTCAGATTGGATGCAACAACTGGCTGATTTGGAAATGGTCCGGCAGTTAAACGCGGATGCTCAGCCGTGGTGGTTGCATCTCCCGGTCGCGCTGTGTTGCCGTCCTCGGCTGACTTAAAGTCCTTCGAGGCTGCTACGAGCGCAGGTTACCGGTCAAGTTCTTCCCGTTGGCGTCCGATGAAATGGTTGGTGATGTTTCGTTGTTTGCATTTAGAGTAGAACTTCTCCTCTAATTTGATATGACATGTCTTGCTGTTGAGGTCGCCCTCGGTCACCGTCCTGTTGGAGTGGTAAAGGAGTCTTTTTAAATAGCAACATCAAGAATGATCTATGTTTCGTCGTCTCGGCATGCAGAAGTATGTTAATAGACAGATAGGCAGATGTATGTGTGCATTTATATGCTTGGAACTTAGAACATACATAGAGCGTGCCAAACCCTTGCTGGACAGACTGTTCGGACCCTTGATCAAAGCTGCCTACGGCGGCATCCAGTTACCATTGCCCAGAGAGCCCAATACCCCTTAATTAAGAAATATAGCTTAAAATCATAATATGAAGCCCTTTATAATTTGAGCCATATTCCTGAATAAAGGGGTCTAGGGCTCTCTGGGTGGGGAGCTTGACCTCCGCTCCCATCGCTTCGGGGCTTCCAGCAGTACTTGGCTCTGGTCGCTTCATTTGCACTGTGGAAAATCGTCGCAGGGCTTACTATCAACCCAAAAACTCCAATATCCCTGAATTAGGGAATATACCTTAAATCATCTTCGGGATCCTACTATAATTTAAGGTATATTCCTTAATTAAGGGATGTTGGAGTTTCTGGGAACCCCAAAGAGGCTACAAACTTTAAGGACTTGACTGGACATATACATGCACAAACGAAGACAAGGCCCTGAAGGAATTTCGGTTATCTGTGGTTAAGGCACAAATCAGGCACAGTTTCAGAGGGCCGGAGACCTTAGCCGGATGTTCAGCTTCGAGCGGTAGACCTAGATGAGCACTGAAAACATGATGCTTTCGCACAGTTTTGCCGCAGAGCGCTGAAGATTTAGTCATGAGGAGAAAGATTCAAAGTAGTTCCTTCTGTGGACAAGATGAGGTCATTCGAATCCGGTTCTGTTGATGGAAGCCAAGCATACCCCCACAATTATCAACCCGAGGCGCTCTCGACCCTGAGCTGTGCTTCAACTATCTTCAACTCTCATGACCCCCCGAACCCGCAAACAACTGAAGCGTTCAGAGTTGAACGTTCATGGTATTCGAAACCCGTGCCTCAGCCAAGGACGCTCTGCATGGTCACCCCCCCTTGCGGCGTGGCATCGAGGCGGACCATCGAAAGACCTGACTGGGTGTTGGAGGGGATTTGGGTTTGGTGATGTAGGATTGGGTCTAGGATATTCGGTTGGAAAGGTTAGAGTTTAGGGAGAGCGAGTTTCGTATGCGAGGAGTCAGGACTTTTTGTTCTGGCCATGCCAACGTTTTTCCACAGGGAGTTTCAGACTATGAGACTCGCTGCAGGTTTTCGTGCTGGTATGATACGCGCCGCTTTATGCAAGTTCTTGATGCCGGGGAGCCAAACAAGACTTCGAGTGACGATCTTAGCAACCCGGGTCTTTCGTCAGGCGTGGTGTTATCGGTTGAAGAAGAGGAGGTCCGCACGAATCTAGTTCATTTTGCCTACTCATGGCCCGACACCCTGAACATGTAACCCTACCTGAACCCACCAGAACCGAGTTGTTTGTAGGGTCCCGATAAACTCCATATAAGGGTTTTTAGTAAGAGCCTACTAAAAAGTCGGTTTTGGTGGGTTGAAGAACCTCCTGTGAATCTTCGTGACTATGCTCCATGCCATGCCCAAAATGCCGTGTCTTTTCTGGTGACTCTTGGATCCCAAGGCGGTGCAATGCGCCTGGCATCCCTTCCAGCCCCAAAACTCCTGGCTTTAGGGTCTAGGGTATAGTGTTGTGCTAGGCCATTCTACTTGGAGGTTCATGGGTAGTTATAAGTGGGGCTATAAGTCCCCTAATAGGGGTTATTAGTATAGTTACCCTACTTAGAACCCTACTTATAACTACCCATGAACCTCCAAGTACTGAGAACTTCTGGGACCCTTTATGGATACACCTCCAAGCGAGAAGGCCATCGCCAATGGGCGGTCAAAGCTCGAGGGTTGACATTCTTTTCAAATTTCGAAGCCTTGCAGCAACTTCAGGGTTTAGACGGTTTAGGGTTTAGGGTTAGGGTTGGATTAGGTGAATATGTGGCGTCTTGCACCTGAAGTCAGTCTGCAAACCGGGACAGTCTACGTGCTTGCTGTGCCGGTGAATGCTACAGAATACGTTTTCGCTAGGGCATATTACTGCGTAGCGGCGTTCTACGTCCAAGAGGTCTACAGCTAGTTTGAGACCCATTCCGCCTGATTTCAAGAGCTCCTTTTGATCCTTAGGCTCGGCGCTAGATCTGCGTTCAGTTGCAGTCAACACTCTGCACAAGCTCCGATTGTGCGTGGTCGCCATCCGTTCATCTAGCTAGCAGCACATGGTTCACTTGTCAACTGTGGTCGCAGGAACGAATATGCGAAGATGAACTAGCAGTATGAGATATACACGTAGCTCTGTCAACAGCAGTATGACTGGACAGCAGCAGACTCCAAGCTGTCCCACACGCAGGCTTTGGCCATCGCTGCAGCCGAGGAACAGCAACGTGAGGGTTGTGATGAATTCGAACGTTGGTTCTGCTACGACAGACTAGTTTCAAGACTGGTGCCTTTGCGCCCCTTTGAGGAATCTGTGTTGCAGTAAGCATAGTTGACAGGCTATATAGAGCTTTTGTTGTTCAATATTACATGCTTCGGATAGCTTAGCCAGCTGTTGCATTCTCGAATAATCATGGATGCGGCATATAGGTTTGCAGAAAGGCAGCACAACAGACCCACAACTCCGTCCGGGACCCCTAGGTATGCTCATATCCAATCAGTCAGGCGTGGGCACGAAATCGGGTGCTGCGTAACAGGGCCAGGACATCTTAAACTTCGAGTAGGTAACCTTTAACCTTTTTTGGGTAGTATAGTCCCTATATACAAGGTTAACCTTTAGTTTCCCATGATACCCGACCAGTAGGACTTTGTGATCCCGCGTAAGCAGCGTAAGCAGGGTTCAACGATCTAGAACTCGTCCAGCCTTTCCGGGTTCCACTACTATAGGGGCCTTAACAATTACTTATACTATTTTGGAGGTTCCTTATGATAGCTGTGGTATGATTGGCCCCAAAACCCTATTCTAACTGTTCAGGCAACTCTATTAGCAAGTTTCAACGAACTCTGCTGGATCTCCCCACAACAGATCCCTTACTTCAATCCTCGACTACTTGGAGATTCATGGGTAGTTATAAGTGGGGTTATAAGTCCCCTAATAGGGGTTATCAGTATAGTTACCCTACTTAGAGAACCCTACTCATGAACCTCCAAGTAGGCCCTAAACTCTATACCCATCTAGATTCCCTATAGATCCCTTTAAAGGGACCCTTAAAGGAACCCTTATAACTACCCATGAACCTCCAAGTAGAGCAGCTGCAGTTTGGTCCCCTGTCAGGAGCTGCCAGTTCGGAAGGCGGCGGGGTCCATGGTCTCGGGCCGCATCTTGGTCTGTTTTTTTGGTGCTTTCGGTTGCTGATATAAATCCTGAATTTCCCATAGTAAGGAATATACAATAATTCCCACAGTGTGGGGTCATTAAGGTGATGCAGGATTTATATCATCAACCGTTTCAGAGTTTCGGAGTTTAGAGTTCGTCTTTTGGCTCAAGGTTTCGGGGCGATCGGAGTCCTTCACCCGCTATCCACGATTCGCAGTGTAGGAATCTTGTTAACAAACCTTGGGCCTTCATTTTGGTTCCTTATGGAATTCCTACTATTTGGGTTTTATAGGCCCAGGGTGTCTAAATCAGGTTCCTACACTATCATCTATGAGCTCCCTAAACCCTAAACCGTCTGAGCGCTCCAGGCATTTTGTCTGTGGTCTTCTGAAGGGACCCTAAACCCTAAACCCTAAGCACAGAAAGAGCCACTACACTTTAAAAAGAAAAACCCCTAAACCCCTAAACCCTAAACCCCTAAACCCCTAAACCCTAAACCCCTAAACCCCTAAACCCCTAAACCCCTAAACCCCTAAACCCCTAAACCCTAAACCCCTAAACCCCTAAAACCCTAAACCCCTAAACCCCTAAACCCCTAAACCCCTAAACCCCTAAACCCCTAAACCCTAAACCCCTAAACCTGGAAGCCCAAAGTCTGCAGCTTGGGAACCCAGAGGCCTCGGCCCCGGGTTGCCTCATCCTAGAATCACCATAGTGCTAGTAGTAGTGAAAGTAATAACATCAAGAAGAATACTCATATCCGATAGTACCCATAGTAAAAGCAGTAATGGTAATAATAATACTGGTAATAAGGCAGAACAATATATTTCAGTGCGGTTTAGTATACCATAGCACAGCATAGTAGGATAGAAGATTATAGCTATCGTAGGCACGGAGCAGTTAGGTAAAGCCTTGAGTGCTCAGGGTGGAGCTCTAACTCTGGATGTGGTGCTCTTTTGGTTCCTAAAGTCCTAAACCCTCTAAACCCTGAGGTGATGTGGGCACCTTGTGCGGCGTGACGGTCTCGCTGTCCCTGCCACTGACAGGCATTCAGTGTCATTGTCATGGCTTCGCCTAGATGAAACCGTCGACTTCAAGCTTAGGGGGTCTAAACCTAAACCCTAAACCATCACAGGTTGAGGTCAGCCCTTCGATGCACAGTTTTTGCAGCCTTCGTGCATGAGTCGCGTCGCTTGAGCTCTTCCTGTCGGCACCCTTCCAGGGCTCCCGAATACTCACACGTCTACTTATCGAGCCCCCACTCTATTTAGGCAGAAGCGGCGCCCCCTTTAAGTTTTCGGGCGAACGAGTCGGGCAACTGGGATCCCTACAGAACGAGGCGAGCATGAGTTCACCTTGCTGTGGGTACCGCTTGCCGTGTACATTGTAATAATAATAATGATAATGCGAATAACAATAATGATAATAGTAATAATAGTAGTAATAATAATAGTAATAATAATAATAATAGTAATAATAAAAATAATAATAAAAATAAGAATAAAAAAAATAATAATAATAATCATAATAATAATCATAATAATAATCATAATAATAATCATAATAATAATCATAATAATAATCATAATAATAATAGTTCTAATAATAATAGAAATAATAAGGTGCCGACCGTAGCGACGACAAGGTCTTTTCTTGCCCCAAACTCCCATCCCACAACCCGAACTAGAATCAACACCCTGGTGCTTGGATTATGGGGGCTAGCATTGGGGATTCTATAGGGGCTACTGTAGGGATCCATTCCCCCATTCCCTACTAAGCGCCAAGGAGTCAAGTGTCCAGACGGTGTCTTTGCTCCCCCCACATCACCGGAGTGATCCTGAAGCATGCAATGCTGAGTTCATGATTGCTTAGGGGTAGCTCTAAAGACCCATGAACCTGTTTTTGGTACACAGGAGGCAAAATATGCAATGTATAGTTGGGCCTTCAAGCGGTTCCCAATATTTGTACTTCAAGGCCCGAGTTGAAAATTGAGGTTGTTGGGTTTTCTTCGCCGAGGCGGTCGGAGTCCTTTCTCACCTATGTGCGATACCTGATTCGCGCCTCGGACGCACGAGGTACTTAGGATTGAGGCCGAAAAAGTTTAGGAGTTTAGTGCTGTAGGGGGCGAGGGCCTGAGAGAGAGAGAGAGAGTCAGTCCAGTAATGAGGGGAATTGAGGTCTGCACACCCTCAACCCTAAACCCTACCTGGATCCTAAAGTACTAAAGGACCTGCCCTTTTAGGGTCCCCTATTATGATTTCCTTATGTCAGCCCTTAAAAGGGTAGGTTATTTGGAGTTTAGGTAAGACCTAAACTGTGGTTGGTCTACACTGTCAAAGGGGTGTGTGTTGCAACACGCGCTCTCGGATCAGGGGCGACAAGCTCCGTTGGCTTCTGAGGCTTGGGGTTGCCAGAAGCGGTCCAAGGGCTACTGAAGGTGTTACTGTGTATGGGCGAGTATGCAGGTGTATACATATAAATATATATATATATATATATATATATATATATACTTCCCATATACACGTATATACACACAAACATACATACATGCACATATGCACACAAACACACACACACACACACACACAAACACAGACACACAGGTGCAATGCAGGGTTTAGGGCTTCAGTATAATTTACATAGGTCCCTGCAGATATGATTTTGTTACCCCGGGGTCGTCATAGTAACTATAGTACAGTAAAGTCAGTCGTTTAGGCCCAAATTTTAGCTTTGTTGTGTCTATCAGGGAGAAGGGGCTCAAGGAATCACGAACCGGATTTGGCCCAAACCCTGAACCCTTGGCTAGTTGGGTCTTGGTGTTGCTATTCGCGCTTTGTCCTTTGGTGTACAAGTAGCAAGCTCAGCGGACTTAGTATCTGAATCCATGCCTGCCTTGCGCGATTGTGTGAGTCGAAATCCTGGAACTCAAACCGGTAGCACAGACCAGTAGAGTTGATATGAGGGCCTAAATCGTTACCAATACCATTTTGGTGGCTCCTTATTATGATTGCAATATAATATTCCCCGAAAGCCCTATTCTAATTATTAAGGCCTCCGATCTACGGAAAAGTCGGCCGTCGGAGGCCAATGTGCCATCGCCAGGTAAGTCCGAGTGCAAGTGCTGAATCCTAATGCAGGAACCTGATTAAGAAACCTTGGGCCTGTATTAAGGTTCCTTCGATGAATCCTACTATTTTGAATTGGGGTTACAGGCCCAGTTTTTCTTAATCTGGCTCCTGCATTACCATAAGGCCCCAAAGTAGTTCCTTTTTGGGGTTCGTATATAGAATCCTATGAGGTAATCCCAAAAAGGAACTACTTTGGGGCCTATGGGTAACCTCATAATAGTACCCTTCTAGATTCCTTATAGTATCCCTTATAGACCCCTTTAAAGGAACCCTTAGGCATTAACCTCAACCCAGTGCAGCCCATGCCTTCTCCACCGTGGCCGCATCGCGAAGATGACGAAGAGTAAACTGGTCGTTTTTCCTTCCGAGAATTAGAGGTACCTTCAAAGGGATCCTTGAAGGGCTCCTTAAAGGGATCTATAAGGGTTCTATAAAGGGTTTAGGGTTTAGAGTTTCCGAAACTTGGGGGACACCCAGAAGACCACAGCGCGCTTGAAGTGGTTGGGAGAACAAGGACGCAAAAGCGCCAGATCATGCTTGGTTCGGGATTTTTAGATTTTGTGGAGCTTAAGAGTTTGGGGTTAAGTTGCATTTTTCAAATGCTTTTAGTTTATGGAGCCTAAACCGGGAAACCTAGAGTTTTAGTCTATGGAGCCTATGCCGCGAACCCTAGAGTTGTAGTCTATGGAGCCTAAACCTCCAAGGGTAAAAGGAGGACCCTTAACAAGGACCCATAGGTAAAAACCCTTACTACAGCTATTATATACCCATTATATAGCCCATGACCGGGTAGGGGTCCCCATTAAGGGTCCCTCCTTTTCCCCTTTGAAAACCGCAAACCGGAACCCTAGAGTTTTAGTCTATGGAGCCTAAACCCTAAACCCTAAACCCCTAAACCCTAAACCCCTAAACCTTAAACCCCTAAACCCTAAACCACTAAACCCGAAACCCCGAAACCCTAAACCCCTAAACCCTAAACCATAAACCCTAAACCGGAACCCTAGAGTCTTTAAGCTTCTCAAGGAAAAGACTGGGACATGGTCTGGACGCCGAAGGCGCGGAGTCTTCTTCAGCCGATTGCCGTTGCTGGAAGCCTAGCTTCTGCAAAAAAATACTTCCGTATCACATTAAATGAAACATGTATAATATAGCATAGTACGACATGATATAGAATATAGTAGTACTAGAGTATAGTGATAAATCATGATGTTTGGGAGGGTTGAGGGTTAAAAGAGTTTTGGGCCAGTTTTGGGGTTTAAGGATATGGCAGCCTGACCTTCGGGTTAAGGATAGGGCCGGATAGGGCTTCACGGGGTTAAGTGTGTTGAGACTTCCTGGCTGCATGGCGAAATTTCACGAGTGATACTAAGCCTGAGAGCTTAAACCCTTGACGCTAAGTACGCCTTAAATCGCCAAATCGTAGCGGCAGCCTTCAACCCGAGACTAAACATGGACATGTTTGACTGGTCGTCTGCAGAGTCGAGGGCCACACGTCAAGAAGATTCGCGGGTCTCGGAGTTCGATCGAAGTACATTTCAGCAATACCTTAAACCGCCTAAACCCTTCTTTTGCGGTCGCGGCTGGCCAAGTTTCTGTCTTCCTTGATAAACCGACTAAGGGGTCAGGGCATAGGGCGGCGTAGTGCGATGGATTATAGTTTATAAACGTAAAGGAAAGCTGAAACACCATCGCACAGCCCAAACCCCTTTTCGAGCCGCACAGTCCATCCCCCATAAACACGACGCAGATCTTCACCAGATAAACAAACCAATGATTCAATAAGATAAGATAACAAACGATATGAACTTGCGACTTGCTGCATCGCTACTCGTCAACCCGCCAACTAAGCGGCTAAACCCTGCTACGAGCAACGAAAAAGTTTCAACGCACGCAGGCCCTCGTCGAAGCAGCGCCTTGGCGGAGAGGGAGAGAGTCGGGCCTCTATTACGGCGATTTAGAGGTTACCTTTTGCAGCAGCTGCTTGGGCCCTTCGAGTCGTGAGAGCCTCTGTTCAGTGTCTTCAATATAAGGATATTTTAAAAGGCAATTGGGGTTTCATACACTTACGTACAATAAGAGAGTACACTGACTTGTTGGACATCTCTTTACCAAACATCATGCCGCCTGCCATGCAGGGTCCAACTACGCAGTTCCCTTAGTGCCGGACAGTCCCAAAACAAAACCCTAAATCCCTAAACCCGACACCTGAAATCCATAAACCCTAAAGCCCTAAATCCCTAAACCCGACACCTGAAGTCCATAAACCCTAAAGCCCTAAACCCGACACCTGAAGTCCATAAACCCTACAGCCTCAAATCCCTAAACCCGACACCTGAAGTCCCTAAAGCCCTAAATCCCTAAACCCCTAAACCACCTTAAATCCAAATACCCTAGAGCCTTAAACCCCTAAACTCTACACCTTAAATCCAAAGACCCTAAAGCACTAAACCCCTAAACCCTACACCTGAAATCCATAAACCCTAAAGCCCTAAATCCCTTAGTCCTGAATCTTAGTTAAAATCCTGAATCTTAATTAAAGCCAAAGCCCAAGCTACGGCAGAGCCAGAACTGCTGAAGGAGCTCCGGGACTTCAAACGGTTTAGGGTTTAGGATTTAGGGTTATCTAGGGTTTAAGGTTTAGGGGTTAAGGTTTAGGGGATAAGGTTTAGGGTTTAAGGTTTAGGGGTTAAGGTTTAGGGGTTAAGGTTAGGGTTTAGGGTTTAGCGGTTAAGGTTTAGGGTTTAAGGTTTAGGGGGTAAGGTTTAGGGGTTAAGGTTAGGGTTTAGGGTTTAGGGGTTAAGGTTTAGGGTTTAAGGTTTAGGGGTTAAGGTTAGGGTTTAGGGCTTAGAGGTTAAGGTTTAGGGTTTAGGGCTTAGGGTTTGGGGTTTAGGGCTTAGGGTTTAGGGTTTAGGGCTTAGGGTTTAGGGTTTAGGTTTGAGATCTCCATAATAGGGGTCTGGGATCTTAATGGGTTCTGTTCGGGAGTTTCGGTCTGGGGGCTTCCATATTCACCATCTATATGCCGAAGGGCTCCTTTTTACAAGTACAGTATAGTGTAGCCCAGAACCCCTGTTCTAATTATGAAAGCCCTAGAGTCGGAATAGTCGGCAATAGCCCATCGAAGCTCAGACGAGTGGGCAACCGGAAAAAGGAGTTAAAAAACAAAATCTAAACCCTGAAGCCCTAAACCCTAAAACCCGAAAATCACATATGGCATCCTAACTCGAGAAAGCTCAGAAAGCCTTGTTGCATTCCGCAGCAATCTGGAGGAGCTTCCAGTCTAAGATTGCGAAGGGCAGACTAGTTGCCGGGTTCCACAATATCTTTGACTAAGAAATATTCTCTGCACCGTGGCAGGATCCAGAGTGAAGGAGCCCTGTGTCAAGCATTTTGAAGTATATTGAAGTCTGTGTACGTGCTTGAATGGAGTCCGGCTAACTCTGTCAACACGAAAACATCAAAAGCCTTACCGAGACTCCCCAATGTAGTACACTTGAGGGTTTGGAAGGGCTCCTTTCGGGCTGTAGGTTCAGGCTCTTAGTCGGAGGTCACGCAAAAAAGCCCTGCACATCCAGGCCAAGTGCATGGCCCACTTCCAGCAGGACGACCGCCGCGCCTGGCGAGCGCTCGCGTACCGCATGGAGAGGCCGGAGAAGAAAACTGCAGGGATCCCAAAGCCACGTAAACCTTTAGGGTTTTGCCTAGTGTATCCCAGCAAAGCAGCGTCTTGTCTTTCTTTAGGTCCTGTAAAAATGCTGAATTCATGCAACCCGAAAGCCGGGGTTTGGGCTCATTAGATTCAGCTTAATGACTGCTATGCTGCATTTGCTGGAGAGCCTGCGGGCACCCAGAGTTCGGGTTGAGGGTTTAGGGCCTAAAGTTTTAGGGTCTAGAGAATCAGACCTCCAACCCTAAACCGTCCGGAAATCCGACCCAGCATCCCCAATAGTTACAAAACAGCGAGCTCCGCATCGCAACAGTTCCATTGCAGTACTGCAGGTCTTTTCGGACTATGATCTTGCCGAGTGTGAGCGTCAAACCTTCGGAAGGAGCTTTAGTGTTTTATAAAACACTACAAGCCCTGTTTTATAAAACACTACAGGCCCAGTTCCAGAAGGAGCTTAAGCCGCAGAGCCTTTCAATCCTCAGCTCGGTTGGCTCTCTGCATGACAGGGAGCTGCCGGTCATGCTCCCAGGTGCCTTGACCGTCGCTGGACAGCAAGCAGTACACTATAGCGGCTTAAATAGGTTTAGGCTTTAGGGTTTAGCCTATTATACTATTTTGGGGGTTCCTTATCATGGGTCCCCAAACCCTTTTTTGATTATCAAGGCCCCTATATTATAGCTGCCCTACAGGACACCATTGCAGGAAGCATTGTAGACGGCCCAAACGGAAGCATACTTATCAAGTCCCCTGTCCTACCTCTGGGGGCTTGAGCTTTAGCAAGGTTTGGGGTCTGTATAGTTTGAAGGTTTAGGACTTTGGGAGTTTTATTGTTTTTGGAGGATCTGCGGTTGGAGAGTTGATGTCAGAAGCTGAGGAAATCGCCGAAACCTTCGCAGCAGCCTCCGTCACGAACGAGGCCACCCGCATCCTTGGACTTGGAAAGCTAGCCGTTTCCAGATCCCAACAACCGAATAAGACAGCTCCGAACTGCTTGCGATGACCAGTGCTGAATACCCCAACCCTAAACCCGATAAACTCCAGGCCCTCAACCCTAAACCGGCCCTAAACCCTAAACCCTAAGCCCTAAACCCTAAACCCTAAACCCCTAAACCCCTAAACCCTAAACCCGAAGCTCTAAGGTAGATTAGAGTGTTAAAGCTTTAGATACCTGAGAATTGCATGGCCGGAGGCCCCAGAAAACACAGGTTGATCATCTTGGAGCATGAGCCTTTCAGGTACTAGGCTCTTTGAAGAAAACGGCATCTAAGTTCCACTTGCGAAATATGGGTCTAGAGCCTAAAGTAGACAATATAGTTTCATTTAGATTGAGTTCCTTTACAAACCCAGGATTTGAAGCGGCGTGAGGGTTGTGGTAAAGGCATGGGGAATACAATCAGACCAGTGAAGAGTAGTCACACTCATCTTTCAGTCATAGGCCGGGGAATATGAGCCATGTGAATAGGAGTTCAATGAGCATAGCGCTATCAGATTAAGCACACAGAAGACTTGCTGCCAGGTACAGCTGTAAGCGGAGCAGAATGCATGTGGGTTTCCTCCGCGTCACTACCACTGCCATCGCCACCAGCAGCAGCACAACAATATCGAGGGTTAGTACCATTTAGCAAGCACCATCATCAGGCCAGCCTCTATGTTGACGCCAGTTCGTACCCTTCATGCACACCTCGGTTGATGTTATTCATTTTCTTCTTGATGGCCACATTTCCTGTCGGTGACCGCCTGATGTCGTGATTGGCATCAGCCAGCCCATCGGCATGCATACTGCTATCTGAATCAGGACAGGTGGTTAGCATGTGTGGGTTTTTCTTCAGCAACTGACAGAACTGTTTCTAATGAAGTACTATGCCACTATGCCGTTCCTTCTTGTTTTTTATATGGGCAGAACTACAAGACCTTGTGCGAACGACGTACTGTTTAATCTGATTCAATCTACGCATGCATCTTCTTTAGTCGCTTTTTCCATACAGCCTCCGGCTAGCTCCGGCCTGACTCTTTGGGATTACTTGGGCCCCTTCCCGGCACTGAACTTCTCCACACGAGCAAACCTTCCTCGCAGAACTGTAAGATGTTAATCATCCTGGGGAAGCTTCGTTGGATAACCCGAAAGAACTTTACGTTCGTTGCTTCTGGGTTCTGTATCGATGGCAAGGTATACTCGGAGCTTATCATTAGACTACAACCCCGACTAGAATTTCTCCTGAAAGCAAGATCCCTCAAAACAGGAGGCTGTGGGGTTGGTTCGGGCATTCAGGATCCACGATTGTTAGAGTTGAGAGCTGCATGCAGGACCCCTGCAGCACCCCTGCTTTAGGAATGTCGGAGTCTCTAGGAACCGGAACAGAGGGAAGTTTTCAAGCATCCTCATTAGGGCTACAGAAAGTAGCGACGACTCGAAATTCAAGAGTATGCATCTGCTGCCCCTTGTGACACGGCTTGCGGGTTCGTGGGCGCAAGGCTCTGCAGGGCACCGTATCTGACCATACACAGAGCTTCTCTGCTTTACATGTTTTTCGCAGCTCTTCCGGCTCGCTGCAGCCCCAGTATGCCACTATGTCTGCGTGGGACAAAATGAATGCGACTCGACCATGGGGTTGAAATTAGGGTTTGGGGGTGTTAGGGTTTTGTGTTCAGGGTTTAGGGGTTTAGAGTTTTGTGTTTAGGGTTGAGGGGTTTAGGGGGTTTTGTGCTTACAGTTGCAATACTTTCCTACGAGGTTCCGGTGTCCAAAACTGTGTTTAAACACTCCAACTTCCTCCAGGTTATGGACATCACGACTTGCAGTAGATGACTTTTGGTTATTCGCAGGTTACATGGGGGTCGACGAGGAACTGCAACATTCCCAGCGACCTCCGCCGGGAATTGCAGTTCATCGCTTCTGGCTACATTGCTTCCATCAGCGGGTGAACCAACAAACATGGAAGCACCCTAAACCCTCAACCCTGCATTCCTTCGTTCATTCACGAGTTTCGGGAGTGTCTTGATTTTTGTTGATAGAGGCTTCTCGAAACCCTAAGGGAAACCACTAAAAAACCCTAAACCCATGAAGGGCAGCACTCGTGTACCGAATGTATTTGCACTAGTCCTTCCCTCCATTCAAGGTAGGTCAACAGTCAAAACCTCATTAAACGTACCTGGGCAATAAATACAACACCTACCTTTTTTAACGACTTATGTAAGGAAATCATAGTATAAGGAACCCTAAAACGGCAGGTTCCTTGGAGTAAGGCTCAAGCCCTGGCACCCCTGAGGTCGCGAAGATGTAAACCCTAAACTATTCGGAAGGCAGCGTCTGGCGCTGAAAGCTGAGCAGGTTGAGGGCTTTAGGGTTGAATGCTACTTTCGAATGCCAGGGAGAGAGAGAGACAGAGAGAGAGAGAGAGAGCTGAAGGCTACTGTAGCTAAAGTTAAGCCTAAGGGCCCGGGAAGGCTTACAGAACCTCTACACCCGAAGGAAGCCATCCTAAACCCCAGGAGCGATAATATATACTATAACTACAGTACAAGCCTTCTAGACACCTTCGCCCTCAAGCCTAAACCCCAAATCCGAAGACTGCGCGCCTTACGTTGAAAGTACGCCAAGGCCTCTGGCGAATCTTTTTGGGAGCTTCATCGACGACTGGCGGACCGCTATGAGGTGGGGCTTTCTTGAAAGTATGGCTGGCAGAGCGTATTTCAGCTCGCTTTGGCACACTGGCACCGGAACAGTTGACCTACAGGTAAGCATCTGTTTGGTGAGGTCTTCTCTCTATCCGGAAACTCCAATACGCTTCGTGACTTTTTTCGAAGAAGAGACCATTGTCCGTGCAGGTTCATGCATGCATGCCTTCATGCATGGATGGATGCATGTAGGCATGAACTGCTGTTACACCCGCCCTGTGGAAAGGGAGCCGGAGAACGAGCATGAATTGTGCAGAATCGTAACGCACATGTACGTTTAGACAATCAGTTTACCTTCATGCTTGTAACTGCAATGCTTAAACATACATGTATGTTTTTGTGCATTCATGCATGTAAGATCGCTTAAGTATGCAAGTGTGTAACTTAAGTAAGTAAGTTAGTAAGTACGCAAGTAAGCAAGTATGTGTCTATGTATGTACGTATGTATGCTTGCATTATATGTATGTATGTGTGCGCATGCATGAATACATGTATGCATGGCTGCACCCGTCTTTGAAGGCAGGTACGCAGGCATGTAGGTATGTAGGCATGGATGTACTGTATGTATGTTCTGTATGTATGTGTGTATGTATGCATGTGTACACACGCACGCATGCATGTAGGTAGGCAGGCAGGGTGGTAGGCAGCGCAGTAGGCAGGTAGGTAGGTAGGTAGGTTAGGTGGGTAGGTGCGATTATTTGGGATTTGATTTTCAGGGTTTACTTTTTATCGTGATAAATAGTTTACTTACCATTGTAGCTCCGCTTCTGTGTCGTTTGAAGTAGTTCGACTCTGACTTGCCCAGCTTGCCGATGCCTGTGCCATATCTTTCTTTTGCAGGGAAAGAGATCTCACTCGTAAACCTTTAAACCCCGCCCACGAACCTAACTTCTGCAGACCTTGCCAGGCTTGTCCGAGAGTGAGTGTCAAAAACCCCGCCCAACCATAGGCCCTGAATCCGATAGCTCGGAAACAGTGTAGAAGGGCAAACCCTAACCCCAAACCCTGCAAGCCCTCAACCTTCAACCCTTCTAAAATCCTGATATTTCTCATTCCTAAGCCTAAACCCTGCATCCCTCTACCCGAGACTATACGAAACCCTAAAATTCTGAACCTTAAACCCTTCAGTCTTGGAGCCAGAACCCCGTCTTCTTCACTGACTTCACCTTTTGATTCGAAGTCGGACTAAACCCCTCAACCCCTAAACCCTACACCCCCAAACCAAACTAACCACCCATAGGCTCCAAAGTAGTTCCTTCTTGGGATTACCTTATAGGACTCGATATACGAACCCCCAAAAAGGAACTACTTTGGGGCCTTAGGGCAGACCCTAAGCCCCTAAAAGCCCCAAAGCTTCGAGAGAGCCCCCTTATAAGGCGGACTTGGCCATGCTACGGATGATGCAGAAGGGGCGGCACAACTCCGGAGTCCTGGACGTGCCCTCCCCCGTTGGGCCCGCTGGCGGCGGCTTAGAATTTTTAGGTTTGAGGCCTTTTGCGGGCTAAGAAGTTCGCATTTAGGGTTGAGGAGTTGGGTGCTTTAGGGATTTCCGGTTGTTATTATTCAGCCCCCTCTACATCCTCATACTAGCCCCTACAGTAGCCCTTATAGACCCTGTTTAAAGGAACCCCATTTAAGGCTCCATATTATCAGCTTTACGGTTAGCGACTTGAGGGCGCAGAGCGGATTTCAGAGCTCTGGGTTTACAGTTCGGGCGTCGGAATGATATGCATGACTCTAAAACCCTACCCTTATAAGCCCTGATGCGTGGAGTTGGTCCGCGCGCCGTTTCAAAGGAAAAGTCAAAACTTTGCGCGCGGGCGAAGATGACATGACAGTTATTCTGCGAACCTGAGCCCGACACCCGCTGAAATCGCATACCCCGGAACTCTGAATCCAAAAGCCCCCGCCCAGGTTCTATCCTCAACCGTAGTATACAAATTGTGCCTACTTTGGGGTCTCAAGTTTATGCATAGCAGCCTGCATAGGGCTATTTGGATTCTTATGGTTGTATTGCTTGTAAAACCCGCAGACCAATCACCTGACACCCTTATCGAGTTTTCGTTTGGCAGTGACTGGGTTCCTTTAATCTAGTTACCATAATAAAGAAACACCCTAAACCCTAAACCATAGTATTCGCTACAGATCCCTATCATGGTAGCTTACGTTTCGTCCTTTAATCTAGTTACCATCATAAAACACCCTAATATTTGTTACAGATCCCTATCACCCAAAACCCTAAACCGACTTAAGTTCCGTTTAGCACGGAGGCCCTCGCCACCTCAACAGCTGGTGTCCTCAGAAGACGGTCGAGGACTGAAGGTTTTGTTCCCTAAGCCCGAGAGAGCCAGGGGAAGGGGATTCCTACCATAAACCCTAAACCCTACCTTAAGCCGGAGTAACCTCCTTCTTTAAGGACCTATATAAGGAAATCATGATAAGGAACCCGAAAACGGTAGGTTATTCAGGCTTAAGGTAAACCGTTAAGAGCACTCTCGTGCCCTCCAATCAAGAACATCACGCATCCGCATTTGTCTAACTAGGCTTCTTCGTGGGTGCCTCTGGTACCTGCTCTGGGTACACATAAACCCTATTTTGCGGGCAGGAAAGTTTAAATTCTCCATCCCGAAGGTCAAACGGGTTCAGGGTCGAACCCTGGAGCCCTGAACCTTTCACTCCGGAAATGGCGAATGTCAGGACCTGACAGCCCCATAGCTCATGGAGTCAAGGAAAAAGACCGAAACTTGGAGATAGATCTGAGTGCTGTCCAGGTTCGGGGTCCACGATCTTGCTTCAAGCATTCGAGTTTGCGGGTTTTGGGGTTTAGGATTTAGGGATGTGGGGTTTAAGGCTGGACTTCGCGGCTGCGTTTAGGCTGCAGCGTTGCGGTTTGCGGTTTAGGCTGCAGGGTTTGGGACTCAGGTTTAAGCCTGCTCCGCAGCCTCTGCTCAAAAAGGCTGTACTTCAGGATTGGGGCTTCTTTGGCACACCAGAAGGGACAATGTACTAGGGCCTTACTAGGGGCCAAATAGGGAGACCATCGCATATAAGATCCTGGCCGCTTTGCAGTTTGTGTTAGCAGGCACTATTTCTGAGACCGGCAGCAGCTCATGTGGACGAACAGTTGACACCTTTCTGCTGTAAACTGTGAAGTCTCGGAGTCTGGGCGTTACGCCTTGAACCCCTACAGCCTAAGCCTTGGACCCTGTTCTCCTACACTTGGGTCCTGAAGGCAAAATTGGCCACCACCCCTAGGGACCGGAAGTGCTCAGATATATAGATAGACAGATAGTTATTTCTATATCTATATCTATATATATATATATATCTAAAGGAACACTGCGAAGCCCTCAAAGACCCCCCGTCCCCAGGTGTTCTGACATGTGGCACCGAACTAGCAGCATAGGTTGTCATCTGTTTTCAGTGGTCTCAGGAAGTCCTCCAGTGTTCGCGGGTTCCTGCCTAGGGTTTGGATGCACATGCCGTTAACCGGATCTTCCCCTCGTCTCACCCGAAAACTCTCATCACTTCAAATCCAAGCCTTAGGATGCTGCCATGAGTCATCCTCTAAAATCTATAACCTCATCGGACCCTGCGCCACAACCTACACCCTCAACCAGACCTAAGCATCGCTAAAACCTGAAAGCCCCAAGCAAGTCCTCCCCCAAGCACTAGGCATCCTTAGCTTCGTAACCCTGTGGACTCCACAAGCCTGGCATTGGGTCGCCAGCGGGCTTGTAAGGGCTGGGATTTATTGTTTTACGGTTCATGAACTCATTCGGGTCAGGATAAACTGAAAACTGAGGGCCCCTAGACTTGAAACGTAAAGCAATTAGAGTTCCAACAGCCCTAGCCCGTAGTTTGAGTCAATCTTGGTTTGGGGTTGGTTTTCAAGTGCTCTATAAGGGTATAGGGTTTAGCATGCAGAGTTTTCGATCTTGTCGAGGAGTCATGGCCTTTGCTCGAAGCCGCAGCCGAGTGGACAGCTCACCCATGAGCCCGGTCGTGAGCCCTGCGTGGCTCCTCGCCCTTGACACTTCTTTGCCTTTGTTTGCAGAGGAATGGTTCGGATTTGTTTATCGCTTACAGTCCCGCACTTATAATTAAACTTCGCATTATAAGATACCCTGAAACCATATTCTGACTACTGATTTTCTTAAGCTGGCAAGTTGCGGATGCCACGCTTGGGAGTAATGACACGAAGAAGCTTCAGGTAGCCATAGCCCACATCAATCCTTGCATGTGACTGCATGGGGCATGTCATGACAATGAGCAATGTCGCAAGCTCAACTTGCGACTGCGACGATGATGCAAATGATTGCTGTCGGCAACATCGACGATTATGTTAAATTATGTTGACTTCTGCTAATTGTTTCACGTAGGAATAACAGTAAGCGTGATGGAATCAGGATATTGCAGTCCCTGGGTACCATTGAAGAGGGTGTCCGGCAATGGAAGCATGAGTCGGAATTAGTCACGCGACTGGTCCTTTACGTTAAGTATACTAGAGTATACGCCCAACCCCAGTCGAACCATAAAGGGTTCTATCCCCCAGAACCCTTCCAGGGAATCTAAACCCTTACAAGGGACTCTGGTCCACCTGTCACGGGCCCCATCTTCCAGAAGCCTTATAGAGACCCTGGCAAGGCCCCCGAAAGGAACCCTAAACCCTAACTTTTTAAATGAGACCCTAGTCCAACTATCATTGGCTATATGCCAATCCTCCGAAAGGATTTTCTGTAATAGCTGTGCAGCTATGCCAGAATAGATTCCGAACCCCTAAACCCTAAACCCTACGGTTCATGATATAAACCCTGCATTACCTTACAGTAATGACCCTAGACGATGGGAATTGTGACATATTCCTTATCATAGGTAATGCAGGATTTTTATCATCAGCCGTATTATCATTCGGGCCCCGACATCCACCAGGAGTGCTCTGTAAGCTAAAGTCCTTCCTTTTGTCCTCAAAGTACGACGGCACCCTCATAAAAAAGGCCCCCCCCCCCCCCCCCCCAATTTTGATAATTAACCCTATTTTAAGTCCCAACCCCGCTACCATACCAGCCCTTGTCATAGAGCCCTTTTGGCCTTATAGGCCCCTTCCAACAAACCCTCTAGAGGTCACCCTTTCTAGGATTCTAGGAACCGTCAGAACCGTTGAAGCTCTACATCCAAGAAATTCAGGCCGGGAAGCGAAGTGGGCGCTGAGGTTGCGCAAAAAACATGGCTTTGGGTTTTGGGGCTTTGTGGTGTTAGGCTTTTGGGACGGTTTTTTGGTGGTTTTAGGCCTGTTTTGGCATTTGGGGGTCTAGAGTGAAGCACGGCTAACGCTAGGGGGCTAAGGGGTTGAGAGGTTGTCTTGGCTGTGTCTAAGCTCACGCGAACCAGTGAATCAGTTTTTGCCCTTTAAGCCCTAAACCCTAAATCCTAAACCCTAATTCCTAAACCCCTACACCCTAAACCTTTTGGGATTCGGCTGCGGGCCCTCAGGGCGTCGTCCCGTGAGGATCGGGAGCTCGAGTTGGGGGATCTGAGAGTTGACAGCATGTCGGCAAGATGGGGACAGCCTTGGTGAGAATCCTCAGCTGTAGCCGTGACCCATCTATACAGTGTATGAGTTTGTAGAGCAAGTGCAGTATCGCCCACGGTGTGTTGTGCTTGTGATTGTCACGCTACGTTAGGCTAAGGCGACGCTTCTCGCAGTGTTCCTGTGCCGTGAAATAAAGCCGTTTTCAAGAGGCCCTGTGTTCAGTAGTCTGTAGTTCACTAGCTTGATTTTGAAATGTAAGGGTCCTCGGGCTCCTTTGTTAAGGTCACGGTTTGCAATGTTCTTCCCCAGCTCTGACGGAGGAAGTGCGAGTGAGAAGCCGGGATGAGAGCTCCGGCATGTTGATTGCCCCAGCCCCCGACGGCCACTTGGCCTCTTTTGGGTCTCAGGGCGCAGCGTAGGCCTGAGCCTAGTGGGAAAAAGGGGTGCAGCGTCTCGACTTCCTTCGATCTTTGTCCCAGTCTGTTACAGGCGAGACTAGAGGTTGAGGGTTGAGGTAGAAGAAGAAGCGTCAAACCTTGAACCCTGCCCCAAACCTTAAACTACAGTCTTGGAAGATTCGAAACCAAAAGTGTCTTCAGGTGATGACCATCTAGATGATGAGGTTTCGGGGTTTAGAAAGTTACTTCAAGACTTCAAGAGTCCTGGATGGATGCAACAAAAAGAGAGTTACTGGATACATCTGTGATACGTATCGGCTTACACAAACTCTGAGAATGCGCATGTTGCTTTCCGTATGTAAATGCCGCACCCTAAACCCTAAACCCTAAACCCAAACCCTAAACCCTCAATGCCTGACCCCCTTCCCATCGACTTCGACCAGCAACCTGAAATCCCTGCTCTGAGCGCCAGCTTCGCAACCCTTTGCTACAATTACGGCAAAGTTTACCTTAACCCGGAATAACCTACCTTTTTAAGGACTTATATAAGGAAATCATAATAGGGAACCCTAAAAAGGTAGGTTTTTCAGGGTTAAGGTAGGGTGTGTGGCTGTCCCGACAAACTCCCCAAGCCCAGATGCAAAAAAGAGCCTCTGGTGATGGTTCTAGGGTTTAGATGGCGCTGTAAGGGGCATAACAATCCTCAGAGGGTCTTGGGCATCCCTCGCAGCCCTTGCACAGGAACCCAAGGTGGATGAAGTCATGGCGCAGTCGTCTCTGATGCTCATGAAGATTCCTACATACCAGACCAGAAGCATCCCAAGACCCGGTCTACAAGCTCTACAAACTATACCCACAGGCTCCATAGTAGTTCCTGTTTTGGATTAATTACCTTATAGGATTCTAAATATGAACCCTAAAAGGGAACTACTATGGAGCCTCTGGGTACCCGCCAACCTGCACCCACGTGAATTCGGATCCTAAACCCTAAACCCCTAAACCCTAAACCATGCCTCTGGTTCCCTGCACTAGCCCTCGCCCAGGCGAGCGTGGTGCCAGGAGCCTTGCGTTTCGAAGCTCCTTCTTGTGGCTGCTATAGGGCTTCTTTCTTAGGGGCCTAATAAAGTACAAATACTGTTTTAGGGGTTTCCTGAATTATAACAATAGTACAAGCTACAAGCCATGTGATCTGACTCTCCAAGTTGCACGGAGTTTCTGCAGTGCGGTTACTGGTTGACAGTGTTGTTGTGGTTTTGGATAGTGTTGTGCTCCATTGTGAGTTGGCATTTCATGTTGCTGCATCTTAATAGGCGGTGGCAGGAAGGCGATACACACACATATATATATATATATATATATATATATATATGTAAAATTATACGCATATATGTCTATAGTACATGTACGTATATGTACATAGATATACATATATATATATATATATATATATATATGCATATAGGTATAGTTGTATATTCATCTATAGGTATATAGGTATGCATAAGTATAGGTATATAGGTGTGTGCGTACATATAAGTTTTATATACGTGTACCGATGGATGCAACAGCAGAGAGAGAGATGTACCGATGCACACACATGTTTATATTACACTGTATTCTGCTATCTTGTGTTTTACTACTTTATTCGCAGTTATACTATACTGCAGTCTACTATATCATGAAGTTTATGTACATATGTATATGTGTACACATATATACATATATGTATGTACACAATCAGAAAATGAACTTCTCTGTGAAATTTCCCCGCCACTGATTCTCAAACACAGCGCTCCTGGTGAACGTACAGAATCGTCAAGCAGCACGGTGTGCGGACAGCATGCCAAATGCAAGAACCGAGGGACACAGATGCCTGCATCCACATTTCTGGGTCTTCGTGCGAAGCACACTGTCCATCACACGTGTTAGCTCATGTCTGCTTGCATGCTTCCACACACGAGAAAACACACACACACACACACACACACACACACACACACACACACACACACACACACACACACACACACACACACACACACACACACACACACACGCACATGCATGACAAGCATATGTGTAAGCAATATGCCTGCCTATGTATCAGGATTCAGTTCCATGTATTGCTAACTTGGGATGTTCAGTCTGACATACTTACCCCTCGGCGTCCAACACCTGTTTGTGGAGCCTTCTTCGTTTCCGCTGCTCTCATGAGAGATACGGTTCATTTGGGGCCTTCAGGGAAGATTCGGCAAGCTACTTAATTCGATCAGTTCTCCTTGACCAGCCTTGGGCTGCGATATGTTCAATCCCTTGATTTAAAACCATTTGTTTGAGTTGAACTTGAAAGTCAGCAACCGCCCCCCCCCCCCTCCCCTCCAAGAGCATTCCTCAATAGTTCTAGTAGCCGAGCAGCATTCCTCACAAATGTGGGAGTTTCCGAAAATAGGGGACCCTAATGTAGTACCCTAAATAGCAGGATCCTTGTTATAAGGTCCCCCAAATAAGGTACCCTTGTTTTCGGAAACTCCCACGTAGCGAGATGCCAGAACCCCTCCCAAAACCGAGAAGTTGTTGGGTTGAGGGCTCACGAGGTAGGGTTGTGGGTAGTGGGGCTTTTCGAGGTTTATGACCTTGGGTCTAAGGTTTAGGCGGATTAAGTGGTGGGGGATTAAGTGCGGGGTTCTGGCTTCTAAAGCTCGCGATACTTATTTTTACATGTATTCGTGACCCGTCAGTCTAGGATGGCCATCGAGCTTTGCTCCCCCGAAGGGGCCGCGATGCTTCGTATTTTAACTGTTCCTCTACACCGAGCATGTCGGGGTCTGTAGCTACTTTATACATCTTTATACCAGTCGTGCAATACTTAATTACAGACTTCGGGCTTTCCTAAGCCCGCTGAATTCGTGATCTCAAGACCCCTGAAGCACAAAACGAGCAGACTTCGAGAGGAACATGCCGAAGCAGCTGTCGCGTCAGATCACGCGTCAGCCATCCAAGTTTTGAGGGACGGCTCAGTGGAACACGGGGGCATTAATAATTACCTATACTATTTTGGGGGGTTTCATATTAAAACTATAGTTCCATGGGCCCCCAAAACCATATTCTAATTAAGAAGGCCCCTACATGATAGAACCCTACTAGAGATCTCTTAGACCCCCCTTTCAAAGGAACTCTTTCCCCGTAGTAGGAGCCTTTGTAAGGATCTCTTTAAAGGAAGCCCTCGGTCCCCATCTTGTAGAACCTTACTATGGACCCTTTAAAAAGGAACCCTGTAACCGTAATAGGAACCTTTTAAGGATCCCTTTAAAGGAACCCCTATGCTCATGATTAGGCACCTATATTAGAGCCAAGGCTTGGCTTGTTGGATAGAGAAATTGTGTTTCGGGTTGAGGATTTATTGTTTATGATTTCGGGTTGTGGGATTCGACTTAGACTTCAGTTGCGGGCCCAACATTGATCCTGTGTCTGGTACTTACTGGGCGTTGCACGGAGTGGTGTAGTAAAGAAGGTCGAATATCTATTCCCCAGCGTATGGTTCTGACATCGGCTGATGACAAAAACCCCTGGGCGCAGAGGCAGGGATCGTAGCAAGACAAGGTTGATCGCCAAAGAATCGCAGTACACCACAGTGAGCAACGATTGGAATGATGCTAGCCATCAACACTGTAATGATCAGTACATGATCATAGGAAAAGAAAACAAGACGCCTCAATGTAGTTCTAATGTTGGGCCTTGCAAGACAGGGCTTGGGTTCCTGGCGTGCAACTTCTTGGTTGGGCCGTCTTGAGGTTAACATACCCGCATGCGACCGGTCCTCGCACCCACGGAACCTCAAAGCATCTTAAAAAGCCCTCATCTTATTTTCGCTGATTTCTTGGACTTCATGCGTTGGATATGGCCTGTTACCGATATTGAAACACAAGCGACAGCCCCGAAACCGCCCAGCTCCTCGCAGAGGGTCAAGCCCTAACACCCCGCACACTCAATCAGGCGGGAGCCAAAGTCACATCCCAAACCCTGCCCTTCCATCCGCTCTAAACAAGCAGCAATAACACTCCTGAACATTCATATGCATGCATGCATCTGCGCATGCGTGTAATTACGTATGTATGTATGAATGTATGTATGTATATGCATGTATGCATATAATTATGTATGTATGTAGACGCATATGAATACCCAATGGACCGAGGTAGAGCCAGCGGCCTCAACGTCCCAGATCCCGGCGGGAGCTCCTCGCCTACCTTCAGCTTTTGGTTCAACAGGGCTTGCCTGCTCTCCGTTATAAGGACCGATGGACAGGGCTCTCTACCCAAAGGCCCCAAAGTAGTTCCTTTTGGGAGTTCATATATAGAATCCTATAGGGTAATCCCAAAAAGGAACTACTTTGGGGCCTTTGGGTACTTGCCCTCTGGTTGAGGGTTTCGGGTTCTCTGCCCTACGTGTAGCCCCAGGAGCCCCACAAACAGCAGGCAATGACCCTTCAACTGCAGGGTAGATCGGACACTTACAACGCTACCTATAGTCTCCATTGTAGTTCCTTTGTGGGGCTACCTTATCCGGTTCAGTCTAAGTCTTTGCTGAGCAATCCTGTGTTTTACCTGCGGGTGCTTTGCATTCTGGGCTGAATGTACACCGCATTATAATCCGTTTACGGTAGAGGGGGTTCTATTAGTCAGGAGCCTACATGAACCACGTAGGTAGAGTGTTGGGGCTTATACTTCTGCGCATGACTTTGGGTTCAGTATGAAGCAGCCAAGCCTGAAAAGACGATTACGGGTCACCCCCGAGCTGTTTAGGGCTTCGGCCTACGAAGCTTCCGGCAGAAGCAGTGTCTGTGGAGTAATAAAACTCAAAACAAGAATCAGTCGAATGGCAATGGCAATGTGCCCTAGTGTAAGATGGGGTCCTTTAAATTCGTTCCACTCTGGACGCGCGGCTTAGGCACGTAAGGAATCAGGTTCAAGCATCGGGCAGTTTTATGTTGATTCCTGCGTCGGTGATGTTCGTTTGAGGTGCTTGCGATACAGAAAGGCATGGGTCTTAGATTGTAATATATCCCCAAAACCTCTTCTAATCCCTGTGTCGCAGAAGCCATCTTTTCCCCTTCAAAGAACCCTGCAATGGACGCTACTCTAAGTCTCTAAGTATCCTAATCATAAGAAAAATAGCTAAGAGCTTACGCATGAATATGACTATGGTTACTGTGATCATGATTTGATTTTTCTTCTTATTCTGACTACTCATATCAGTGTAAGGCCCCTACTTGGAGGGTCGGGGGACTTAGTAACTGGTTATTTTAGGGACATATAAGCACCATAACCCCAATTAGGGTCCCTTAAGTCTACTTACTACCTACTCACTAAGTCCCCCGACCCTCCAAGTAGAGGTAGCTTCGGAGCCCCCACTTGAGAGGCGTAGCCTTGCTGTCGGTCGACGCTCGGCTGCCGTTCCGGCGTGGGGTCGCTGAGTGGAGTTGCAGAGGGTTCGGGTTTAGGGGTTTAGAGTTAAAAGTTTAGGGGTTTAGAGTTAAAAGTTTAGGGGTTTAGAGTTAAAAGTTCAGGGGTTTAGAGTCACATGTTTAGGGGTTTGGAGTTAAAGGTTTAGGGGTTTAGAGTTCAAGGTTTAGGGGTTTAGAGTTAAAGGTTTAGGGGTTTGGAGTTTAAAGGTTTAGGGGTTTAGAGTTAAAAGTTTAGGGGTTTCGAGAGTTCGGCTCTGCTTGGGCAGACGTTCTTAGCAGAGGGAGCCCCCGGGCGACGAAGCAACCCCCCCTGCAAAATAGGTTGGGTTTTACCTGATGAGTGGCACGGCAGACTTGAAGGCTTGCTTTAGGCGCTCATTTACTTCCCAGCAGAAGCTTTGCAGCCTGGATACAAACAAGGGTTAAAGGTTTAGGGGTTGCGAGTTTAAGGTTTCGGGGATTCAGGGCTTAGTGCATTGCAGTCCCTGCTCAAAAAAAGTTTAGGGTTTGGGGTATTCAGGTTAGGGTTGTACCAGTACATAAATCACCACGAATATTTATGACTTCAACTGGCTTATAAAGCCCAGACTTCAAGCAGTTCAAGCTGTCAGGCAGTTGATGATACTCGTCAGTAGGGATGCTGAGGTTGCGCTCGCACCAAAAGAGCCGAAAGATTGCGGCAGCTAGCTGAAAAGATATACATCCCACATTGGCAGTCGACATGCTTCTTTTCCGGGAATATGTCCATGTCCTGTGCTAACGCAAGGCGAATCCCCAAATCCAAATGCATAAACCTGTAAAAAAACAACAGTGGTCTTTAGCTTCTAGAAACCGAGAAAATGGAAAGAAGAGGAATTAGTAAGCAAACATGAACAGCTAGGAACTAGATTGGAATGAAAAACGGTAGAAACACAGGAGCAAGCAGAATGAAAGTAGTGTCAGATAGGAGAAAGTCTTTGAACTATACCGGAATCCGAGAAAACGATAGCAAATAAGAAGATAATAAAGTATGCGAAGCATGTGAACACACATCGGCGAAAGCACAACGGGAACATGGGAAACTACAGCAGCAGGGCGGCAGTATGAACACCACTCGAAAGCACTGGCAAACACGTAAAACGACCATAGGATAATGTAGGGAAGCAGTGGAACATCAGTTGTGTTTCTACTCTACCTTGTTTCGGCTAGGCTTTCAATGCATGTCCCATAACTATATGTGCTGTTTTTTTTTGTCTTTGCTGGGTTGCGAACGGTTTTTGTAGTAGTTCCTATTGCTACTAATGGTGCTTACAATAGTTTGCCTATACGTCCTATAGTTCTCCTACGTGTTACATATGTTCATGCTTGTTCTGCTAGTTTTCGGTTGTCTTATTTCGCAAGGATTTCATCTAGCAAAACGCAAGATACAATAGGACGACCAGTAGTCTTCTGAGATTTTCCGAAAGTTGCTGCTGTTGGTGGCTCCCTCTGTCTTTCTCTTACACGTTTCGCCTGTCTTTGTCTAGGCAGGTGCTATATGTTTTGTCCTATTTATTATTCTTTGTGTTTGCCAGTTGGTTCTTTGGTTCCTCTGCAGCCATCATGCAAACACGAAGCGTTCAACTGTATACTCGTCTCGTACCCCTCGCCCCCCCCCCCTCACCGTCTATCCTAAACAGACGGAACAAGTACATGCTTTGGATCCACGGTGCTAGTTTTGGCTTTTAATGCTACAGACCATGTGCTCATGCTACATGTATGTATGTATATACACAACCCTAGACCCTAAACCTTAAACCCTAAAGCCCTTCCAGTCATGTTATGGACTCTTCGGTTGCCAGGGAGAGGGTAGTACTTGTTGCTTTCAGCACCCTGGGGGCCACCGTCCTCGAGCCAGACGTAAAGGAGGACCTTCTTCAGCTAGGGTTCCATATGCCTAGTAGAAGTCTGTTCTATGCTACCACCCACGGTGAGCAGGGTAGGGATCCTCCCCGTCTCCGCCAGCTAACCATGCAACAAGCTTTGTCTCTGCACCCAGGACTTTCGAACGAACATGACGTCATCGAAATCTAGGATGACACGACGCACTAAGGACTTTTTGGGACGACATGACTCACTAAGGACCGTTGGGACAGCTGCCAGAGGTGTATGGGGGCGTCGGTGTGTGCAATACGCGCCGAAGCCGATCATTCACACACCATTCTCACCGGTCTGTCTTTTCCTGACTGCTCTGTCTGTTCGGTCCCCGTCGTCCTGCCTGCTCTCCTGGTCGACATCAGTCATTGTGTTCAGCAAGCCCCTGCCCACCCCACCCCGTGCTGCCACTCCTTTGAATTCTTCGCCGGACTGCCTTTGCTGGACTGTTGCATGCCTTGCCTTTGAATTTGTTGCAACTGATGCATGACATTTGGTGAATTCCGCTGATGCTGGATGAATACGGTCTGACTCCCTGATTTCCTTCTGTCTTCCTGTATCTTAGGTTGCACCCCATCCCGCTTATACCCCGCTTAAAGCTAACCATAAAAACCACCAACCCGCGTTTCCGCGGCCGCCATGGCTACCGGTTTGCCGCTCTGCGCCTCACCACCCGCTGGCATGGACAGGGACCAACCTGCCTCTGAAAGCTATTCGTGTGCTGCAGTCAGACAAGCGCCGGAAAGGCCTATATGGGAGGGAATTTGCGAATCACGCCAGCGGCAGTGATATGAAGTGTCAATGTGATGGGCGGTGGCAAGACACGCAAGACTGACATATTGAAACCTGCATGTGCCTATCGACACCCCTGCCCGACTGGAACCAGATGGCAGCTATGGAATACCGCCCTGGCTGGACGCTAGAAAGCCTATACCGTGGACGATATGATGCATGCGAGACTACCGCATACTCTGGCTCGACAGCCCAGCGGAAGCGGGATGCGAGGTATAGAGCGTGCCAGCTTTAGGACGATGGTTTTGGCTAGCTGGACGCCCCAAAAGCTGGTGCCTCATACGCATGGGTATGCTGCCGGTGGGCGCATGCTCTCGTCTGTCGTGGCGGCCGAGCTGTCACACGGATATGAAGGGCTGTGCCGGCACTCTTGTGTCAACAGAAATGATGGGAAAGCAGAGTGCTGTCGGTGTCTGCGTCTGGCATGGCTGTCGGGGTCGACTACTGCGTGTGCTGAGCCGAGAAGATGCCTGAGATGCTTCACTCGAGTTGTTATGGTCGAGGCCTTTGCTGAACCTTAGGTTTGGGCGATTAGGCTGTAGTTTCATGCACAGTCAATGTACTGCTGTGTCCGGGTAGCCGATGTCTTGAATGGCCTTAACTTCTGTTGTCGTGTGTTTCCTGAATCGGGTGCCGGACTTTAGGCTAGCTGAGGTCTAGAGTAGTTCGGCTCTCTGTAGTTGCGGCTAGTATCTGTCCTTGAATTCCTTCGTCACTTGATCCCGTACTGAGTGGTACTACCTTGTGTTGCGGGTTGTTTGCATGGCTGGGATCGAGTAGCACTCTTAGTAGTTTCCGACGCGCACCGAGAACCTCGTCTGGCATGTCCGAGTTGCGAGAGCGTAAAGCCCTAGAACCATAGACCGAGGATTCTGGCACAGCATCCAGATCTCTCCTGGAGCGAAAGCAGCTGGGTTGCCGTGAGCGCTTCGGGCGTTTTCGGGTTCGGTGCGGGGGGTCTGCGAGTTTAGGGTCCAGGGGTTTGGGGGTTAGGGTTTAGGTTTGACGAGTGACATCCAGGCGGGCATATACAAGTCTGTGCAAAACGGGTTTAGGTTTGCAAGTTTAGGGGTTAGGGTTAGGGTTCGGGGGGAGATCTCTTGCGACTGTTCTTTCAGCAGATTTTTTGCCGAACTCCTTGCGACGGAAGCCTCAACTAGTTGAAATTTGTTGGAAGCCTTAGGTTCTTCTTTGAGCCTACGAATGAACACGCAACAGCAACTGGAAATCAACGCAAGACGAACAACTAAGAAAACAGCAGGACCATAGCTACTAAGGCAGGTGCGTACATAATGCTAATAAGTAGTTATGGCACATCAACCTATCTTGCTTGACCCCATTCCACGGAGTCTTTTCTTAAGTTGCTCATGTGTTCTCAGCGCCATGCTTCCCACACACCAACCGACCTACCCTTCACCTTGCAAGTCTACTGTAGGGGCCTTAGAAATTAGAATAGGGTTTTGGCTCCCAGTATATACTATACTTGTAAGCAGGAATCCCCAAACAAAACAGTACAGGTAAATAGAATCCTCAGAGCCCTATGTAAACCCTAAACCCCTAAACCCTAAACCCTAACCTCCCTCCGGGGAGCAACTGGCTGTGCCCAAGCCTTCGCTCCGAAATTCGACACCTCAGTACCCCAACCCGAGACCCTCAAAGCGTAAACCCTAAGCACCCAAAGCCCCATACCGGAATCCCCTTAAGCCTGTAAACCCTAAACTCTCACCGACGCAGACCCCAAACCCTAAACCCTAAAAGCCTAAGCCCTGAGCATTAAAGCGCGAAACCCACTACCCACAGGCGTGCACAAGAGCAGGCGCGAGATCTTAAGATGAGGGATTTACGGTGTTGTTGTCATGGGCTTCCTGGGAATTGCGTAGCCAGCTGGGCTGCATCAGGCTTACAAAGCAACTTCTGTGGGTTTTAAACTTGGTACAACGGTGTCCCCTATTTTTTTCCGTGGTTTCTGTTCCCCAAAAGCTCGTATATTATGAAATATGCGGCCTCTATGCGGTAATCTAAGCCACAGAAGTTTTAAGATTCATGTCCGTCCTTCGGGGTGTCGGAATTCAAGGCGTCTCGGAGACGCGGTCTGGCGGCGTAAACTTAGGGGTACTTAGAAATACTTTTTAATTTTGGGTTATTATAATCCCTAAGAAACAGCAAAAACTATAATTTTTGCTAGGGTTCTAAGTTCAGTATAGTAAAGCTTTAGGAGGGTCGCTGGTCTTACCTGTATCTGTACTTGGAGCTTCATGGGCAGTTTTAAGGAGGGTTATAAGTAGCATATACTTTTAAAACACATTAAGGGACTTATATCCCCACTTATAGCTACCCATGAACCTCCAAGTAGAGTCAGTACATGGTTTTGCTGTTTAGGATCCTATGAATTGTAGGGAGGCATCCTAGAGTAGGCAATGCCAGGTATTCCAAAAAGGATCTACACAACCCTAAACCGTAAACCGGCTGCGTCCTTTAAGTGGGAGGGAAAACCGTGTTTCGCAAATAGGCGACCCCAAAATATACCTTAAATAGTAGGATCCTTATTATAAGGATCCCCAAATAAGGTACATTACATTATAGTAGGATCCTTATTATAAGGACGCCAAAGCAAGGTTCCCCCTAATTTTCAGAAGGCGTCCCCACACGGGTCAAGGCTGAGTTCTTTTCGCTTCTACTTGTAGGCTCCATTGTACGGGGATCATATTTTGAGCCCGATTCGGTAATCAAAAAGGAATTACTGTGAAGCCCATGGGTATAGGGTCGAGGGTGTGGCAATGGAAGCAGGAGGGGCGGAGTTTGTCGCTGCAGGTCCATGGTTGATGTTTGAAAGAGAGGTTGCACAATGTGTGCTCTTATAGTGTGTAGGTAGTAGTTATTCTTCATAAATGCTGGTCGTTTAAGGCATGCAACCAGAAAACATGACGGCGCTACTAGTAGTAGCACAGAACTCGCAAAGCCCTTGCCATCGTGCTCCGCGTTGTCATCCCGGCAACATCATCCTTATCGTAGTGGCTCTTACTCTTACCGTCTTCATCGTGATTTTGGGCAGTTTTCACACTGGCACCACCGCTGCCAGCATCGTTATAGTTGTCGGTTATCATCACCAACCGACATCCATGAATCCTTCCATCCGTGCAGGCATCTAACACCATCCACCACCGTGGATCATCATTCCAATCATCAACAGTTCATTTTCACTGTGACCGTTCTTGGCACAATCTTTCTCATCACTGCCAGCATAGTCACCATTGTCTGCTCTTCATGTCGTCATCGTCCTCGCCATCATCATCTCAGCCATGCCCACCGTTACCATGCCCTCACTTGCACAAGCCCGTTGAAGAGCTACTGCTGATGGACAAAATCCTGCATTACCCATTATAAGGAATATACCATAGTACCCATAGTTTAGGGTCCTTAGGGTCATGCAGGATTTTGTCCATCGGCAGTATCATTATCAACGCTGCCATCGCCTGCATCTTCCTCATATGACAGATTCTCAAAACAACGGGGACCTTCATGCAGAGCTTAAGCAGCACTTAAGTTGCAACCTTTGTGAAGGCCACATCTCACACATAGAGTGTGAGACGGAGCGTCGGAGAGAGACAGACACATGCAGAAGTTTCTACATATGAGGGTTTCAGAAAAGGGTTAAAACATAGACAGTTTTTAAAAACGCTCTTACATCTTCGGGCCTTGCCGGATTTGTTTGCTGTGCAGGGGATGATATCAAGGCAGGGCTCGATGGCGGGCTCGATGTCGAGCAACTTGGAATACGTGCTGGAGCCGTATGAGGCGCGTTCCTCCTGGCCTTCGGCATCAAAGGGCTGAGGGCTGAGGGTGTTGTGCTTCAGGGGTTTAAGTTTAGGGTTTAGGGTTTCGTGGCTGGTATCGGGTTGCGTGAGAGGTTCGAAGACTGGTTTGAGTTTGATGGGGGTTGTAAGGTGCTCGGAGTTTCAACTCTTGTTGATTGCCCGGTCCTTCAACCAGTTCCACCCATCCCTGTACGATTCTAGTCCCAATCATGGCACAATTAACACCAGAGAAGATGTGTAGAAGAAACCGGCCTGTCATGAGTCGTGGTAGCCGTAGCAGTGGCCATAGTACTAGCCGTCGTGGTAGTAGCGGTGATGGTGGTGGCGGTGATGGCGGCGGCAGCGGTGGAGCAGCAGCAGCAACACCACTAGCTGTAGCTGTAGCAGTCGCGGTCGCAGTAGTAGTAGTAGTAGTAGTCGTCGTCGTCGTCGTCGTAATGGTTGTTCTTGTTGCTGGTGCTGGCGCTGGTGCTGGTGCTTGCTGTGTGCTGTTGATGTTGCTGTTCCTGCTGCTGCTTATGTTGCTGGTGGTGCTGGTGCTGGTTCTTGAGCCGTTGTTGCTAGCATCCTCGTTGTTGTCGTTGATGATGCACCTTAGAGCCTTAGAGTCGAAGCTGCGAATCCCTGTTCCAGCACTTGCAGCCTTAACGCCGACACCCGGAAGGCTATGCAGATGTATAACGTAAACTTCTTACATATTTTCACTCCAGTAGTCAGGCATATGAAATGGAGCCTCCAAACTTGTTTGTGAATCACCTGCGTGCTATAGGGGCCTAAACAATTACCTACACTATTTTGAGGGGCCCCTTATTATATAAATATCAATATAAATATAAATATAAATATAAATATAAATATATGTGTATATAGTTTTGTATAGTGTACTATAATTAAGAATAAGGAACCTCCAAAGCCCTATTCTAATTATTAAGGCCCTGCCTTAATCACCCGAATCCCGAGACCCTTTTCCCGAAAGCCAATGCTGCTAAGAGAGGCTTGGAAGGTGGAACTTCGCAAGGACTACCAGCTTTCGGAGAAGAGGAGACTGCTCGGGATAGGGTTAGGCCGGCTGGGCTATGGGTGGGGTTTGGGGTGTAGGGTTTCGTAGCTAAGATACCGGCTTTGGGGCGCAAGATTGGGAGTTTTGTTATTTGGATCGCACGGTATTTGGAGTGTAGACCGCTCGTCTTGCACTGTCTCGGATGTTTGGGATGTTGCGGCCTTGCCTTAAAGGGGCACAGCACTACGATGCACATGAGCTCGCCTGGCATCTCCCCTGAACCCCCACGCCTTCCACGGCGAACCCAACCGCAACCTGAACCCCACCCCCGACTGTTCTCTAAGAACGGAGCCCTCCCATGTTCCTAGACACCCAGGAGACAATCCATGACGAACATGGCCTTGGTAGCCGCGAAGACCTCGCAATTGAGACATGCCAGCAGTAGTGAGGAGGTGGCGTTCAGAGGTCTTGCTATGCTGTTGCTAGGCTTGGAATGACCTGCATGATTTGATACTATCTGGCCTGGGCTGCCCGCTTCTACGATTAGAGATGTTGCACATCCGGCAAAGCAGCGGAAACCACAAGGGAGACACTGATTTTGCCCCCGAGGGATGGCTGAGTAGGATCAGACCGCAAGTTGCACATTCTACAGATTATGCCAGATTCTGTTACATTATACTCTACCATAATATGATACTGTTACATATTATGCTATACTCTATTGTTATTAAAGCGCCTGAAAGATCCGAAACCAAGCCTTGATCCGCAAGAAGTTCGGAGCGTGAGCAGAGCACCGAGCATCCCGATTTATGCATGCATGCATGTATATACGCATTTATGCCACATGTCTTTGGTTGCTGCTCACCTACTTAGTTGTCCTAGATGTGTAGTCGTATGTGTGTATATATATATATATGTATGTATGTATAGATTTGCAAGTTTATGCATGCATGCTAGATGATGAACTTGCATACTTGGAATGATTCGTCTGCTGGCTCGGGCACTAGTAGGTGTATGAACCCTGCGTCCCGCTTAGCAAAGCACAGCTAGCAGTTCAACCCTAGCAGCAAGGCTTCCACAGTTTCGGGGTCTACCAAACCTGATTAATCATAGGGACCCTTAGGGGGGTAGCGGGAGGGGGGTAGGGGACTCTATTTCCTTATTACATAGGCCCTATTAGGTCCTTATTGTGGGCATTAAGGCCCCCTGCCCCCCCGTCCCCTCAAGGGGTCCCTATGAATTAAGACAGAGTGCCTGTTCAATCCGGCGCTAATCCCTATAGGGGATTGTCTTCACTTTAGCTATTGTGTGTAGGCCTTTGACAAGCCAAAGTAGTGTATGCAGAGACATATCATTACAATAATAAGACAACGCATGTAAACTTTTAATATTACGCTTTTATGACAGCAAGGAAAGAGAACAGCGTCACGGTGGAGTCAAGGGGATCCACACTGAAGCCGGAGGTGAAGACCAGGCGTGGATTCTTCCGGGGAAGTTCCGCACGCATTTGTTCCAATACAGCTGCGTTCTCATGTTGTCTTAAGTGGGCGTCGCGCTGGTAGGGAGGGCTTCATCAGCCGTTTGTTTTTCCACCGTGTCTTGGAAGAGGCACGAGCGCACCCAGCAGTCGTAGGTAATCAGGGGGAGAGCGCTGCAGGGAGAGTGAGATATATGGGGCTGATTCGTGTTGAATTGGTTCATCCAATTGCGAAGGATAGTTCGTAAGAGTCTCGTCTCATCATCAAGAGCCACATGTTTCTTGTTGGCAACGTCTTCTGTCGGTTCGCATGCCAGCACAAGGCAGCAAATACCAGCAATCATGATCAAAAGGAACCGTTCAGATGCGTTGTAGAGCGGAATCGGAAAGAAGATGAGACGGCCGAGTGTGAAGGTGGCTATCCCGAGTCCATCTCCATAGGAGTACTCAGGCTTTTGGTCAGACCCTATTTTTCGTGAAGCACCAAGCATGAAGTCCGCAAAGCCATAGGGTTTAGAGACCTTTGTGTTCAAAAAGGGTTAGGGTTTAAAGTTCCAAAAGCTAAACCTTCCAGGCCCTGATTCCCCCTTGCACTCCTGCACCATGAACTGTGTAGAGAATACCGAAGTCTAGATCATAGTCATAGTCCCTACTGGCTTGTGTCCGGCCTATTAGCAAAGACGATACGCAAGAAGCTGCAGTAGAAGATAGAGTGTCTAAGCGAGGTAGCACTTCACATTGCACCAATCCATATAGTGCGATCGACAATCAGGACTCATGCTCCTGCTAGTACCAACACGGAAACTCCGGAGCTGGGACATGGGAGTTTCCGAAAATGGGGGACCCTAATATAGTACCCTAAATAGTAGGATCCTTATTATAAGGACCGCCAAATAAGGTACCCCCAATTTTCGGAAACCCCCACATCACTTTTCCGTAGAACCTGGAAGCTAGAGTTTAGACCCCCAGGCAACTGAAAGCATGGAGACTGGATTGCCAGACTCTGAGCCCCGAGCCCAAGGGAGACAAGTCTTTTACCAACCAGGTCGGCGATTCCACCAGGTGGGCAATTTAAGAGTCTGGGCTGCAGACTTACTTGGAGTTAGGGAAAACCCTACGGGTTTAGGGTTTAGAGGTCAGGGGAGTGTGTGTTTGGCTAGACCGGGCTGCTGGACAGCGAGGCCTGTTGCAGAAAGGGTTTATGGTACCTGAGCTCTTTGTGTGGTTTTGTTTTTTTGTCGCGGTGCAGCAAAGGGCGCCTGCGCTTCTCCTGGCTTGTCGGAGGGTTGCGGGCTCATCGGGTTTAGGATCATGGGGTTTAGGGGGGTTTAAGATTTTCATGGGTTTCATGAAGCTGTACCATTCATGAACCCGGAGTTCGTTGACTGCGTGCTTTGACAAGTGAGCATCCCTCAGGACACGGGTTGTGCAGGTTTAGCATTGTTTCGGGTTCGGGGGGTTAGGGGATTCTGAATTCCAGCGTTTGTGGGGCTTTGGTTTTAGGCGTTCAGAGTATATTAGAGTTGGATCGTCAAATGACACTGAGGCTTGACTGATTTGGGAGTTTCCGAAAAGTGGGGGTACCTTATTTTGGGTCCTTATAATGAGGATCCTACTATTGAGGGTACCCTCTTACGGTGCCCTATTTTCGGAAACTCCCATTTCACCCACATTTAGTTTAGAGATCCCCGATTTGGGGCGGGCAAGATGCTGGAGAGTTCCCCGATTTAGAAATGCGTTACATCCTTCCCTGTCCACGGCTCCAAAATCCCTAAATCAAGAAAGAGCATGCTTGAGATCACGTTAGGCAGACTTGTCGGGCATAGCCCTGGAAAGCCGCAGCACATGCCTTACGCAACACCCATCCCAGCCGTAATCTGGGCCGTGAATTCAGATACGGGGCCAAGGACGGTCTGGAACATGCTGATTGCATCGTGTGTTCTTCATGACTTGCTTCTCGGCCGAAGGTCGATCGAAGGGAAAGGCTTAGGGGTTGGGCGTCGGGGCTTTAGGGCTTAGGGTATAGGGTTTAGGGTTTAAGATTTGGCGGTCAGTTGTAGAAAAGAGTGTGGGGGCCTGGGTTTGCGGTTGACTTGACTAGCATCAGTTGAACCTCTCGTGAAGAGCTTCGGCAGCATTTGTTGCCGAAGTCTGCACTACCGCTCGCCCTTCAAGGAATCCAGAGGCTTCTGGAAGTCGATCCGAAGAGTAGTTCTGTTAGTCGCCAAGTCTGGGTGGTTTTGTGGTTGTAGAGGGGCGTTTTGCGATTCAGAGCTTCAAGGGCTTTGCAGTGTTAGGAGTTTACGGGCGGTGAAGATGTCTTGTGTTTAGGTAGTCATGGCTGTAAAGGGTAGGGGTCGAAGTTCAAAGCAGGGGGTTTGGAACCTGGCGTTCGGGATGGTCAATCCCTAAACCCGAGCGGCCCGAATGATTACCTCAAACCTAGCTAGCACATGCATCTTTGATTTTCAGATCAACCCCGTTATCCCACGAAGTCATTGTCAAGAACCCTAAACCCTAAACCCCTAAACCCCTAAACCCTAAACCAAGTTGGCTGGAATTCTGAGTCTGGCTGCTCGAAGCCCCTCCTTTCCAAGCTTGTCACCATGCTAGGCGATCCTTGCTTTTTCTGCTGTGGTAACCGTAATAAGCCCACAGCCCCTTTTGGGCTCACAAGTACGAAGAGTGGCTGGGCGCACCACTTAGCTCGCTCTCAAGGCCTTTTGGCCCAGTCTATTGGGCTTGCAGTCGGCATGTTTCACGATGACGAGCAATGGTCCTGCTACTACTATTTGGGAGTTGCGAAAATTCGGGGTACCTTATTTGGGGGGTCCTTTTAAGAAGGATCCGGCTATTTAGGGTACTATCTTAGGGTCCCCTGTTTTCGGAAACTTCCATTTCAGCCCTGTGTGAAAACCGGAAGCCTGCGGCTTTCTCCAAGGATTGTCATTCCGCTCTACGTCTTCGAGTTTAAGGAGCGCGAGTATGTACACCTTATCCCGTAAACCCTAAACCTTCTCCCGCAAACCCTAAACTCCGTCATGAGCTGACTTGCCTGCTGAAGTTTGTAGGGACGGCTTTTTGCCGGAGCATGCCTGAATTCAGCGTAGCTTTTGCCCAGAGACACGAAGATCCTGTCATTGCGGAGTTCCTCAAAATCACAAGTCAAAGGGGAAAAGGAGGGACCCTTAAGAAGGACCCCTAGGTATAGACCCTTAATGTAGCCATTATATAGCCCATTAAGGGTCCCTCCAGTTCCCCTTTGAACAAGGGATCCTTGACTGGTTTCTAGCTCTCGTGTCAGAGGTTAAAGGGAACTCCAGAAAGTTGGAATATGGTTTCAGGGTAGGATACCCTATAATTTACCATAAAGGGGCTAGGACAATCATATTCCAACTTTCTGGCTTTTACTTTAAGAGCGCAAGAGAAGAAAGCAATGGGTACAGGCTTGAGGAGTAATTACTCTGCTCTCTAACACCGTGCCTTCCTGTTTTGGAAGGTTTCTTCCATATGGCCCTAAGCACCAAATTTGTTAACCCCTCAAAAGCATTCGACAGGATTGCCCAATAGATCATGTTGCAATCAAGTGGAATGCCGCAGTCTCTTGCATGAATAAAAATTTCAGGGCTTTGGAAGCCCTGAGACTCCAAGTGCAGAAACAGCTCTTGAGGGCCTCAAGTCTGTATAAACATACTGCTGATGGACAAAATCCTGCATGACCCTAACGACTCTACACTATGGGAACTATGGTATATTCCTTATAATGGGTAGTGCAGGATCTTGTCTATCAACAGTAGTAGCTACTTTGGGCTGTTTAGAATCTTAAGGGAAGGCTCCCTGGTTCGGAGATGAAAGGGTGCCCCCCGGATCCGAGAGGGAGCTTCAGTTGCTGAGGGGCCCTAAGCCCTAAGCTAATGCGGATGTTCAAGCTCTAAGCTGTCCTGTCCTGTGAAATTCTCGTCTAAGTATACATGCTTCCCCGAGAGCCCGCTGCACGCTTTCCTTGGTTTGCAGCAGTGAGATGCTACAATTAAAACCTTGGAGAGCGTTTAAAGCTTTCGCAGATATTAGCTACTTTTGAGTCGGTGTTCAGGGACCCAGCTGTCTCGGATGTCCAGGAGGTCCTCTTCCTGACAGTCTTGGAGTGGATGACGCAGCTTTTTTGGACAGCGGATCTCATCACCAGCTCAATGACACCCGGCAGAAATAATGTGTGCCTTTGTGCTCGACTCTCTGCGGCAGAGAGTTTGTTTTGTGAGTGGATATGTGTGTGCGTGTGTGTTCTTGTGTGCATATCTTAGGAGTCCATGCATGTGTGTCTTTGCATTGTTGCGTCTGTGTGTCGTTCTTCTGCTTGGAACATGTACCCGCACGTATGTGGGGTGCACATGCAGTCTCCTAAAGGCACAACGCAGAGGGCATGACCGGTAGAGGCACACCCGAATGGCTGGAAGTAGTTTAGGGGGTTAAATAACTACTAATATACTAGTTGTGGGGTTCCTTAGTATAAACGTATTAATTATACATAATGGGCCTCAAAACCCTATTCTGATATTTAATTAAGGCCATTACTGTATGCAGCACCCCCGGCATGCGACGGCGTGGACTTGCGCAGGTGAGCTGCAGCTAGCCCCCGAGGTCCTGAGGTGTAGTGGGCTGTTCCGCAGCTACCCAGAGACTCCAGTACCCCTTGCTTAAGGAATACCTAGGGCTCCTTTAAGGCTTCCTTTAAAGAAATGGATCTAGAGGGTTTATCAAAAAGGGGATTCGAATATCCCTTAGTTAAGGAATATGCAGTAAAATATGTTTCAGGATCCCGAATATAATTGAAGGTATATTCCTTAATTCAAGGATATCGGAGTCTCTGGTCAGTAATCACGAAGCAACCCCAACTCAACAAAGCCTTAACCGTGGCCACGACCATGCATGACCTAAGCAAGCCGCTTGACGTAAGCTACTGTAACAAGCAAGACGCCGTTTTTCTACACGGATTTCATTATTGTTCTATTGCGTGTTATTGTTACATATTAATTGTGGTATCATCACAATGTTCAAAAATATTGCTACATATTGTGTATTGTACTGATACACGGATTTTGCATGGCGGCCTTGAGCCATCAACAGGAGGCCCTGCCAGTTTTTCAGGCCTGGGTTTTGCATTTCCCAAGTGTGTTCGCTTGTTTAGGGCCTACCCAGAGGCCCCATCGTAGTTCCTTTTTGGGATTACTCTATATATAGGATTCTATGTATGAACCTCCAAAAGGAACTACTTTGGGGCCTTAGGGTAGTGAATCGTTTCGAGTTTCAGGTACCCTTCTAGGGCTCGGGGTGTAGGGTTTACATCGCCGGGCCGAAAGTTTCGACCCACTTGTGCATCATCTTGCATACAAACTCTTGCGGAGTAGCGGAGTACCTCAAAGTGCCGTTTACCCTACGCACCGTTTACCCTACGCAGGCCAGCGGAGTAATTACTACGCCGTTTTAAAAATATAATACTTTTTAGTTCCGGCGGAGGCCCCAAGGCTCACTTGTGTTAGGAGTCTATGGGGAAGAGGGTGGAGGCGGATGTGTTGTAAAGCATGTTGAAGCTAGTGGGTCGAACTATCGGCCCGGCGCAGTAGTGTGGACTTGGGGTTTGGAGGGTGTGGGTGCCGTCCGGTAGATATGTCTACGGGCGAGAGTGGGCGGTTGACGAGGGAGGGTGTTCCCAAGCGTAGCTAGGAATCTTCACTATTGAGACTCCGCACCTTAAGATTAAAAATCTCGGAGCCCTACTGTTGATGATATAAATCCTGCATTACCTTAAGGACCCTAAACCATGGGAATTATGGTATATTCCTTATTATGGGTCATGCAGGATTTATATCATCAACCGTAGTTCTAAAGAGCCTCAGCTAGTTTACTTGCTAGCACTCTGCTCAAGTCGTGAAGCTTCGAATTGAGCGCCCCTGGTCTAGAACCCTCTGACTTTAATCATCCTAAACCCTACCTTAACCCTGAAGAACCTCCCTTTTTTAGGGCTCCCTACTATGACTTCCTTATATAAGTCCTTAAAAAGGTAGGTTATTCAGGGTTAAGGTAATCACGACTCTCCTAAACCCTAAACCCTAAACCCTAAACCCTAAACCCTAAACCCTAAACCCTAAACTCTACTAAACCCTAAAACGCCAAGGACAGGTTTCTATGAGAAGGGATCGTTGATCCTGGACTTGAAACGGTCCCTGGGCTTTGGAGTACCATACTTTAATACTTTTTTGGGACCTGTTACTTAAAGGGAACCAATTATGAAAAAAAAAGCCCAGGTCCTTCTTCCACTACATGAAGATGCTTGGACTCTGTTGGATTTCCAGTTTGGGTTTATTATACATCTTGCTCGCAGTTTCAGTTTGTAAGCCCTAAACCCCTTAAACCCGAGACCCCAAAAGTATGTAGAATAATGGCCTTTTATAGGTATTGGGCCATTATTTTACCTACTTTTCGGGGTTTAGGTATAAGGATTTACAGGCATCTAGCACGGAGCTTCCAAGAGTTACGGGCTAAGATCGTTTGCTCTTCGGGGTTTGTGTCCTAAACCCTGTGCGAGTCGACACCGTTGTGGATTTTTGGGATCAGAAGGAACCGCCAGTAGGCAGAACCACCCCTAGTTCGGAAGCCCCTGGGCCTTACAAGCTCAATGGGCCCTGTAATATGCTTTGACCCCTAAACTCTCAAATTCCCCTAGTCTCTAAGCCATGAATACCCCGAGGTTCCCTAAACTCCCAAAGTCCCCTAGGCCCTAAGCTTGAAACCGTGAACTCCCTAAGCCGTCAATTCCGAAGTCCGAAAGTCCTTAAACCTTAACTAGGTAGGGCTTTAGGACATTTTATATTTTCCCTTGTTGGGCTTAAGACGATCTTATTTACTAACATTTTCCAAAGGCTCTAAAAGCCCCACCTAGTTAAATTCCTTGAATTTCCGAAGCCCTGGAGCCCGAAAGCTCCCAGAGCCCTATAAGCCTTAGCGGTTTAGGGTTTAGGGATTTCGGGTGGGGTTATGTTTTAGGGCGTTAGGGGTTTAGGGGTTGGGGAAAGGGGGTTTAGGAGTTTCGGGGTTTAGGGTTTAGCGGAGTAGGGTTTCAGGGGGTAGGTTTTAGGGAGTTAGGGGTTTAGGGTTTGCTTGGAGGCACTTCAGACCTCGTTTAAAAAAAGGGGTATAGGGGTTTAGGAGTTTTGAGGTTTAGTGGTTTAGGGCTTTAGGGTGTAGGGCTTTAGGGGTTTAGGGTTTTAGGGTTTAGGGGCTTAAGGTTTAGTCTTTAGCGTTTAGGGGTTCAGGGTTTAGGGTGGCTTATCTTTAATTGAAACTCCCCAAAGAATCCTTGGCACCCTGTTCGCCAGGTGTCTACAACGACTCTAAGCGGTTTGGGGCTTGGGGGCTTCAAGGTGTGTAAGGAGTTATAAGGTTTAGGGCTGAGGGGTTTTATGGTGTGTAAGGAGCTAAGGTTTAGGGATTAAGGGCTTTAAGATGTGTTAGGAGTTAAGGTTCAGGGTTTAGGGGCTAAGGTGTGCTAGGAGTCAAGGTTTAGGGGTTTTTAGGGTTGAGAAGAAGGCCGCAGTTGTCAAGCTTTACTGGGGTTCGGAATGAAGTTTTCCCACCTTTCAATTCCCATAGGGTTTACAGGGCTCGTAGGGTCTTAGGCTGTTGAGCGAGTTTACGCCTAAGACTTGGTCATTGGGCGGAGTAGCGCCGAGCTCTCTTTGGCTTTGGGAGCTCAAGGAGAGTCGCTGTGTCTGATCGCGTCTGAGGACTTGGGGGCCCTTCGACCTTGCGTTGGTTACGGTGCCGCGGCCATGGGAAGCAGTGCAGTGCTATTGGGGGGGGGGGGTTGAATAGACCTGCTAATTGGCTATAGGCGTTGCTTGCATCAGTAATGTATTCACAAGGTGTGTGGTGCGTCTGTCGTGGCTGAGGCAGAGGGATGAAGGGATTCACACCGGTGGGTTCTGCTGGGCTTAGAGTTTAAGTTTAGATGTCTTTTTGCTGTTCTGGGTGAAAAATGTTCGTGTCATTATCTCTTCACTGACTGTTGCGCGCCTTTTTGAACGGCCTGGCATCGAAATTGATGCAGATGCCCGATCATGTCACAAGAACACAGACAATCAAATTAGGCTCATCTTTAGAATCGTGTTCAACGTAGGGTGTGCGCATGGCAAGTGAAGCTCAATTTCAATTCCGAAACTTCACAGCCGCTAGACCGTTTGAATTTTCCGAAGCTCTGCTAGAAGACCCTCGCAAAAGGTTTCGAAGATCTGCAGGTCGTCTAAGACCCTGCGACGCGCAACGTCGTTTGTCCTCAATGCCACGCAGGAAGCGAAACTGGCACTCTACCTGTACACCGGTTTTTCGCTACAGGGTTTCTCGAATGTAGGGCCTAGCCATCACACCGCTTAACCAAGGAAGCAAGGTGAAACCAGAATTGACACTTAAAGCTTGTGTATATAGCTCTTAATACGACCCCCGACCCCCCAGTAGGCCCTAGTATAGACTGTTACAGGGTGGGGCAAGTATGGGGGCAGTACCCTGCCTATAGCCTAAAAGTCCCAGAGCTCTGAGGTAGGATTTTCTGAAAATTACGGGTACCTTCCTTATAATATGGAGCCTACTACTTAGGGTATTATGTTCGGGTACAAAGTTTTCGGAAACTCCCAGGTAGGTTGGCTCTTCATCTTCATGGAGTTCGGCGACGACGATCAGGCCGGTGTGCCCTCCGAGGATCTCTCTCGGAGTTTTGAGGGTTTAGTGGTGCTTGCGGTTTAGGGTTTAGGGTTTAGGGTGGGTTTGGTGGGGTTCAGGGGTTTAGAATGGGGAAAAACGGGTCAAGCTTGGCAGGTGCTGTGGTTTCACTGTCTAGGAGTCACTGTCTAGGAGTCTAGGAAGTGTAGGGTTAGGTCAGAATAGGTTCACTGCTTGGGCATGAATAGATACCCGCCTGAACTATAAATAATGCTATTCGTCAGGATTTGTTACTCAAGTTTTGCTAGAACCTGTCCTGAAACCCCTGAATTATGTTCTATGTCGTTTGACTCTCGGCGCATAGGGGTTAGTTAGAAGTCCGAATCCTTTGACATGCTCGTGCGGGTGAGGATTGGACATGCTGAAATTTGAAGCCGGTCAATCTAGTAAAGGGAGCGGGAATGAGAAATACTATTCCTTGGAGTTCCATTTTATGGCTATTTGACAAAAGGTTCCCAAAGCCTGTTCCAAAAATAGCCAGGCCTTCGCTAGCCCCTTGCCTCTAACTTCGTTCAGTACTGATTTTTCAGACCTCTATCGACAAGCCTCAATTCAATGCCTACACCTTGGTCGAGCTATCTCTTGCAAACCGTGGGCATGCGAGTGGCGCAATCCTGAAATCAGCCGAGCAGGCAAATGCCTGAAATTCGCTTTCCAGGTTTATCAAGAGTCTTAGATGAGAGGCCTCATGGCTTTGGGGGGTTATCTGTAGGCTTATTTGCGTTCAGAGGTTTGGACTTCGTACTCAAAGATGGTGACCCACCCACAAGCCTGAACCCAACAGTGAGGCGTTTTTTCTCTGAAGTCCAAGTGTTCATTACTCAGATCCCAAGACCCGACAGCTTTATAGTAGTAGGCACTAAACCTCCAAACGCTGGATGCCAACACGCTGTGGAGAAAGCCCGACATAACCCAAAGGCCTTGGGCTTACAAGCCCTAGGCCACGATAAGGCCCAAACCCTAAATCCCGAACCACTACACCCTCTTGCCCGGGAGCTCTAAACCCCGAACACGTCGTCCTAGACCCATGGTCTCCGCTGTACTTGATTTTTGGTTGCCTTGTTTGTGGTGCGGGATGCAAACCGACACAAAAATGTGAGCCACAAACCAGGATTACAATGGCGACGATCGGCAAACTCTACACACAAAAACCCTCTGGCGGCGACCTACACCGTAAAGCTTGCAGAAGCCTTGCAAAGACCCGAAGCACTAAAGGGAACTCCAGAAAGTTGGAATATGGTTTCAGGGTAGGATACCCTATAATTTACCATGGAAGGGTTAGGATAATCATATTCCAACTTTCTGGCTTTTACCTTAAGAGGCCTCAGGCGACCTGCTTGCCTGGTCCCGGACGCTTCGAGCGCTGCGCGACTTCACAAGGGGGAGTTGGGGGTATCAGGGTTGTGGGTTTCGGGGTGGGTCCGGGTTTGGGGATTTTCGGTGTGAAGGGGCTTGATGGTCTTTGATTGAGGGCTTGGGACGACTCCCTCGATGGTGTATTGTCATCAGCATTCTGATCATCATCGTTCTCCATACTCGAATATAAACCCCAAGTGAATATCAGAAATAGTATGATATGGTATTGCTATTCTGGTTCTAAGGGGGTGTAGTATAGTACTACCATCCTTCAGTATCCATGCGGTTCCTACCTAGCTATAGCAGGACTAGAAAAGCAGGAGGCCGCCTCCAACGGCATCAAAGCCCCAAAAGTTTCCCGAAGCCTAAAACGTCCGAGGCTGATATGCCGATATAACCCCAAAACCCTTATTTTAGGCCCTTATTCCCCATCCCTCTACTTGAGGCTTCGCTTCCTTCGCTTTGTCCGTGTCCTGCGCTGGCTGAAACTCCGAGGATTCCACTTCTTTCAAGTAAAGAAATTGAGTTTGGGGTTTTAGGTGGATTCGCTCAAACTACAAGTCGGATGCGTGTCTTGATGCTTCCTTACTGCTGTGAGCCGTTCGGAGAAGCCTCTCTACCGTCACACACATCGGCCTCAGTAGGGGTTTAACAGCTTGCCGTTGCTGTTCGGTTTACGTTGTGGCGCTTTCTCATGGTGAGTAATTATGATGTTCTTGAGCCGTCTTCAGCAACATGTTCAACAGCGTGGTTATGCTCACGTTGAGTGGCCAGGGTGCTGTGCTGTTGCCACTCACGATTTCGACGCATCTGTGATTACGACGCAAGAGATCAGCCGGATCTTTGTGTAGTGTAGTAGCTTGTTGCCTGCAAAAAATCGTTTTGGGTTTTGGCAAAGTGTAGTCTTAGCAAGCACTCCCCGAAGCCCAACACATCTTTGCATCAGCAAACAGCAATGCTTATAAAGCAACCCTCGAACCAGAAGATGTGAACCATGAGATCCTACAGTTATGCATGTTTAAATCTGGACCTTGTGAGACCCTTAATGACACACCTCTTAAGATTATATATATATAATATACAGTACAACCCTTGAAGTCGACGTCGTGTTTGAAAGGTCTCCTGAAGTTACGGAAGCCGAATAAAGCGCTTATGCAACGCCTCATAAGTGTATCTGTATATGTGTGGATACAGTTACATAGGGCTACTGCAAAAAATTTCCGAGCACATGACTTTGAAACCCTGTGCAAACCTGTAAGTAGTATTAATAGTATCAGCAGTATTAGTAGTAGCAGTAGTATTATTAGTATTATTAGTATTAGTAGTATTGGTAGTATTACAGCGTGGTGCTGAAGGAGTCGCAGAAGCTTTTCAGGAGATGTTCCACTCAAATGTCGCGTCGCTTTGCCGAACCGTTTTAGCGGTCCTTAAGGAGCTTCCGGATTTGACAGATTTCCAAACGGTGTCAGAACGATTTTGTCTGGGATTTGGAATGGTTCTAGAGGCAACTAAGCGATGGTTGAACTCGAGTTCTTCAGGTGGTTAGGTTTTAGCGGTTCCAGAGCTCTCCGGCTTTAGAATCTGCAGGGGTCCTGTTATATGCGTTTATGCAGCGTTTCAAGCCAGCACACGGCATGTGGGGCTTTCAGAAAGTTCAGGATCTAATGTCATAAGGACCCTGAGGGGAGTAGGGGGAGGGGAGCAGGGGGCCTTAATACCTATAATACGGACTTAATACGTCCTATTTATATAAGGAAGTATAGTCCCCTACCCCCTTCCCTACCCCCCTAAGGGTCGCTGTGATAATGCAGACGTTGAAAATTATGCGGAGCCTTGTTCCAGTTTTAGCAGGGCCCAGGCTGGCGAGTTTCGGTTGATGGCTGGAGGTTTGTGCGCAAGATGTTCGCCACACCTCCCCTGCATAGAGGTGCCCAGAAGCCCACAGACGAAGGATGTCCGTGAAGGACCTTTCTGCAGGGTCCTAATCATGAATAGGGTCTTTTCGTTTATCTAATTCTGGTCCATATATGAGGATCCCTGAGTTACTGAAGCTTCCGTAGGAGGGAGCCCAGGATTCTTTGATGCTGAGTTTCTGTGTTGAGCTTCTCTGTTTCATAGTCGTGGTAGGGGTCTTCCACTTCCTAAACCCCAAACCCGGCCCCACCTGGGCTCGATATGGGTGGTTCTCTGAATTAGGATCCCTTCTAGGGTTCTTCTTATAAGGGTGTCGTCTGTCTGACATATTTGGACACCTGAAAAGGGATCCTGACTTAGAGAACCACCCGTCTTCAGGTTCTTCTACTACAGCCTCATCATGGCTGGAATGCGCCTGCTGATCTTGAACCATCTCCTGGCTTCTTTGCTTCACCTGTATGAGGCCATTCAAGCGTGTAAGTTATATATCCAGAAACCAACCATAGTCCGTTCCATAGTATAAGAAATATAATAGATGTAACTTATAATAAACAGCCAAGCATACTTGGGCAGTTGTCAAAATTAGGGTCCCTTTTGGGGTCTGCTAAATGATAGGTGCCGTACTATAGTAAGGACCCAAAAAGGGACCCTAATTTTGACAACCACCCACTTAGTTCCATAGTCAGTTTGTACTACTACAAGGTACGGGCTCCAGGCATAAGGTATTCTCTCTCAAACTCCTCCTCTTCCCTGCAGCCGCAGCTAAGCACCACAAGGGGCCGTAATAATGTAAAATAGGGTTTTGAGGTCGATTCTATTACAAATATAATCAGGATACCCCCAAAACCCTATTCTAATTATTAAGGCCCCCACAGTATTAACGCCCCTGCAGTACATTACCTAAGTTCTTTTGTCTCTAAAAGCCAGCGCCCATGGTCAGTTTGGCAAACAAAGGCTTGCTGCTGGTACGGCATCGCCCTGCTGGAGCATCCCAACCCCAACTGGGTGGAGAACGCAGGTCTTTGGAACGCACCAGCAGCTCGTCGATGTATTGGCGATTAGGCGCAATATTTCTCAAAACTTGAAGCAACCCAAAACTGCCCTAAAGCAGCTAAGCCCATCAGTTTGGGAAAAGGTACCGATAACCCGAAATACGTAAAAGCCACTGGGCCTTGATTTCAGGGGCACTTCGCTGAAGCAAGGCTTGGACCGCGGAAAGAACACCCTTAAGTTTCCTAAAGCTTATCACGGTCGGCCTCGGAGCCCATGGTTACCTAAATCTCAACTACATCCTAAACCCCCAAACTCCAAAAACCCCAAACCCCTCCACCCTAAACCCAAAACGCCATCAACCCGTAAACCGTAAACCCAGAAAGCCCTAAACCACTACACCCTAAACCTAGCCGTCAAACTCCATGTCCTGCGGGGCATTGCGCCAGAAGGCATGAGACCACAAATTTTCCCACAAAGCACCTTCAAACAGGGGAAGTTTCGACAGTCCCGGTAAAACCTCGAAAGGCTAGACCGTGGTATATGCTAAACCCTATACCCCAAATCGTAAACCCCAAGCCTTGCACCCTATATACCATATACCTAAAGCCTAAAGCCTAGACCCTAAACCCTATATACCATATACCCCCCTTTAGATCGTTTCACTTTGTCAGACTCCGAAACACATGCCTCGCCTGGATTGTCCGAGTGTGAGCGCCGAAACCCTGAAACCCTATAACCCTGAAGCCCCCAGCCCGGAGCCTGCCAGTGACTGAAGCGTGGGAGCCCCTAAAAGGCAGCTCCTGAGCCTTGCCACTGTAAAAACGGGGTTTAGGCTAGAGTTTGGGGTTTTATGGGGTTTAGGCTAGGGTTTAGTGTTTTGGGAGGTTTAGGCCAGGGTTCTATGGGGCTTAGGCTAGGGTTTAGGGTTTTGTAGGGTTTAGGGGTCTATAGGGTTCTATAGGGTTTGGGATTCGGTAGGGTTAGGTTTTGGGCTTTGGGGTTATATAGGGTTAGGGTTTTAGGGTTCTACAGGTTTGATATGGTTGAAGGTTCTATAGGTTCTATAGGGTTTGGGGTTCTAGAGGGTTTAGGGTTCTACATGGCTTGGGTAAGGGTTTAGGGAGAATGGGAGGCATCCCGACCGTGTTTTTTTTGCGGGAGGCGGTATGAGAGTCTCGAATGAGGGATGATGACCCAGGCCTGCATAAATCCGCAACGTTTTACGGACGCCCCCACCCGAAAAAAGTGTCTAGAACTCCAAAAACAGATATTATCTCATTCTATCCGCTCTCGTCTTCGGCTACAAGAGGATTTACCTTGAACTCTAAACTCTGAAATTCCAACGTAAGCACAACCTGGGCATCCACAGGCTTTAGGGTTTAGGGTTTAGGGGACTCAGGATCTCGACAAATATCTCACCAGCCTCAACTGGTCCTGGGCGATGCTGGGTGTAGGTTGCTTGGCTGCAGTGAATGACAAGACTTACAGCTTTAGAGTTTAGATATTTGCTTTGGCTGGCACTCGGCATTTCTCTGGCATTGCTTGAAACATTTGACTTCACCTGGCCAGGTTTGAGCAACAATTTGGCCGCGAATTCGATCGAGGTCGCATTTTCGGCCCCCTGGCATGTCTTTTGTTGACGGTGTAGGGCTTGGTCTTTTTCGCTTAAGGGTTCACGGCTTTGTGATTTATGGTTTAGGGTTGCTTTATTGCTTCGTGGAGCTTGTGATCGTGTTTAGGGTCTGGGATAGGGTTCTTGGTGGAGAGACGGCAGAAATGGGACTCTACTATCTACCATGTCATCTTGCCCCTCAAGTTGGTTGAATCGGTGAATCACAGGGACCCTTAGGGGGGTAGGGGGAGGGGGTAGGGGCCTTAATACCTAAAATCAGGACTTCATAACGCTCATTTAAGGAAGTATCGTCCCCTACCCCCCTCCCCCAACCCCCTCGGTGAGGGCCCCTATGAGTGGTGAAGCCTGGTATTCGAGGGCTTTGAGGTTGCCGAAACGCGGGGGGCAGTCCGCAGGACTTCACTTACCTTTGGTTAGTAGGGAATGGAGGAATGGGGTTTAGGGATTTAGGGGTTAGGGTTCAGGGTTTAGTTAGTAGGGAATGGAGGCATGGGGTACAATTACAATCACTATTTCTACCATTCTTCCATTCCCTACAAACCCAAGGTAAGTTCAAGGGTGCAACGGTTGCAAACGGGTTTGGATGTCGCGAGCTAGAGATCTGGAGGGGTTATTAGGGTCTAGGCCTTTGGGTTTAATGTAGGAACCTGATCAAGAAACTCCGGGCCTATCACCCCCCAAATAGAAGGACTCATAGAAGGAACCCTGATAAAAGCCCAAGGTTTCTTAATCAGGTTCCTACACTATAACAATCGTACCCTTATAGATCCCTTATAGTAACCCTTATCGACCCCCTTTAAAGGAACCTCAAAAAGAGGCCCAAGGTTTCTTAACCAACACTCATGCACTCCGAAACTTTGCAGCAGAGAAGGAAGGATAGCGCCTGCGTGGCTGCTCTGCCAAGGTTCTCGTGGCATTCCGGTCTCTGATGACCTACGCAACTCTTCCAAAGTGGGAGTTTCCGAAAACAAGGGGTGCCGGGTTTTGCGCCGCATTTGCACAGTAGCCTCGTATACCTGCGGTGCGGTTTAACCGTAGCTTTCTTTTCCTCTACTTTCTCACAAGGTGAGCGGGCTTTTGGATTTAGTGTGTCATTTTTGTGATTTGTGTTGGATTCAGGGCCTTGGAACAGAAGCCTCAGACCCTGCATCCGCAAGCCCTAAACCCTCAAATTTTGAACCCAAGACCCCCAACAACACGTCAGACCAAGACAGAACCCCTTTGTAATCGACACGCGGTTGATGAATCCCGTTGAAGGTTCAGGCTGGGCATTACATTTTGCAACGCCCTGCAAAGCTTCGTGTGGATTCTGGCAGGTGCTTCAACGTAGAAGGGGTGCGCTTTCCGCTTTGAGGCTTGAGGGTGTACAGGCGCGTTTGACAATTGCGGTTTTAGGCCCAGTTTTCCTCCTGACATGTAGGAAGGACATGTAGGAAGTTCTCTAAATTAGGGTCTCTTGCAAGGGTCAGTTTAACACGGGTGCCGTACTATTTTGGGGAAGCAAAAGGGGACTCTTACTTAGAGAACTTCCCATGTGGTTGGAGCCGCAGTCAAGTTATACTATCTAAATTCGGATAATGAATGATGACTGGGGAAGCTACTGCGCACTACTCCTTCCTGTGCAGAAGGCGAGAGCTCTTGGATTTAGGTCTTCGGCAGTAGGGTCCATAGAATGGCACGATGGGGTTTGGGATTTGGGGCGCAGGAATTAGGCTTAGGATTTGGGATTTAGGAATTTATGTTTGCGGTCCACAAATTTAGCACGAGAACGCGCCATGTCTGCTCGCTTTAGGGTTTCGAGTACGAGAGTTTGGGCTGAGACAAGCGAAGATAACCCTAAGGGTCCAAGTATACCTAACAATCATATAATCTACATAATCACTATCCGAAATCTGAGTACCTAATTATTGGGTCCTTCGGACCCGTAGGTTAACCCGAAGTTCAGCAGGGTTCTCTACAGGACCATGTACGCGCGTAGTATACTCTGGCCTCGGAAGACCGACGTAGTCAGGCAGTCTTATATTGCTTTTAGGGTTTAGGGTAATATAGTAGCTGAGTAGATACGCTTTACACGTTTTGGGATAACATTACCCACTATAAAACTAAACGTGTACACTTTGGGGGGGGGCTTATGAACTCAGCAACTAAGTAGTCGCTCTGAACAGTTCCCTTCCCAAATCTGCATCAATGCTTTTGTGCAATCTATGTTCTTGGAGGGGGGGGGGGCGGTTGAAAGTTTCTGGCTCTACAGCTGCATATTGCCAAACCCTATAATTATATTAGTAATTAGCTTTTCAACCCCGGACGATATCAGAATGTAGCCGCAGCCTTTGGTCACTGCAAAGCAGAACCGCAAAGGATGAACCGCCTAAGCCCTACTTTCTGTGGTTCATTCAAGCTCAGGCCACGCTGATCAGCTCAATTACCACTTTGTCCGGCGCGCTGAATAAGATAAAGGAGGACGAGCACCTTGTCTAGATCGTCCGAGAGATCGAAGGCTTTAATGTAGGTCCGTATGATATCAATAATGCTAAACCCCAATCCCAAACCGAAGGAATATCCGTGTATAGGGCCCAGGCTGGCGTCCTGCGGCCTTTGGTGTGGAGAGTTTGGAGTGCTGCTTGAAGAAGCAGGGTCGTAGGAACGTTGCTGAGTCTTCTGGCTTATAGCTCTTGCCCTTCGTCAGCAGGAAAAGCCTGCAGTCTCCATTGTAGATCGTTTTGGGTTACCTTATAGGATCCTTATTATATATATTTGGTTAAACCAAAAAAGCCACTACAATGGAGACTATAGGAGCCACTGGGGAGGCGTCTTGAAGTACTGGGATCCTCTATCCCCGAAGTCGAAACATGCCACGAAGAAACAGCTGGGAGTGATTGTATTGCGACAGCGCACTACCCAGTACCAAGGAACTCGGAATTCCGGCTCCTTCGTTCCTACCTGGCGCACAACGACATTGACCAGGACCGGGACCATCCCGGCAACCTGATCCCCAGCCCCAGCCTCCCACTGTTCGTCAAATGCGGGATGACAGGTCAAGGGTACTAAGGACAGCATCGGAGTCCGTGATGATGACAATGCTGTCGATGATCATCACAATGCCGAGGTTGGCGGTACATGCTGGCGAGGATGATGATGAGTTGTCTCGTAGTATTGTTGACACTGTGTTTGCGGCGCTGTTTGCTGCTGGCACTGTTGTTTGTGCGGATGTTTGTGCTGTTGCTGTTTGTTTGTTCCTTTGTTAATGGGTTGTCCTCCTTCTCAGTTTTCACAGCGTTTGGGTTTTAAAGGCAGCCGTTCTGGACGTCCACCACTTGGTTCAGGCCGAAAACAATCGAGTTCTTCGGGAAAAGCTTCGCAGGCTTTCAAACCCTCCATTGCGACAGTCGGATATGCCCCGAAACCATCCCCGAAAGCGAGAGCCTTTCTGCTTCTTCGGCATGTTGGCTTGATCCAGGAGTTGAGCCAGAAGATTACGAGGTTCTTGCAACACCAGTACCACCTGCGGCAGCAGGCAAAGACAGGGTGTGAGGTAGCCACTCAGCAAGTCTTGCACATTTGAGCTTGGGCCCAGCTCCGATGTTGTGCGGGTTTGCGGTTATCTGGCCTCACATTCAACTGCCAGAATGCCCTAAACCGACCATAGTGCCAAAAATCTTACCTAGACCCCCCAACCACCCTCTAAGGACTCCACAACAGGGCCCTTGGGGACCTGTTTCAGGGTTTAGTTTAGTGGGTTTGAAGTTCCCGTCTCGGACTCCGAGAGATGAGTTTGACCTGCTAGTTTTGGGTTGGTCTTGTCATTTCTGCTGTATATACACACACACACATATATGTATATATATATACATACATGTATGTATGTTTATATGTTGACTTATGTGTTATGTTGAAATAAGCTGTGCCAGCTTAACTTGGGGTTTAGCCATGCAGCAGGGAGAACATGAAGGATTCTAGGCAAGAAGCGCATTCTACAAGACATGGGATGGTCGTGAACTATGGGAGTTTCCGAAGAGTAGGGTTCCCTTTGGGGGTCCTTATAGTAAGGGTCCTACTATTCACGGTACTCGATTAGGGTCCCATTTTCGCTCCCAGATCAGGCAGAAAGTGTCTTTCGGTCTGTTAGGCTTTTCACACGCATGAACATCTGTGTAGGGAGCCCACAAGCGTTGAGAACATTCAGCACTCACCGAAGACTATACAATCATCTTGGATGATGAAGGGAATGCGCCAGTTGCGTTCGATAGTAACTCGGACCAACAGCGTGTCATGATGATGATCGGGTCAGGCTCAGATGCGGAGCACTACCGAACCTCAGCCGGTGCAGAGATAGAAAAAACCTCTAAACCCTAAACCTAACCCTAAACCCTAACAGTCAGTCGGTTTTAAGAACCGTTGGGGAAGAGATTCTCGCATATCGCAGGCGCGATCAGCGCACCTTCGGGTTCCCCTGCTGGACCTGCTGCTCCGCTCGGTTTTGAATGCCATCTTTAACGGCTGAGTAAGACAATCGAGAACCCTATGTAAACCCTAAACAGCCTTACCGAAAATTGTTCAGTAAGCCGGCGCTGGAGGGCCCCCGAAGGTCAAACACATGTTTTCGGGAGCGCTTCGGGTGCAGAAATGCCCAGTACCACCCAGACAAGCACGGCCGAGGGGTGCGAGCCCACAGTCTTTGCCTTCACCTGTATGTATATGTATATACAGGTGTGTGTATTATATATATATATATATATATATATATATATATATATATACATTATGAGGCATTATACAGTATTAGGTTTCTTTGTTCGGTGTTGATCGTCATATTCTTATGTATACTCGTACAGTTGTCTACATTTTCTTCTGATTGTAGAATCACATCCCCTCTCGGTCTCTCCCTTGCCGTTTTAACTAGAAGGACTTGGGCGTTTCGAGTGTAGAGCAGGGAGGGAAGCCTAATGAGATGATCTTCAGCACGCGTGGGATCATAGGGTTTTGGGCTTATTCAGGATCCAAAACATCTGGTTTAGAGTCTAGAGCAGGGAGGGGATCACATGGTTTTGGGCTGTCGGTTTAGGGTTTAGGGCCTTGCCACTCCTTTCTAAGGGCCGGGTTTCAGACTTAGGGCTTACCTGGGATCCAAAGCATATGGTTTTGAGAGCCAGACTTTGTAATGGAGGGAGGGGCCTGCCTGCGCAAGGCATAAGTCTTGGGATGTTGAGATCGTGTTGCTTCGGACGGCAAGGTCTGCAGACTCCAAAATGACGAGGTTAGTTCGACTAAGACTAGGAGCACTTGAGGAATGCAACCAGTAGAAATGGACTGGATATTGAAGGATGTATTCGTGGAGACGGCAAATTAGTGTGGCATGGGGGGGGCTTAATCCAAGAGGATGGATTCGGCACCCTGTCATATAAAACGAGGGTCATCAGAGTCGGTTGTGAGGGCCCCTGTGGCACGCCGGAAGCAGTTACAGATAATTGCCAAATCGAAGCCCGTGTAAGTGTAGGAGGCCTCAGATATACTACACGCGCAAAGCGCAGATGTGAAACATCTCCTGAACTCTCAGCGTTAACGCCCTAAGCCCTAAATCCCACAACGCTAAAACCCCAAAGCCTTCAAAGCCTAAACCCTAGTTATCAAAAAGCAAGTGGGATCATCCCAAAAAGTGGAACGATGCAGCTTAGCATGGCCCCTGCGCAAGGATGACACGCACAAATCGAGAAGTAGGAAGGACAAAATTATCACGAAGACTTGAATCCTACTAACACCCTAAAGCCTTAAAAGCCTAAACCCTAATGATCAAAAAGACCTAAAAACCTACTACTACATACTAAAACCCTGAAGCCTTAAAAGCTATTCTTTTAGGGAAAAATCATAAACAAAAAGATTTAAATTGTTATTGCAGTCCCGAGTCCCTTTCGGCTTGGAGCAGCTCCCACGCTGCCCTCTCAAGCTTGGCGAACCCAAAGGCTCCATGTACTTTTGTAGTAGATACTCAAGCCCCAAAGTAGTCCCTATATAGGTACTTTAAGGCCTAAGTATATACTATATGGATACATGGAGCCTTAGGGGAAGGTATGAAGATCTTGGGCGTTTCGGGTTTGGGGCTTCTATATGGGGTCGGGGTTCACCTGAAGCTTCAAGAGCCTACAAGTGTCGTTCTGCCGTGTTTTTTTGCCATGGTGCGTGTGACGAAGAAGGTATGTTACGCATGATCCAAGGGGCGCTAATCACTGGAATAGGGTAACGTTGGGCGTGCTTGCACAGCGGCTAGGCTGAAGGAGTACATGCTTATGATTTCCCAGACCCGTTTGTACGAGACGCCCGGGCCCTGTTTCAAAAAGTACAAGGCTCTCCAACAGCCTCAAGGGCGAGCTGGACTTTGCCAGGCGAAACGATGCCATGCTGAAGCTAAGCCGCTTTGTCAAAATTACGAAGTCGTGTTGGGGGTTGTCTCCCACTTGAGGTAAGCATGTCGATACACTTGTTTGGTTATGAGGGTTCCCTTACGGCTTCTGTAACGGATCTATAAATTCAGACAGCATAAGAGCCTCAAGTAGCATGGGCTTTGACCTTGAGCTTGGCTCTTGCTTCGGAGTTGCTCTAAGCCCTCAGCCCCAAACCCTAAACTCTACTAGCTCAGCGGACTTAGTGTTTGAAGCCATGCCTGCCTTGTGCGAGTGTGTGTGTGTCGAAACTCTACTATAGGCGGAGCAGCATTCGCCTTGCATGAGGCATGCGCCAGAGCCCAGACCCCTTTTGTCCGAAACCCCCACGCCCTTGTTACAGACAATGCAGTATGACAGCTGACCATACACCTGGCCGCCAGCAGAAGCTTCTGTTGTTGTCGCTGCTGACTGTAGGAGTACCAAGTGTCAATCTTCCTATTATGTAGGAGTCCTAAGCTTCACTTTCGGTGAGGTAAGCCCCGAAACTGCCCTTTGCTTCCGTCCGATACTTTCGTTCCGTTTCCGACGTGCTCGGAACGTGAGCATGAGGCTACTTGGACAACCTTCTTCCCACAGAGGACGTGCAGGTGCTCAGTTCTGCTTAACGAATACCCGGACCCAGAAGGCTAGAGCCAAGAGGTCGGGGAAGCGTGAACACATTCCAGCTTTGCCTTTTAACTATGGGTGCCCGTACCCAGCGTTGTAGCGCAGTTCGTTCTTTGTTCGTGCTACTTCCACAGGCGTTGTAGCCCCAATGCGTGAACTCAATTGGGTTCTCTTTGTCACATCCAAACTTCTCGAGTACCCAGCAGTTTGTTGCTGTTGAGGCTCTGCACAATACTTGAGTTGTCCGCGGCCCATACACATCTGCGAGACTAGCTGAAGACATACCTTTTTGATGCTCATTTCATCTACATGTCCACTACACGCCTATAAGTCTCAAAAATGAGGTGGCTTTGCCCGAGAAGCCTTCGCCTCATCCCCCGCGAAGAACCCTAGCAATCCCTCAACCTCAAAATGCGAGCACATTTTTCAAAATTCATGAATGCAGACTTGCATATTAAGGTTCCGTAGTCAACTCGCCTTAACCGCAACCCCAAGTCCAAAATCCCACAGCCAGCTGCCATTCACGGTTTAGGGTTTAGGGTAGACGAAGCTCCAAACCTCAAGCAACTATATGCTTCCGAAGACCTGAACAGACAGGTATAGTGCTGAAAATGAATTGTAGACTCCTCAGGCATGTTCTACTTGTTAAGGCACCGAAACATAAAAGTCTGGACAGGATCCCTATTCTGATTATTGGAATCTGTTCTAGATGATGAAGTAGTAAAAGCAAGCATAATCAGGAATCCTTTTAGCAATGTTCTTACTGATAGTCATGCTTATAAACCCTGCTGTGATTTCTTTGGCAGAGCCCCGCAGCTCCAAAATTGGAGTTTCCGAAAATGTGGGACGGTATTAATACAGTATAATTAATATAGTATCCTAAATACTGGGATCCTTATTATTTTTAAGGACCCCAAATAAGGTACCCCGGCACCCCTGATTTTCGGAAGCTCCCAACTGGGGAAGCGCAAGCCCGGATCCATGATCTTCCCCCGGAGAAGCTCGCCGAGAACGTAGGAGAGGTCTGAGAGTTAGAAGAGGCTTCTGGGAGCTCCTTGTCATAATTATCCTAGAGGGTCCATATACACTACTATGATGGAATTAGGTCCCCAAGCCATAATCGGGATGGGCCTAATTCCATAATAGTAGTGTATATGGACCATTTGGGTATAGTTTACTGTACCCCTACCTTAAGTTGTTTAGTTGAATAGGGCTTGGCTTAGGCTTCAAAAACCCTCAAGACTCAACTTCGGCTCTTTGTTTCTCGGGCAAGTCATGCATCTGCCACTTCGCCTTAATTGCCCCTTATTAGCAGTCATAAAGCCCTTTCGAGCCTACACCCTAAATGGCGTTTAATGGGGAAGCCTGGCCTTCGCCAGGTCATGCAGACAATGCATAACTTAGCTACCGGAGCGATGGAAGATGTCGCGGCGGCCAGTGGGGATTTTATCTTCCTGGGCGGAAGCAAGGCGCAGGGGCTTTAGGGTAGGTCGTTGAGTTTCATGAGCTTACTGTTTGGCAGTGCCCTATGTACCCTTCATAGTGTTTAGGCGAAGTCTTGATTCGGGCTGGAAACAGAGAGAGGCAGCCAAACATACATACATCTAGTATTGACTTGTGTATACACAAAAGACCAGACTGACCAGAGATACAGCAGCCTGGCAGACAGATAGGCGGATAGAGATGGAGGTCGGTGGATCCGTAGTAAGTTAGATTGACCTGTTAGATAGAATAGATAGACAGGTAGATAGACAGCTTATCGATGGATAGTAGGTTGCCGTTACCGGGATACTTAGTTTAGTCGGCTAGTTGGTCGGTTAGTTACTTCATAACGGAGTTCGTTGGGTAGTTAGCGAGCTAGCTAGCTAGCTGGTTAGCTAGTTTGTTTGTTAGGTTTTTAGATAGCCAGATACCAAGGTAGAGCGATAAATAGCTACTACTGGGTTGGTTAGCCAGATGAACCGATAGATAGATAGATTGGCCGATAGGTGAACGGATGGTTAGTTTGGGCAGCTAGATAGCCAATAATTAGACAGCTGGACACGTGGATAGGTTGATAGATGGACAGGCTGATGATAGACAGACAGATGATGGATAGATGGATTAGATACTCGGCTAGACAGTAATAGGTAGATAGATGGATAGGTAGGTCGATCAACAGACCGGTAGAGAGTTATATAGTACGTATTAAGGTGAGAAGAGCGACGAGGAATGGAGGGAGGGAGTTGTTGAGAGTGTTCCAAAGTTCTAGGATACGTCGTGCGCAGGGTTTAATATTTGGGGTGGTTTTCGAAAATAGGGTCCCTTTGTGGGTCCCTAAGATAGTACGGCACCTAATATTTAGGGTACCCAAAAAGGGACCATAATTTTGACAACCACCCATGTGGTTTAGAAGTAGTGCTGGTTGGAGCTTGCCAAAAGTTTAGGTTCGAGCAGTCTCCTCTGGTGGTGCTGGCACTGGAGATCAATATGGGAGTTTCCGAAAATAGGGGACCTTAGTATAGTACCCTAAATAGTAGGATCCTTATTATAAGGACCCCCAGATAAGGTACCCCTAATTTTCGGAAACCCGCATATGGGTGTCGGAATTTGGGTTTTGGCCCCTATATTAGGCCCTGTATTCTAAGGCGAAGGCTACATTGCAAGCACGGATTGGTCTTGAATCTCGCTGATTTCCCTGCGTTCGGCTAAAGACTTCGGAAAGTATATCCTTTTGCAGCTTACTAGATGGATTGAAAACTTTTGAAGACCCCTTCTTAAGGTCTTCCTCCATGAGTCTTGTCACAGCAGCCGAGCCGATGTCCACATGTAGGCGGCCGTTGTACCGAAGAAGCCTAGGTGAAACCCTGGTTTCCCCAACTTCTCGGCAAACGACGGCCGAGAGAGTGGTGAAGCTTTCTTACAGTTTTCATGTGTCTTCGCTACCGCGTCGCAACCATCAAGTTGGCTAAGCGCTAAAGGAATTTGCAGTGGAATCGATTTTGGTAGGGGTTGAAGTTGTTTCACCATGAAAATATTGTCAGGGTTTGAACTTATTTTAACAAGAAGCCACTCGGAGCCTTCTTCACCTTGTCTGACAGGGTCGACATGTGCAGCATCTAATGCCGCGAGGCTTTCAGTACAAGCTTCACTACTTCAAATATGAAGATGGGATAGGCCCTAAACCCTAAACCCTAGGGCTAAGATTAAGGGTTTAGGCTTGTGGGCCGAGGAAAGCCGAACTTGGAACTTGATGTTACATGGCTCGGAAACCCTGCAGAGCTGCGTATTGCTGATTCCACAACCAAGCCCATGAATTTAGGGTTTAGGGTTTAGGGAACTATGAAATAGAATTGAAGCTGAATCGAACTAAACCCTGAACCCACCAAATCCCTAAACCGTTCCACTCTGCCAGGCAACTGCGGCTTACCTGAAGCTGCCTGGCTCCATCTTGCAGTACATTTCCTTGCAGTGACAACCGTAATACACGGTTTAGGGTTTAGGATCAAGATGGCGTGACATGAACCCAGCCGTGTAGCTCATGCGCATCCAAGGCTGAACGGATCCCTGAACTACTTCTACGCTGACAGGAACGAAGAGGAAAAGCACCAGGAGGCCGTAAGATTCCTGCATTAGGGCAAACAGGATGTGGGAGTTTCCGAAAATAGGGGACTCTAATATAGTACCCTGAATAGTAGGATCCTTATTATAACCCTAAACAGAGTCAACTAAACCTTCAAGCCCCAACGCGGGGTTGGCGCCCAAGATTGGGGATGGCGTATAAGTGGGGTTATAAGTCTCCTCATATGGGTTATAAGTATAGTTCCCCTACTTATAACCCTACTTGTAACTACCCTAAACCCTTATCGTTAAACCCTATAACCTTATAGATCCCCTTAAAGGCACCCTACTTATAACTACCCATGAACCTTCAAGTAAGAGGTGACGGATGAAACGTGGATCGCCGAGATTTGCCTCTGGGCGTCCTGGGCGTATCAGGGAGATTTGGTTCCTCGGCTGCAAAAATTATCTAGGGGTTTAGGGTTTTAGGGATTCTGGGGTTTAGGATTCACGGGTTGAGGGTTTAAGGCTTTGAGTTTAGGGTGCAAGTAAAAAGGGTTAAGGGTAGTTCTGGAACCAGCTAGGATTGGGCAGTTCTCATCTGTGATCCCCACCTCAGTTTTCGCACGACTAAACCCTCAACCACTAGGCTGCAGCCTAAAGCCTAAGCCCTAAACCCTAGACTGTTCACCACCCCAAGACTCCCTGCAATGCGGGCTTCGTCCTTGCTAGGGAGGAGGGAAAAAACCCTAGACTCTCAGATTGTATCGTTACTGTGTTGCAGCAGACCAGCGAGGTGGCAGAGGACGTCTCCCGATTGACTGTGCCGCTTGGTGGCCAGTAACCTACCTAGGACCTAGGGACTTATATAGGGTTTGGGGCTTCAGGGCGTTATGGCATTATTGCTCCGCTGAGGGTCGATAGGCGTACTACGAGGGTTTGCGGTTTAGCCGTAAGGCTTCTTGTGAGGGTTTCCGAAAATAGGTTACCCTAATATAGTACCCTAAATAGTAGGACCCTTATTAATTACAAGGACCCCAAATAAGGGTGGAAACTCTAAGCCCTATCCTATACCCACCCTTAAAGGAACCCTAAGGTTCCCCTAATTTTCGGAAACTCCCATGTTCCCTTTGCTTAGAGGGCTTTTGGGGCCTTGCTGGGTTTTGAAGGCCGGCTTTCCGGCTTGGAGCTGCAGAGTCCGAGCATAAGACGGTCGTCGAAATTCGACTCTGTGATATATGGGTAGTTGTCAAAATTATGGTCCCTTTTTGGGTACCCTAAATAATTAATAGGTGCCGTATGATATTAAGGACCGAAACAGGGACCATAATTTTGACAACTACCCATATGTGTCTGTGTGTACTTACACACAGAACCCTACACCCTACATCCTGTGGAAGCTGAGACTCTGTGATGGGCTTAGGTATGTTTTGGCGGCGAAAACTTACGTACCTTTGCACGAAATTGCGCACTTACGGGCTCGTGATACTATGTAAAATCCAAGTGTTCATACAAAAGTTAGTAAACGAGTCAGTCAATCAGACATACTTGCGCCTTGCGCTTCGAATTTCCCTGTTAGGGTCTTTCATGCCAACGCCCGGATTGGCGAGTGTGATGTCAGAGCCAAAACGAGGCCTTTCAAGGATACTTCTGACCTCTGTGCCTCAACTCATGTCTCCCCACCCGTTCGGGGTCTACTGTCGCCCTAGGCCTTAAGCCCCAAACCCAAGACAACAAACAACAAGAATGATCAAGTAGACCATATGCCGACAGACAAATGACCCTTGGAGACGTCCATCAGTGAAAGTACTTAAGTATTCCACAGCAGCCCTGCAGATCCCACGTCACACAAGCCCCAAAAACCTACTACATATACCTACACGTTAAACACCTGAAGCCCTGAGCCCTCGCCCGTCCGTGAGTCGCGCCATCGTTTTTGCATGTTCCGGTTTGGGCTTGGTCTTGAATTTCAACCGATCGAGACCTCCAATCGTCATAACTAGTTGTGTTATGGTTTTGGAGGTGATGGTAATGGTGATGACGATGAAGAGGATGAGCTTTAATAAGAGTTTCGGGGTTGACTTACTTTGCGATGATGACGACGGTGCTGATTATGGTAGTTTTCGGTATGACTCTGATATACGCCTGCGGAGGATCAATGTCGACGCGTTTTGTTCGATTCTGTCCCAGTGCTACACCACTCACACAAAAGCCACTGGGCCCGCACATCAGTACGTGCCAGGTGGCGTGGGCGTTTACCCGCAAGGTTCGGCCATAATTCCTTGGGTACTTGTTTGGACTGCATGGGTTGCTTCCCACACCTTCTGTGTGGTGCATCTATGAGCCTTGCCCTTAATATGCATGAAAGACGGAAAAGCGGAACATGAAGTCCTGGACCCTAGCTATCCGCTGAGATGTGTTGCTGAGCGGCCCTGAATCCCGTTTGTACTAGACTATGCTGCCTATACTACAAACTATACACTATGCACTGTATCGAATGGCAACTTATGACCTTGCGGAGAGGAACCCGCTAGTCAAAAAAGTTAAAGCCGCAATTTTCGGAACCTGTCCAGGCCTAACCGGAATCCTCTACCCTACCAGACCCCAAACCAGCCTCAACCCTCAAAAGAACTCCAACCTTAAACCGACAACCTCTACCCACCCGACCCCAAACCTCACTACAAAAGAACTCCAAGGCCGTCGAATATTCCAGAGACTTCATCAAGAACTTCAAGAGGCGAAGCCGGCCGTCCACGGGCTTGGGAACAGGGAGCATATTGGTTTACGGGTTTAGGATATAGGGTTTATAGGGTTCAGGTTCAGGGTTCAGGGGCGGGAAACATAGAGAAGTAATTTGACGACGTTGCGGTGGTGGTGCGGTTCCTGGGGTTCGGTTTACGGGTTACTCAGGCTTCTGTGCTGCCTGTTCTCGCTGACTTCCATTCTCAGCAGTCTTTTTTTTTTGTGAACTCAGTATCGTGAACATATACTGAATACTGCTAATGGGTGCTGCGTTGGGGAGATGAGTTGTGAGTTTGCTTGTCGATAGTGTGAGTGCATCATTTCGGTGCATTAGTGAGTCGCAAGGGTTGTTGAACAAAAAGGCTCCAGAGCAGCGACACACATAGAGCCCCTCCAGCACAGCAGACTCTAAAACCTGGAGAAAACAAACGATGATTTAATACCTTTGCTCATATGCCACGAACAGTAGCACAAATAGAAATGACCAAGAGCAGTAGCCAAGTTCGTGCTCGCATAAAGAGGCCTTTCTGGTGCCTGACTTGTATGCAGCCATGCAGGTTTAGCACGCTTGAGGCAAAAAGGCTGGCATTTCCACAAGCCAGAAGTCCTTCTATGAGTGTGCAGAATCAAAACACCCTAAACCCTAGAACCTATTCTGTGAGTAGAGTGGCATCTTTCTTCCCCAGAGCCCTGCGTAGCCCCAGAGCCTAAAGGAATACCGACCGCTTGTGAGGAAACTTCTGCTCCCTCCACACGGAGCCCTCACAAAGGTGATCCGGAAGCCCAAGACGATACACAAACTAGGATGCCCAGTAGTACCCTTATTCCCTTTTTGTAGTCCTAGGTTCCTTATAAAGTTACCCAATACCAAAAAGAGAGGCCTTTTTATTCTTAGGTTACTGGGTATCCTCGCAAACTAATCCGTAAACCATCAGGCCCTTAGGCCCATGAAACCTGATGCCCTAATGCCCGAAAGGCTAAACCCCCAAGCCCCCCCAACTACCTCTATAATCTTTCCCATTAAGAGGTACTTAGGGACTACAATAAATGGAAGTTGGGGGGGGTCTAGGAACCCCCAAACCCTGAAACCCATAAACCCAAAGTTCCAAAAAACCCTCCGAGCCCTAAGCGCCACACAGGAAGGAAGAGCTGACCGACCTGCAACCGCCACCTGGCTTCCGGTCGGACGGCTGTGCTTTGTTGAGGCACAAAGGTTATGGTTTAGGGGCCTTCGGATGTTCTATTTTTGGGTTTGGTGTATAGGTTTTGGGTTCAGGGGTGTTGTGAGGGGTTAGGGGTTCCGGGATTTGGGGGTTTAGGGGGTGTTTAATGTGAGGCTCAGGGTGGGGTTTGAAGCGGCTTCACGACGTTGAGGGCTCAAGGACTTTGAGGCCCTTTGCAGTTTAGGGGTTTGAGCCGAGTGCTGACCTTCCGTCCATGTACTCAGGCGATTGCACAAGTCCTGATGCAAAGAAGGGGTTTGAGCCGGGACGCAGACAGGGTTTTCCGTGGTATGTAAATGCAGGAGGCAGGGTTCGGACCATTCACGTTCTTCGCGAGAATACCACACCAACGCTAGTAATAGGTGGTACCAGGCAGTAGTAGCAGGAGTACAAGAAACAACTAGCCATACCGAGCATAGGAAGGCCGCGGAGCAGAAATCTTGGCATCATCATCACTAGCATCAGCATCATGCGCCTTAGCTTGGGTTCCAAGTCCAGGCCTTTCGACGAACATCACTGGAGGATTCTACTCAGAGGAGTGTCGGACTCAACATCTGAACAAGTTTGCCAAGGAGTTTCGACATGTTCTCGGACTTCAGCGAGGCACAGCGTGGCAGACCCAAGTGCAAAAGACAGAACTGCTGCGACAGACCCAGCCATACACCTGTGACGAATCATGCGCATGCATAAAAGCTCATCGGTGAGGGCCCAGGAGTCTGAATCTGGGCTCTTGCTAAGGGCTTAATTAAGTTCTATACTATAAAGGAACCCTTAAGCCTATGGCTTTACTACAGATCCCTATCATGGTAAAGTTCTTTAACAAGAAACCAACAAAGGCCTAAGGGTGTAGGGTTTCTGGCTAGCTCTGGCCAGGAGACCGTGGAGAAGTCGAGCGCCACGTCGTGTTGCTACAGCCTCGGACGTGTTCTTGGTGGGGAGTAGGTAACCTTTAACCTTTTGGGGGTCCCATATTCCCTCTATAAATGCCAAAGGTTAACCTTCAGTTCAACCTTTAACATGTTTGGGGGATTATACTGCCTATGTGGTACAAAAGGTTAATCTTTGGTTCCCGTAGGATGCTGGACGAGTAAGTGTTCCTGGACGTTCCCAACCCTGCCTCTACTTGTTACTCTTCGATGCGGTTCTGCTTTATTGGCCACATGGTTTCTGTCATACGGCGTCCTGGTCATAACTTGCCAATCGAAGGAAGTAGACCGGAGCGCACGGACCCCTCAAACCCTGAACCCTCAAATCCCAAAGCCCCAAAGCCTTGAACCCTAAACCCTAAAATACGAGTGTGAACGCCGAAAATACGAAAGCCCGACAAGCCCAAAACCTTGAAGCCCTGCGCTACTAAACCCTGTTCCGAGGCTTCAGATGTTGCCCGGCCAAGGGTGACAGTAGCACGCCGGTCCGTCCTTTGTCGGTGTTAGCCGGGACTTCCTGATCCAGACCACTGGCCGTCTTCGTATGCGGTAACGCATCGCACTGCATTCTACAGGCGCTTCTAGGGTTTGGGAGGATACTAAGCTTTCGATGCTGTTCAGGAAAGATATCTCGATGATACCTATATGTTCATGTAGTTTTCTTTATGTATCTGTTGTTTACTATTGGTTTGTCATAGTACGCATATATAAGACGTGTATATTTATATACACATACATATACATAGACATCGACATATATATACACATACATACAGTTTTCATGTGTGTGTGTATATATATATATGTACATGTACATGCATACTCGCAGGGTTTCCTTGGGAGGAGATTTAGATTACAACTACAATTACGACCACAACCGCTCCTCTTGTCTTGCAATTCAGTCAGAAATGCAGGTTGTTGAATTGAAGTTACCCCGAAACCCTAAACCCTAAACCTTACCTCTAGGTAAGCTCTGAATGTCCATGAACTGTTGAGAGAAGATCCGCGCTTAATGAAGGGACCGAGATCATTCATCAGGGCTTCTAGGCTTTAGGGTTTCTGGTTAAGAGTTTCAAAGTTTAAGGGAGAAGTTCTCCTCTCGGTGTCTTCGAAACGCCCGGAAAACGGTCTGGATCCGGACGTGTGTTTGGCCGTTGAACTTGCTTTGTTGCAGGCGCGTGGCACAATACTGCCACCACTTTCGCAGAACGGCACAAGGGGCACGGAAGAAAGTTTCAAGCCTTGGGGGATTCGGATGCAGCACTAGGCTTTCTGCTCATCTTGCCAAAGATGCCGTTGTGGAAAGAAGCACGAGCAATTACACAGTATATTCTTCTCGCTTATGCTTCTTGTGCGCGGCAGTGTCCGATGTTTGCCTTTGCCATGCAACTAGCCTCAAGAAAATTTTGCCATCCGGACATGGGGATGTTCGCTTCCCAGTTTGCATTCTGGTCACAGAGCTTGTCGTGATAGTGCTGCGTCGGTCGCGGGGCTTCTGCTACACTGATGGCTTAACCGTTTCTTTCCTAAGAAGACCTCTCACACACACACACACACAGAACGTCTTTGTAAGAGTTCCAGAAGTGCTGCATCGTAGGGGCTGCAGTACTTCAGTCTCAGCCTACTCAGGCAGCCCATAGCCTCAAGCCCTACCTTCAACCTCATCGCCAAGTTAGCCACGTTGCAGGAGACGAACGCCTTAGCATTCTGGCCCTTGAAATATGCCACAGCCATAAGGGGCCTATGTACATGAAAAAATCATGACTCTTACTTCTTATGCAGAGACCTGCCTTTGGACCCTGGCCCCGCCCGGCGCGTCGAGCAACCATCACGAGCCAGGATGCCGGGTTTAGCTCGATGTCCTTTCCTTCGCAAAAACAGCCTTCTGAGGCCTTGCAGACGAGCAAACGCCACGATGTTTCGGGCTTTCAATGTTTTCGCAGAGTGAGATGAGAGATGTGGGATCAGACGTCCAGGGCTCTGAGCTCAGGGGTTTAAGGGTTTACGCCTTTTCTTGTGCTCTAGTGCCTCACCTTCCTGTCGAAATTTTCCTCGCGCCAACTTGACTTGGATGCTGGAGAGACTTGAGTTTGAGAACTCTTTGAAATAACCCTAGACCCGACGTTAGGAGATTTGTACACTCCGTTCTCCAATCTCCACTCCACATCACAGCAGAGGACATGCATTTCCCCAGTGGCAGCGGCGATAGTGACTGACAGTGGCCTTTGCAGCATGTTCCGGCATGTGTGAATAGCGCATGTTCACGTATCGCCTCTTCGAAAACACAGCCCGACAGCAAAGCATGAGATCGTTACTGCGGCTACGAACACTTCGAGACAACTTTCAAGACGACCGAACCTTACCTGTGACTCCAACTACACACTCTGTTTTAAGGTGGCTGAAGTGTCATGAGCCGCTTCTTTGTATGTTCAGGGTTACAGGTGCAGATCACATGTTAGAGAAGACCTTCACCACTTCCAGGAGCTGTGTTTCGTCTGAGGTATTCATGGACTTCATGACTGAATTTTTTTCGGGTCTAGCTGGTACGGGCTCAAGACAGGATCCACGTGAGGGCCCGCAGGCCCGCAGGATGAACGGTTTTAGGTTCAGCTCAGTGCACCGGTTGGCTTTCACTCGTTTGCGCTTCTTCCAGCTAACCCACAGTCGTTGCCGAATGGCAAGGGCCGTCTCACGGGAACATGGTTGGGTTTTCTCCAATGCTAAACATGCCTAAACCTGTGGCTCCTGTTGCCGCCTAAATTTCGGGGAAGCAGGAATTGCCGGGGAAATGTGGGGAAGCATGATTCAGGGTTTAGCACCTATGCAGTGACATGGCTTTGGCTCTGATGCTGAATGATGCTTGACACACTTGTAACTGCAATTCTCAACGACATGCGCCTGACTTTGTGATTTTCTGCTGCCTCGAAGTCGCCTCCGCTCAAACTCGAACGAATTACAATCGGCCAGCCTGTATCAGAGATGAACTCGCTAGACATTGAGGGTTTGGGTGTCCATGAAGAGCATTGAAGCATAAACCGTGGTCCTAGCTGGCCTGTTCCGCTGCATCAAATTCTGATGCCATGTTCAGAAGTGCACGTTGGATCGTGCGCAATGAATGCATGGCAAGCTTGGGGCAAACCCGACGGGAAAGCCTGGATGGCTTTCCTATGAAATCTTCTTGCATCTGAACGCTAAAAACTAAGGGGTTAAGAACCCACTGACAGTGCGGGATGTCGGCTTGGTCGAACATCCAGAACACCGTGTGGCAAATCATGTGCTGCTTCGGCAGGATAATGAATCTTTGAAGGCCCACGTTGAAACACATGCGAGCCAGCAACATGTGCCCTTGCAGAAAGGCGTAGCCCATTTCGGCCACAGCTCTGGCCGTGGTCTTGCGAATCCAGACGCCTTTCTTGTAGAGGGTGCCCATGAATCTGTTGCCCATTTCGAGCGTGGGAACCTTAATGGTAGAATCGCTGCTTATTTTTATGATGCTCATGCATGCAGATAAACATCCCCCAAACATATCGATACAACATGTTCGAATTATCAAACAGCACGAAATGAAGGTTGTCGGACTACCTACCTGGTTTAAATTCGGTTTATGGGAGGATCGATGGGCTGGGTGAGCAAGGCAAGGGGCAATGACAGGCAGGAGCACGTTGACGGACTCTTTCATCTCCGGGTCTCGGGCAAGGAAATCTTGCATCCAGGTCATCAAACAGGTTGTCACTGCTCCTTTGTGCCAGGAGCCTTGCGGCATCGCCGCAGTTGAGTCCCAAGCCAGCAGATCCTGCGTGATGGCGGAGATGCTGCAGTAGATCTTCTTTCTTTTGCAGTAGGCACGGAAATCAGCTGTGAGCTTCGTGAGCTTGTATGGAATGGAAGGCCCGTTCATTGTGGTGACAACCACAACAATCACGGAGGAAATAAAGGATTTTCCACATCCCAAGTGCCAACAATGCCACAAGTCTTCAACAAAAAAGCTAGTGGGGTCGGTGGCATCATGCGGTATGGCCAGCAATGGCGAGGGAACCGTCCATCCGGGGTTGCGGCCAACTGTCTGTCGCCAGGTGGCGTCAAGTGTACAATCTTCGAACGGGCATGGGAATGGAAGGTCCTCTCGTCCTGCGTCGCATTTCCAACAGACGCCTGCGCAGGGCTTTTTGCTGGAACTTTGCTTCGGGCCTCGCCCGAATGAGCGGTCCATGTGACCTGTCTTGGCCAAATACGGTAGGTCGCCTTTGATTCCTATGCACCAAAAGAACAAGTGGCCATCGTTCGTCGTAGTAACTCCGTCCTCGCTCAGGCTGCGGATGTCCTCGCTGTAGATGGCCAGCATCCGATCCAAAACATCTGGAGCCTGTTTGTAGAGCCCATGTGGCATGGCTGCGAAGATGTAGTGGCTCAGGATCGTGGCGCCCACGAAATTCATCCTCATTTCGTCCTGAGCAGGTGGAACACCTGTGGGGGGATGGTGGTGATGGGTCCCCTTGCCAAGGACCCCGTGCGTGCTCAGCACCATGATCGCCAAGCGGCGATACGTCCTGCCTTCATCCCCATGATGCAATATTGGCACGCAGCGTGACAAATCCTGCCCGCTCGCGAAAATGGGATGATTTGGGTGGCCTAGCCGCCACCTCGCCCAGAACTCTTTGCAAAGTGCGTGTCGTTGCAGAGGATCTTTCACCCCAGTTAGGAAGTGCAAGCGCGAGGCCGAGGATAAATACAGTATCCAGTCAGACAGTTTTATGTAAGGTATCTTCGGGCATTTTTCGAAGTCGGCGTAGGAAATCTTCACAGGCAGGCTAAGGCCCTGCTTCGCAAAAACTCGGTGCACTCCCTCCTCCGTGTGGCCCAAGCTCAGCCTTGCCAGGGCCTTGACTCCGGGGTCCTTTGAGCTTGAAGACTTCGCGTGGAGCACGACTTCCTTGCATGTGACCTGGGCGCACGGGTGGAATGAATCTCACAGAGGACATAGAATGCTCGTGATGCGTGCACTTTCACCAATGCTCCTGATGGTAGGATAGTATAGCAGTCACTGGCATGCAGTTGCAAGTCACACGATTGTTTTCGCCCCTGGAAACTTGAACGGAACGGAGGAGTATCTGAATGCTCCGGCCGCACATATAGCCAATCGAACACACATAAAACTCGAGCAGCCCAAGGGTGCAGTAGAAAATTAGTTCCTTCGGACAATGTAGAAAACAAGCATTTAAGATGTCTAGGCCTTTAGGGTTTTTATGTGTACATATAGACATTATGATTTGTATATAAAAATACAGCAGGTATAGTCAGGAACTATCCACCGATTCTTTTGGCTTGGTCTGCTCGAGCTCCCACTGTGTAAACATAGTAGTGGCTAGCCTGTACATGGCCAGGTCCTTCCCCACCTGGCTTGTCATTCCTGCAGCCTGTGACTGCTCTGAAGTGATCGATCAATGCAGCCTCAAGCATTTCAGCGACACCTTTGGTGTCTGTCACATGAAGAAGCTCCATCGCTGAGAAGTTCGCAACCGCATATGATTGGAAACGGATAAGTGGGTTGCTGGTGTATCCGATTTTGAAAACACAAAGCCCAGTACCAATCGAATGCAGGAACCTGTTGATTCTTTGCTTGCAGTGCTGAAGCACAGTCCCAGCGGTAGGCCGTGTTGTTCTCATGGTAAGGTAGCTGGCGGTAATACCATGTAGACAAGAAACAATGTACTCCTTTTGCTCTAGTGTTTGAGCTTGCAGGAAGTCAGCTGCCAGCTCGGCCCAGTTGCTGTCATCACGAACTGAAACCTCAGATACAACAGCAAACATGGCAAGGCTGCGGCGAACATGGAAAGTAAACATGAACACGTCCAGGGAGTCAGGTTTGGGGGTTCTACCGTGGGCATCCTGCGGTCTGGCATCTTTGGCATCGTCACTCGCAGCGTGCAGCTCCGGGCTGCTCGGGCTGCAAGTTGAGATAGAAGAGGCAGCATCATCTAGCGGAGCGATCGCATTTGACCTTAGATACAAAGCTGAATCTCACATTGCGGAGGGCGGAAAAACAATCATGGATACCTTCTTGTCTCATTGTTAAATGCGAGAATTCAGACACTTTCGCAGTCTTGGAAGCTGGAGCTCCAGTGAGTGAACCATGAGCTCGGGGAGGGCATCGCTTTTTGCCAGTGATCTTGCATTCATATGTGATCAAGTCCACGAGATCTTCCAAAGCAGAGTCATCGCTGTACTCTGCACTGGCATTCATGGCGGCAGCTTTGAGCAAAGCTGCGACTTCACAACACACAGGACAAGTTCGTTTGCGATCAAGCGAATGTTTCGAACAGCTGAAGCAAACGATTCAGCTGACATCTGAGGTCGCGGCGCCCTTGCCTACTTGCCGGACGAAGGATTTCATCTCTGCATTGCAGCCTGGCTGCTCAGAAGCACGAACCCAAAGCTTGGATATATCTGCGTGTTATGCGCTTGCGTACTCTGTAATGAATGCATGATTGTCTTTTCACCGGCGAGTCACAGCTTGCACGACCCTATAAATCCCGCTGCCTCTTTCTGGGCAGCAGGTTGAAGCATGTCGACTGAAAGCTGCCACAACCCCTGTGGCGTGCACCAGTGCACATCTAGGTTCATCGGAATTACGGAAGCAGCTTATCCTACAAATATTCCCGTCGCGTTGGCCAAGCAACACGACACATGGCATCCCCGGCACACAGCACGTGATTCCCACGACCACGGACAGTGCGTGAGCATAGTCGAGGAAGTTGGTGGCAGCAGCATCGCAGGTTTGCAGTCAAATAATTATAAGCTTCGGTTGTCTTCGAAACACGTGCTGTGTACACTTGTACCCGGAGAAAAGCCCTTCGCATCCATGGGAGTTCACTGATCCTGCTGCTCAGCCTTAGGAGCATTCTTGCGGCCGTTCTTCTCCACAGACCTGAGGCGTGTGAAAGGTTTTGGTTTCGACATATTCTGGGTTTAGATGAACTGGCTTCGCACAGATCTCAGATCTTGTATATACATCTATAGAGACCTCAGAGACCCATACACCGGCTCAAACCTAGGGCTTATAAAACAAAATACATAGCAGAACATACCTCAGGATGGGTTTTAACTTATACATAAGCTTGGAGGTGTAGCAAGCTGTACATGGCACGTTGGGTTGAGGATTTCCAAATCTTAGAAAAGCCCTAATGTAAAGGAGGCTCTTGGGTTAAGGAGCTTGTAATTGGTGTCCAGGGGACGTAGCCCTAGAGTAGATATAGAGAAGTGGATGGATGGACTAGACCAACAGATACATGGTCATATTATGTTGCTATACATATATGTACATATATACATATATAAACATTCATACATGACTGGGCAAATGGGAAGAAAGGTAGGGTTCTAGATACATAGGTAGGATCCGAAGGGTGTATATATCTGTATAAAGGTACAGGGATAGAGAGAGGGATCTATATGCATGTATATTAAACCACAGTAGTTTAAGAGACATACGTCTTGCACAAAGAGGAATAGATGGAGACTGAAGCTTAACAATATAGTCACAAAAACATTCTTACATATTTCAAAACCAAATTTAGAAATACAGTGGCAGGCATAGAGGCATATATACACACATAAAACCAGTTGACAACAAGACCTCTTGTTTCAGGGTTCGAACTTTGGAGTTTAGGGCTCTGAAGTATTCTCTCTCTTTATATATATACAGATAAATAAATATGTATATATATATGTACATATATATGAGTACGTGCGTATTCACTATATGCATCTTTCTCTCTCTCTCTCTCTCTCTATATATATATATATAGGAATATGTATTTCTATATATAAGGTATGCTAAGAAACTCAAGTTACAGATGCTTGGTTTTGGCGTTCCGGAAGGACCTGGTGGTTTGAGGCGTCCAGGGCATATATATATATACATATATATATATATATATATTGAATACTCCAAAAGAATAAAAGTGTTGGGGCAGGTTTCGGGTTCGTGCTTGCTTGATGTGAGCTTTGTGAATTATTCTGATATAAGCATGTACGAGGCGAGCTCCTGTATTCCTCCACTGCTGAAGGCTTCATAGGAGTTCGGGTTGCGGGGTATTTACACGGGCAGTACATTACAATGATGCTGAGCTGAGCCCCCAAGCCATAAGCCCTTCAAGCCCCAGCTTTCAAACCCCAAACTCCTAAAGCCCTATGCCCAAAAGCCCCAACACCCTAAGCTCTTCAAGCCCCGGCTTTCACACCCCAGACTCCTAAAGCCCCAAGCCCAAAAGCCCCAACACCCTAAGCTCTTGGAGCCCCGGCTTTCACACCCCAGACTCCTAAAGCCCTAAGCCCAAAAGCCCCAACACCCTATCTCTTGCAGCCCCGGCTTTCACACCCCAAACTCCTAAAGCCCTAAGCCCAAAAGCCTCAACACCCTAAGCCCCAGCATCCCGGGAGAAGGCCCACTGTTTCTGGGGTCATCGCTTCGCTTGGTTCTCTGCAGCCAGCATTCTGCTGCACCTCAGGAGTCTATAGAGGCTATATTTATATGTGTATTTTTTATAGGACCGAGATTTCCATCAGACTGTTTCTGCCTTCTCTTAGAACTCATCTTAGCTAGAAGTACAGCATAGATCGATGGACTGGGGTAGGCACACCAAACTTGTCTCGCGCCAGGCAGCATCAATACTCTTCTGGATCCTCGGCTTCTTTGTTTTGACGAGAGGATCGAGAGAGTGAGTTACGAAGTTCTCAGGAGGGTTGCAATCGTCAAAGGAGAAACACACGTCGTATATACAAGACATGCTACATGTTAAAGTGTAAAGACGGAGAGAAATAATCGAGAGACAGACTGACAGCGGGAGCGATAGATGAACGTTGTGTCATCGTCGATGCTAGCACTATATGTTTAGCAAGCGGATGCACATAGTGTGTGCAAGGGGCTCAGGGGTGATCTCGGTCGTCTCCAGCATGGCCTTCAGGTCCGCTAGCTTTTCGTAGCCTGCATTAAGTTCCTCGATGCGCTTCTCCAAGAGTGCGGTGGTCCTTGGAGCAATCTTTCTCGGAGGGTTTCAGGGTTGCTGCAAGTCTTTTGTGGTTTTGTTGATCTAGATATGGAACGACTACGGTAGCGACGGCTCAAGATGAGTATTTCATTTTGAAATAATTAGCATTGGGTTTGGCTTAGATGGGTATTTCATGGCTTGGAGCACATGGGCTTCCAATGCAGGGGGTCTTGATAAGCCTTAGTGGCCTGGGGTGGCCGGAGAGCCAATACTTCAGCCGGTCGATATAGGAACTGGTGTTCGTAAATCGGTTGAGGGTTTAGGGTTAGAAAGCTGTACAGAAGCACACATCCCGAGCCTCCAAGAAACCCGGATCCAATACGGAACTGTGAGCCCCTGTATTTGATTACGTGTGTATATATCTCTATACAGCTTATGTAGACTTTAAAAAAGAATACCTATATATTTGCAGCTGTATATGTATATATCTATCTATATGTATCGATCGATCTATCTCGAAATATATTTCTTTCTACATATATTTATGGATTTACTGTATGTCTATGAAGACCCGGTAAATCTGGTGTCTAAAGATGTGTATATGTGTATATATATATATGTACACATTATATATATATATATATGTCGTGTGTAGCCCCCTTTAAAGACAAACCAGCAAGACACAGCAGAATCAACAGCGGCACCGTTGCGTCTGAATTCCATCCCAGTAGCAGTGTCTATTTAGCGATTTGTAACAGGTTTCTACTCAAGGGATCAATAAATTTACACGAGTGCCGTACAGCTCGGCTCTGACGGTGTGATGAAGTGTCTCTGTTCCAGACAGTTCTCCCTTAAGCGCTAATCTACATTCCCAGGAAGAGTCGAAACCTCGGAAACCCGCCAAACTCATCTTAGGTGATGATATACCGACGAGCAGCGTCTTGACCCTGCATTGGTCATTTCGGGGATCCGCGAAGGGAGCAATTTTGCCAATCAGGTCGTGGGCTTTGCCGATCTTGGTCAGGGCTGTCTCGCAGAATTTCTCGAGGTTCTGCATCTCCTGGATTTACATTGTCATCAGGTTACTTATGTGTATATAGAGGCTCATATGTCATACGGTTCATATTAGGGTTGGGTTATGGGTCTTTAGCTATCATTCCACATATATAGGCATGCATGCCTATATATGCATGAACCACGGGGAGGTTCATGCAATCCAGCTACAGGTCAGTGTCTCAGCAGAATAGGTAGTTCATCCACGATCATGTACATAGCTACAAAAGCAATTGTGGTCGTCATGATACGAAACAACGACCAAGTGTCCTGGTTGGGTGCTGTCAGTTGCTCCGCCTTCTTCTCTCCGTCTTCAGCGTCGCTGTCCAGAGACCACTTGCCGGATAGCTTGGGGCCGTCGGCAGCCTGAGGAGTCAGAACAGAAGCAAAGCATATTGGAAGGACTTGATAGTTTGCACATGCAACAATCGGTAATCGAGAAACTTCCTCCTTGGACTCGTGGGTCTCTCTCTCCGTATCGCGATTCACGAGGTGGCCGAGCTCCTCGTACTCCACGTGGAACTTTTCAATCTTGCTGTCATACTTGTCCGCCCTTGGTTACAAGGGTTGTTGCAAACACCGATTAGGTACATCTCCAATGCAGCTGTGGTTGTGCATGTAAACACACATACATACTTGCATACATACATGCATGCATATATACTCATACACTCATGCATACATATAAATGTTTTCGTGTATCTGTGTGTGTGCATGTATATATACAAAGCTGTGCACATGCGTGTGCGAGACATACATCCACACATATATGGTTGCATGCAACAAACATACATTCCTACATACATACATATACATATATATATATGCATGCATGTCATGCATGCATATGTCTATGTACATATGTATTCAAATTCGAATTTCATATGTATATGTATACGTGTATCATCATGTATGCATGTATCCATATCAGTGCATATAGAGGTATGTATGTATATGTAGATATTTGTTCAAGAATGAATGTGCATTTATGTGTCTGTCTTTATGTGTTTACATACATATTATGCATGAAACATGTATGGGCTAGGAACCTGTACATATATATATATATAGCATGTATTGTGTATCTATATCTACAGACGAAGGTTTTCTACCAGTGAGTGATCTATGTATGTGCATCTGTATATATATATATATATATATACATATAGGTGTGGGTATAGCTGATTGTATATGTACAACA